GTCGGACCCTGGGCTCCATCTGTCTCCCTCCTCTTAACCTCCCCTGTTGCCTAGCACCAACCCATTGAGCAAAATATTCCCCACAGTCCCGGAAGATTCCTGAGCGGCTGGGCCTTCTGGGAACTGGCTTGGCCGGCTGGCTGAGTAGTCCAACCCTGCAGGGAAAGGAATGTTGGCGTCCAATTTCCAAGCTCTCACTCTTGCCTGTCAGAAGAATGGATTTGTGGGTAATTACATTTTGTTCTTTTAAGAGCACAAGAGAGAACAGCTCGAACGGGCCCTTGTCGTTTTCAAGGAAGAACTTTTGTCACCTGTTAGCAAAACATCACACAAGCAACCATCAGGGTGAATGATCCAAAAGCACCATCAGGGAAGCAAACTTCCAAAGCAGCAGGGTATGTAACATGTAGCTAATAAGAAGAAATATATTTGTTAACACTTTCATGGTGTTTAATACAAAGATAGATTAACTTTTTTTATTACAAGTGTAGCTAATGTTTCAAGAATTAAGGAGATTCTCTTAAATCAGAACCACAGTGATAGCAAGGCAGAGTCTGATCATTCGAAAAAATGACATGGTTGGCATTATAAATTAAACTTTGTACCTTAAAAACTTAATTTCTAGTTCTAGAAATGCTGTCCCCAAAACTGCCCTTAGCGACAAGTTCTTGCTTTTGATGCATGTGTAGTTTACCAGTAGGAGTCATGTATAGCTTTACAAACAAAAATATTTTTTTAATTTATAGGACAGAGATCTTGAAAATTCTGCTTTAACCTTATTGTCGAGCACAATTTCTACTCAATTTCAATTCTGAAATATTATCAGGGTAAGATCAACATACAGGAACGCCCCCTACCTAGAAAGTAGCTGGTGTTACAGTTACGTAAGTGAAGCATGTTGGCTAAGAAGGGGCCTTGGGACTGTTTTAAAGAGCATGTGGGAAATTTTTATGACTAACATACTAATTACATTTATATGCAAATAAATATCTCTGTGAATCTGTAAAACACATAGAAATATAGTTAGGTGCAGCCATTATACCCTCCCTTAAATTGCTGACTTGTTTAACAGCCCCCACCCTCCTTTTTAGGATGAGTAAAACAAATTTTCACTCAATCTAAATGCACTCAACTGGTGGTAATTTACCATATTCACTTTGCAGCTTTAAAGAAAGGTAAATGGATATTGAATGATACTGCTAAACGAGATTTTAGGCATGACTAAGTGTGAAGCTTGTGGAGCGGTGTTTTATTCCCAGTTTCCTCGGAAACCAGAGGGGTGATCCGGATTTCCTAAGGCAGTGCCTGACCTGCGATTATGGCCTGTGTGTGCACAGTGCTTTATCCCATAAATGTGGAAACACTGTGAGGCTCGCTGCAACCCTGGAAGAAGCAGCCGCTCAGCCACCTGTCATTTTCTCTCAATTGCAGGTCTCCATTCTGTTGGAAGGCTCTCTCTCAGAGCATAGATTAGCATCAATTCTGCAGGTGGCCTGAGCATTTCTAGGAAACCAGCAACTCGAACCTTCTAAGTTCAAGATCATGCTGTTCCCAGAATCAATACCAGTCTCTGAGGGCCACGTGTTAAGGTCAGTAAAGAAAAAGGGACTCAAGTCCTTCAATGACAGGATTACAAACTAGATACTCAGCTCCTGCTTCATTCCAGGCACTGAAGTTCTAGGTCCCTCACAGATTTACTATGTAGGGACCTAGAAGGAAGGTGTAGATCAATGCTGATTACATGGGCAGTATCATGTAAAGCTGGCTGTGCTCCTTCACACGTTGGAGCCGCTTGTCACTGGTTCAGTGTTGGAAGCAAGAATAGCAGCTGGAAACCCACGGTGCTCACAAACTCTTTGGTGAAACAGAAATTGCTGCTAGGGTTCATATCGTCCTCCAGGGAAATGATAAATAAATAATTTCCATTTATGATGAATAGGGAGAAGCATCTAGAACAAAAGAAGTAGGCTATTACACGTTGAGATTTTCTTTCCCTGGTGCAATAGACCTTTCTGGTAGTTGCAAGATCCTGTATCAGAACCTCGGCCACTGGTCGGCTGCTCGTATTTTCAGTGCGTCTCACTCCTGAGGAGCACCTTCCACTCTGTTTTGCTGACGAATAACACCGGCTCTGGCAGAGCAGGTGTGAAGATGAGACCAGAGCCATGCTCTTCTCCGAGAGGAAGGTCTGTTTGACCACAACCCTCACCACACCCCTGAGAGGACAGAAAGGATGCTCCTCACACAGCGGTGGTCTCAGAACTCCCATCAATCATCTGTTCGGGTTTCTTTCAACAGATTATACTGGGATCTTTTAGAACATAATTTTAGGGGTTTTACTTAGTGGGGTATTTTTATCACAATAAAAGAATCAGCTCTCTCCATCAATGTTAAGCAGTTTTCATATAAGCAACTTGGAGAAGTAAAACCATACTTAGAAACCTTGGCTTTCAATAGAATCAATTACACACAAACAACATGATACAACAATCTATTAGACTCTTAGAAACTTGGCTTTTCCTTGAATCATAAACATTTCTAAAATTTGAAATGTTGCTGATACTCTCAACAGGGTCTTTATTTACAAGAATAGCCTATGATTGCCAGAAAAGCAAGTTTGTTGACTAATCTTGAAAACTGGAATTTTTGAGGTTTTTCATTTTATGCCAAAAGAGGTAAGCATAACTCTAAAAAGGTATACTACTCAGAGGGTGTTAGTGGAATTTCCTGGAGGAGGAGGAGAAGGCACCTGTCCACTACCCAAGCATACATTGGTTAATTTAACCTCTCTACTAAATTAAACATCAGCAAAACAGATGGCATCCCTGGGTGGCCTGATGAAGGACGAAATATTACCCACTTCTACCCTCGTGGCTCAGTGAAGTACCTGCACTGGCCAAGAGAAGAGAAGGGCCAATTACCTGCCTCCAAGAACAGAGAGGGACTTTCCTTGCCTTGTCTTGACAGATTGTCTACATTCAACAAATGCATTACATAGTTCCCCAACACACTGCCTTATGAGTAGCCACCCCTGTCCTGGCTCCAGAAGCTGGATGAGATTCAGAGAGGAAAGTTGAAGAACCTATGCTTCCCCGCCTCTCTGATCACTTAACAACCACGGGCTGATAGTCTGGTTTGAAAGCCAGAGGTTTTGTCTGCATTTACTCTAGCTTATAGGTCTACCCTCACAGCCTGGACTAGAACATGGCACCTGGCAGCGGCTCAATCAGTGCTTATTGATGGGGCATATTTTCAACCTAAAACCTCAATGTGTGCAAAGTCAATCTGCAGCCTACATGGAGGAGGCCCCCTGCCCTGCCTTCAAAGCTTCTTGCTATTATTAGGGTATGCACTGTGCCCCCAACCTGCCATCCAACCACAAAGAACCACACATCGTCCTCCAAAGTGCCATCTGGGTCTGGGAAGAAATCCTATTAAGGTTAGAATGTCTGTGGAAATCAGCCCCACAGACTGGCTGGAATTCTGCCTCAGTCTACAATTGAACTCAGCAGGTCTTAGGTTTCTCACCCGCATTACGAATGGAACGCAGGCAGGGTATGAACCAGAGACTGAGTCGGGTCCCCTCCGTCCTCGCCTAGGTTGCCCTCAGGGGAGGTAGAATCCAGATTGAATGCTGATACCGGGGGGCTTGTTCTGACCAAACCTGGTTCTCAGAATTTTTGCACACATTGCTCCTGTTTCATAAAAAGCTGTTAATTGCATCCTCTTCCTTTTGTTCTTTTGTTCATTTGTTTGATCGTTTAGTTCCTATATGGTGTCCAAGCCTGAAAGGTAAGGTTTTCCAAGGGTTGTTTCGCAAACTTCATATTGTGTTTTATCTTTTAATCCACGTGTTTACTTTTTAAATTGCAATGGGGTAATGTTTAAATTGTGTAGATTAAATAGACAGTAAACAGATCCAGAAAAGTATTAATGATGATCTTCAATGACCTTTCTGTGTTCCTCCCACCAGGCCGTAAGGTCGTTAGATCTCGCCTACAGAAGGCAAGAGGGCCTCAGTGGAATCATTGCTTGTGGGCCCAGACCAAATCTGCTAGCAGGGAGATGACTGAATGGAACCAGCTACACCAGGAGGCACGGGTTATCTCCAATCTGATAGCTGTGCCCTGTGCCCCAATTATACAGGAAGCCAAGTATAGCAGGGGAAGACGAAGCTGATAGCTGCAACCTAGTCCCTGTTCAGAATCACATGCTACCTCCACGGCCCCACTCAGGCAGAGGCGTGAGTCAGACCCAGAATCAAAGACACAACTCTATCTAGAGCAGTGAGTTTCAAATCTACCATGTCCAGGAAACCAGTCACCTCTCTGTAGCCACAATCTGGAAGGTGCAAGCTGCAGAAAACATGGATATTCCTTCTACATATTTCTTCATAATTTCTTCTGCATTTCTCTATCATGTCTATGTATCTCCTCATAGCACTTGGCATCTTTGGCGTGCCAGCCTCTATAGAAGCCTAGATGATAAGTCCAATGGAAAATCAGACTTGTGTAATTAATTTCCAAAACAGCTAGCTTCTCTTTCTGGGGAGGCCCCTAGCCTGAAGAATAAGTCCTTTTTCCAGCCTGTGACCAGAATGACAGTTCAGCTTCTCAACAACCAACAAAGCAAGGTGACTCTTTAATGACTGCAATAGTTCACATCTGAAAACATCTGTTTTCACGGTTTGTAGATCACTGTCTATCCTGATCTCAACTTCCAAGTCTGAGAAATAAAAAGTAAACAAGTGAACTGATACAAAACATGGCGATTATGGGCAGACACTCAATCCAGAGTCACTTAAATATGAAAGATCTTAAAGGATACCATTTTTGCAACCCACGTCCCCAAACCAGGGCATGAGTACAGCCAGGGACAGAGGTGCTAAGAAGGGAGGCTGTACCTGAGGAGCAGGGCACAGTGGTCATTGCCCCCAGCCAGAGGGCTGGCCAGTCACTGTGTGTTTCTCTCTGGCCCAGACACAGAGCACCAATGCTATAGTTTCAACCCCTACTTTCCAGTAGCTGGGGCTTCCTTGGCTCACAAGACTTTCCTAGGGAGATTCTCACACATTAGCAATATGAACCCAAGGCTTAGAGCTGGGGGGGAAATGCTTTGAGCCGGGAGGTATCAGGACGGACAGTCTGCTTCGGAGTGTGCCCATAATGCTAGTCGATGTCACACTGACCTCTTTGTGCTGGTGGGAGCAGGGACTGCAGGGAGCAGAGAGAGAATCACTCCTCCAGGTGTGGGCCCGGGATATGGTCTGCCCGCTCCCAGGGCAGGACGTCCCACGTAGAGTCAGAGAGCTCAGCCCAGCCTCAGATTCCAGCCACAGAAACACTTTGAACAGTCCTGCTCTGCTGCTCAAGGAAACGGCCTTCAGTCTCACACCAGCCTTTAAAGTGATCCCCAAATGTCATTTAAGCCTGTTCACCAAACCAAGGCTTCCCTGAACTGTGGGCAGAGAAACTCAAGATCTAGTGATGGAAGTTGAGACCAACGTGTGGTCTCCTTCTGGTCCCCAAACAAGGACTGAAGCACTTAAACATTTACAGTCATAAAGACAGAAGAACTCTCCCACCCGGAAACAAACCATCTAAAAGGAAGTGGAGACAGACTATGCACGTGTGGGCAGGAATTATAATTAAAATATTCCATATCTTATTACTGGTCAAGGAAGACACCTCACGTGTATCAGATGCCCAGACATCATCAGCCTGGCTTGGGGAGCTTTGCAGATCTTATTTCAATTAACTTCTGTTTTAGATCTAAGGAAACAGGCTCAGAGAAGTCGGATCACATGAACTACTCTGTCTTTATTTCTGCCCTAGAAAATGCTGTTGATGTGGAAGAAACACTGGGATGCACATGAACTCAAACATGTTCCTGTTTGGGGGCTGATGTTTAATCATTTGGAGCCACACGGCTGTACCCAAGGCCTCGGTCCCCAGTCCATACGGTTAGAGCTTCCAGGCGGTCCTCATCATGACAATGAAATACACGTCGGTGTCGATGGATGCGCTCACCCCCGCATAGTAGTTCATGAACTCCTCGGGGGTCACCTGCGGGGGAGAAGTTAGAAACAAACACGAAACTTTGCTTCTCACCATTTCAGTGGGGCCCGCCTCCAGCACCTGTAAACGAAGGGGAGATTTCCATCAAGGGAGCTTCTCAGGGACCATCGCTGAGAAATAGATCTAAAAGGGAAAAGTGAAGGCAGACTTGGCGGTGGCAGGTGGCCCAGAAAGCCTTGAAATTTTCCAAACCGGTAACCTAAGTGGAAAGCGAGATACAGGTTCTGTCTTTCTGTAAGAGCCGAGCCCATCTGGGCAGAGAAGTGAAGCTGACACTCAGAACAAGAATCGGGAGTTTTCAACCATAGTCAATACTCTCTTTTTGTGACACCTCCGAAATCACACCTCCTGTCTCTGGTTCGGGGTGAATAAGGTTTTCCCTTTCAAAAAATGGAGTTCTGTCCTGTGGGTAAAGAAACAGATTTCTAGGTAACCGTTTCATGGCTTCATGCTTTTTAAAGAGACAAATTACTTGTTCAAGGCTCAACATCAGTAAAAAGAAGAAGAAGAAGAAGAAGAAGAAGAAGAAGAAGAAGAAGAAGAAGAAGAAGAAGAAGAAGAAGAAAGAAAGAAAGAAAGAAAGAAAGAAAGAAAGAAAGAAAGAAAGAAAGAAAGAAAGAAAGAAAGAAAGAAAGAAAGAAAGAAAGAAAGAAAGAAAGAAAGAAAGAAAGAAAGAAAGAAAGAAAGAAAGAAAGAAAGAAAGAAAGAAAGAAAGAAAGAAAAGTGCCCCAAGCTTCATGTGTCCCCACAACTCAAGGGTTTTCTCTCTGTCCTATGCCTATAACTGTCCCTTTGGAATATCAACTAATGCTTTTATCTACACTTGGATTTTACATTCTTTCTGTGTAGCAGGCGGAGCTGGCACCTGCACTTCAACCCTAACGGCTGACAGGATTGGCTGATTCAGAGAGAAGAACCGCCCTCCTGTTCCAGAGTCCACAACCAGTCAGTTCAGCCCAAGGTGGCACCCTGCCGGTGAGGGAGGGCACAGACACGGTATGGTGGCTGTGTTAGAAATCTGGGGCTCTCTAGTTAGCCCTTGATTTTAAGTGTCATGAGGGATTAAAAAGGTGACAGATAGTGAAATCCATAAAACATTCAAAACCCCTTTGTAGTCTGTAACAACAAACTCCTCTCCCACTGAGTACCCACCTACCTCTTCCAAGAATCACATGAGCAGATTGACCCACTTACCCTTTTTTCTGAAATTATAAGTAAACAGAGAAAAAAGTTAGAGGATACACAGTTCTCTCTCTGTACCCACCCCCAGCTCCAACCCCCCAAAGTAGCAAAAAGCAGTAGGAAGAAAGACATTGGACTGAATTAATATTTAAACTGTGTTTATCTGTGGTCTGGAAGTTGAAATAAGTGTGTATAGCTCTTATTAAAATTAGAGGACCGTTAGTATCCTCCTTTCTTGACTTCCTTTTTATTTCTGTCCTTCACACTCACCACCTACGCAGCCTTAAACCCCACCTGTAAGTCAGACTACCTAAAGCTGGAAGTCAGAGCTTACAGATGAACCACTTCTGGCAAGGCCGCCCCTCACTCTTAGAGAGCTCTGAGTCTGCTTGTTTCCTGAGACTCAACTTTCGCTGGGAACGGCCTGAACCACAAATTCTGTGATTTGCCCCGTTAGGCGGTCCTCCCTGTAGTCCATTACTTTTCCATAGTAATAGCTATTACTAATTAATGATTTTGTTTGGCATTAGAAAAATGGGAGAATGGACACCCCTTCTTTAGGCAGGCCTCTTGACTATGCTACGCTTAAGTGACAGAGAAGATGTTACTGACAGGAGAAGGTCCCCAATGGGGACAACAGAGTTGTCTGGGTCGTGATACAGAAGATAACCCCCTTTTTCTCCGCTCCCGCCTGATTAGAAAATTCAGACCATAAGTTCAGGGTGTCTACACACACTCTGTAATATACTTAAAGTATTTTAATGAGTAAAAAAAATGCTATATGAGATAGACTCATATTCCCTCAAAGGCTAATATAGTCCTGAGATTTTTTAAAATATTTATATTGATAGTGTGCACACATGTAAACTTCCAAACCTAGATATTTAAAGAAGAAGAAGACAAGGAAAAGAAGGAGGAGGAGGAGAGATCTCTCCCAACCAGGGAGCGCGCCCTGCTCCGCACAGGACTCCTTGCGCTCACCCCTCTGCCCAGTGGCTTCCAGCAATGGCTGCTCTGAGAGCCGGGGGCGGGGTCTGAGCCCAGGACCCAAGACACCCAATCCCTCAGCTGCTGTGAACCCCTGCAACTGGATGCCAGGTGACAGCTAAGCCTGACCTATTGAAAGTTCACAAATTTGAACATCAGTCTTGGCTAAGGAATATGCTAACTTTTTTGTGTTATTCTAAATTCTGTCTTACTGGGATACCGGCTGCATTTTGTAAGCTTAAATGAGTGCACTGGCTTTAAGTGTGGCTATAACTTCACCGTAAGAAATCTTAATATAAAACAACTCGATTTGAAAGATATAAATTAAGGGCTAATTATTCTCTCTCTCAAAGAATTAACACGGAGTTATTTTACATCAACAGGTCCTTGTGTGTTTAAAACATGACTCAACGTACAAAAGGTTAAGTCACACGTCACTTTCCGGAGACACTTCCATTGTGTCTATTAAATGAGGCATCTCTGTAAAGCCCTTAACACGAGGTCCGGCAGACAGTAAGCGCTCAGTAAATGGAGCCCAGATCTGTAATTACACTAAATGAGGTTAACATGTATGTTACATTTAGTAATTAAACACAGGCATTTCTGAAATCTTTTAGAGGCCAAAATCTCAAATGTGGACACGAATAAAAGTCATCTTGGGTACTTATTGAAACTAAATTCTTGAGCTCCTCACACCCCCAAATCAGATTCAGTGGTTTTGCCACGCAGACAGAAATTTGCATTATTGATGCAAACCCCAGATGACGATCACGCCAAGTCAGAGTCGAGTATCAATACGGAGTCTGTGATACTCAGGTGATAGTAGGAGCTGTAAGTGCTAAAAACCCCAGTGACGTTTATGAGCTTAACGTGGCATTTTAAGATAAATGTCAAAAGGGACAGGGGTGGGAACTTTAAATCAGCTGAATCACAACAACCGGCCCTACTGACTTGGGTTAAAGCAAAGGGCAGCTGAGGTTTCCCCTGGTGAGGAGGAGGAACCACCTGCACGGGGAGGCAAATGCACCCAGGGGTCCCATGCGGAGCTGGGCTAATTTGGGGAAATGGCAGTTGACTATTTTTCCACTGCCATGTCACAGATCAAAGACTAGCAACATTGGAAGGTTCTGTTACTTCTGTCCCTAAGCAGTTGGCTGCTCTGCAGAATCTAGGACCCTCCCCCCCAACTTTTAAAAAATCTATCTCTGCTTTCCCTTCAGTCTAAAGTGGAGGGTGTTTCTCTGTCCCTGGCAGGAAAATGTCAGTAGAGAGAAAGCTCTCCTTCCTACCCACCTCGCCTCTCGTTGATAGGACTCGCCGCTAAGTTTTGTGGAAAAAGTTGGGGGAAATTCCCTTCAGAAGGGGAAGGCTTGTCTCTCCCACCTATCACCACCATCTCTTCCTCCCGCCCGTTGTCCCACTAACGTGTCCTTGGCAGCACAGGGTCAGGGGTAGCCTCCGCAGCTTCTGCTGCTGCTGACTACCAAGCCAGGAAGGAACTCCTTTCCCCCTCACCATGGCCTTCAGGCACCTAAGTCCATTCACAGCTGTGGATGAGACACGGGACATTTTGGTAACAGCCCAAACATAGTTCTGGAGATTCCTAATCCTACTGAGCTATGCATTTATAAGTTTAAGATAACAGTTGACGGAGAAGGGGTAGTCGCTTACCTTTTTTTTCCTTTGGTCTTTAAAAAATTTTTTATTGAACTTATTGGGGCAACATTGGTTAATAAAAATATACAAGTTTCTATAATATGTCATTTGAATATTGTATTACGTATTCACCACCCAAGGTCAAGTCTCCTTCTATCACCATCTATCCCCCTCTTCTCCCTCCCCGACCCCTCTTTCCCTCTGGCAAACACTGTACTGTGTCTATAAAGTATTTTTTTCACCCAGCCCCCCAACCCCTCTCCCTTCTGACAGCTGTCAGTCTGTTCTCTGTGAGTCTATTTTTTTTGTTGTTAGTTTACTTGGTTCACTAGATTCCACACAGAAGTGAAATTGCATGGGCTTTGTCTTTCTCTGACTGGCTTATTTCACTTGCCTTTAAACTTACTGTACTTTAACATGCAAGTTAATCTCAAAGCCTACTAAAGATTAAATCAGAGCAAATTCCGTTATCTGACATTCTTTTCACTGAAAGCTTCCCTTAAATGGCAGTTCCGCAGAGCGTGGTGTAATGACAAATGAGAATGCGTGTAAAAGGCACAGTCTTGAAATGCCTTGTGAATCACACTCCAAAAACCTGAATTATGGTCTCATCCTGAAGCTAAATGTTTTCACTATAGCCTGCTTCATGGGAAAGTGGCTGGCTGTGCATGGTTAATATGGTAACCGTGAAATGGAATGTCTAATCAAAGCACCGCCTTTTCCAGGTGTAGGCATTGACCTGTCTGTGGCTGCCCTACTAATACATCAGTGTGCGTGACACACACACACACTTTTTATTGCTTTATTTCTCAACTCTCTAGGAAGTCACTAAGGAAATATCTACCTCTCTTCTGCAGATAACAACTGTAATGTAAGTATTTTTAAGGCTTTCAACCTATTTCCTACCTATTTACAGTTACAAATTGGATAGAAGAAATTTCACTTAGATGAAGCTCTTTTACTTACCAGTCCATCTTTGTCATAGGGTGAGTCAAAGTTATCCAGAAATTTCCTGAATACTTGCTCCTCAGTCCATTCTCCGTTCTGGTACTTGGGATGGTGTTTTGCGTTGTACACCTCACGGAGGTCTTCAATTGTTATGACGCCATCTCCGGTCTTGTCTAACTTTCTAAAAGCTTGCATAATTACCTCTTTTCTGGCTCTGGACATTGGAGGCTACACAAATAGAAGAAGAAAAAACACAGCAACATGCACAAGCAAATAAGCCATTTTGTATGTTATGAGATAAAATATCTGATTCCCCTCAACCAGGTGCAACGGTTTGTGGGCCATTAGTGACATGCATTGTGATCTTTCCCCAGGTTCCTACATCTGTTCTTCTCCTGCCCATCAAGTTCGCTGGGCACTAACAGCTTCTGAAAACAAAACCTCAAGACAGCCAACCCAAACCACGTGAAAACCAGACCCAGCAGACACGTTGACTCACAGGGCCACCTACCCTTAAGGTGAGAAGAAACTCATTGAAGTCAATGGTTCCATTTCCATCCTTATCAAACCTCCGGAAAAGCTCTTCTGCCTCTTCCTTCTCCATGACCACGGCATAATCGTTTAACCCTTTCACGAATTCTTTGAAATCAAGACTTCGGTTGTTATTGTCATCCATAATTCGAAACACTCTGAAGAAAGTACACACACACACAAAGAAGAAACCCACAAAGAACAAGGTGAAGCATAAAGATTTAAAAACAAAACCACTCTCAGGATTTTTCAAAGTAAAATACAAGTCTTAGATTGTTCTCTGAACCCTCCTCCCAAAATTGGAGAGCCTCTTCCCGGTGTCTCATAAAAGAAGACAAACCTTTGAAAAAATGGACTGTGTAATTCCAGTGTAAAGGCATTTTAGCCAAACTGTAAACACAGTAAAAAGATGGGGGGAGGCAAGAAGCATGGGGGAATTCTAGGGCAATGAAACTATTCTGTATGATACTATAGTGGTGGATACATGGCATTAAGCTCCTGTTAAAGCTCATAAAAATTTACAGTACAAAGAGTAATCATTAATGTATACGATTCTTTAAAAAATTACTTAGAAGGTCTGGAGATCCCAGGAAGGAAGGTAGTCTTTGACGAGGGAATCTAACTGTCCTACAGAAGTTTAAAGCAATCTCACCGAGAGGGAGAGGTGGGGCGAAGGTCCGGACATAAGCAACTTTGGAAATGAGTCAGTAAGACTACAGGTGAAATGGGCCACACGTCAGCACTGCGCACCAGGTGATGGTGTTTCCCGGGGTGTGAGCCAACAGCCCTGATGTCGCTCTCCAGGTGTGTTGGAATTGAACAGTTAAGTAAATGGACAGCAGCTGGTGGGAGCCAAGTTTCTCACTACAGGAATGGGAGGGGATTAACAGGGGGCCAGAATGATCTGATTTGGGCGGTGAGAGATTAGAGTTGGAGACGTCAGTATGAACTCAGGTTTAGCTCAATACCAACACAGATGATTACAGATGGAAACAAGTATAGATGTATGTGCATCTCCAGGTTAAGAGGACCTAGAAGTAACACCCACTAACAACAAGCACATCTAGAGCCTAGATCTTGGTTTCTAATACTATCCTCCAGTAAAAGGAACTGAGCTTCTTAGAGAAATTGCTGACTCTAAGACTGGGGCAGGAAACATGCGAGGTAAGCTTTGAGTATTTTGTACCTCAAAGTGAGAAAGTGCTCAAAACAAACACATACACACACACAACCTTGCACTGATGGGGAAACATCTCGGGGCACAGGAGCCGACCGAACACACTCCCAAAGCCAAAACTGGAACAGCGTGAGCAATGAAATAAAGCAGTGTTGGCGTATAACCCAAAGTATAAAATAAATATCCATAAGTCCATATTGGTTCAAATAAATGATTAAATAAATAAATGTGGCAGAAGAGTTAGATTTCTCTTTTTTCTTTTATTTTTTAAAGATTTTTATTATCATTTATTTATCTTTAGAGGGGAAGGGAAAGAGAAAGGGAGAGAAATATCAACGTACGGTTGCCTCTCATGTGTCCCCTGCCAGGAACTGGCCTGCAACCAGGTATGTTCCCTGACTGGGAATTGAACCGTGATTCTTTGGTTTGCAGGCCCACGCTCAATCCGCTGAGCTACACCAGCCAGGGCCTATTTTTTCAATTACATTTTACTGATTATGCTATTACAGTTGTCCTGATTTTGCCCCCCTTGCTCCCTTCACCCAGCACCCCTATTCCCTCAGGCAGTCCCCACACCACTCTGCATGTCCACAGGTCATGCGTATAAGTTCTTCGGCTTCTCCATTTTCTATAATGCCCCTTACACCCCCGTGGCTATTCTGAAACCACCTGCCTGTACTTCTTAATCCCCTCGCCTCTTCACCCACTCCTCCACCCCGTCCCCCGCCAATTTGGCAACTGTCAAAATGCTCTCTGTATCCATGATTCTGTCGCCGTTCTCCTCGTTTGCTTAGTTTGTTTTTTAGATTCAATTATTGATAGATATGCACTTTTTGCCATTTTATAGTTCATACTTTAGATCTTCTTTTTCTTAAATAAGTCCCTTGACCATTTCATATAATAATGCTTTGGGAATGATGAACTTTACTTTTCTCTTGTCTGGGAAGCTCTTTACATGCCCTTCAATTCTAAATGATAACTTTGCTGGGTAGAGCAATCTTGAATCTAGGTCCCTGCTTTTCATGACTTTGAATATTTCTTGTCAGTCCCTCCTAGCCTGCAAAGTTTCTTTTGAGAAATCAGCTGACAGTCTTATGGGAACTCCCCTGTAGGTAAATGACTACTCTTCTATTGCAGCTTCGAAGATTCTCTCTTTATCTTTAACCTTTGGCATTTTAATTATGATGTGACTTGAAGTGGGTCTCTTTGCATCCATCTTGTTTGGGACTCACTGTACTTCCTGGACTTGCATGTCTATTTCCTTCACCAAGTTAGGGAGATTTTCTTTCATTATTTTTTCAAGTAGATTTCCAATTTCTCACTCTTTCTCTTCTCCTTCTGGCACCCCTATGATGTAAATGTTAGACCTCTTGAAGTTTTCCCAGAGGCTGCTTACACTATTCTCATTTTTTTGGATTATTTTTTTTTCTTGTTCTCATTGGTTATTTTTTGCTCCATTATGTTCCAAATTATTGATTTGATTCTCAGCTTCATCCACTTTACTGTGTTTCCCTGCAAATTGTTCTCTACTTCAATTAGCATATCCTTCATTTCTGATTGGATCTTTTCTATGCTGCTAAGATCCTAAGTTCCTAGAGCATCCCTATAACCAGTGTTCTTAACTCAGCATCTGATAGATTGTTTATCTCCATTTCATTTAGCTCTTTTTCTGGAGTTTTGATAGGTTTTTTCATCTGGTCCATGTTTTTTTGTCTCCTCATTTTGGCAGCCTCTCTGTGTATGTTTCTGTGTATTAGGTAGAGCTGCTTTGACTCCATGTCTTGGGAGTGTGGCCTAATGTCATGGGTGTCCTGTAGGGTCCAGTGGCAGAGCCTCCCCCATCACCCAAGCTGGATACTTGAGTTGCATCCTTTGTGTGAGCTGAGTACACACTCCTCTTGTAGTTGAGCCTTGATTGCTGTTGGCAGATCAATGGGAGAGATTTACCCGGGCCAGCCAGCTGCAGGGATTGGCTGTGACCACTGACCACCAACATCCACCCTTCATGGAGAATCAGCTGTGTGGGGGCAAGGCAGTGGTGCTCCAATGTGGTCCATAGCTAACCACTATGTGCACTGGTCCTGGAGGTTCCTGAGTTGTTCAGGTCAAGGTCAGCCTTCATCTGTGTTTTGGTGGGGGGCCACCCTGCCTGAGCTATAAAGCAGTCTGAGATGGCTGCTACTTGTGCTGGATTTGCAGATTCCCAGGTGAAGCCAAACTGTGAATCTTGGCTGGTTGCTGCTAGTGCTGGTCCTGGGCCTCGCCAGCTGTTTCTTATTTGATAAGATTCAGGAAGTTGTGAAGCATGAGCAAGACAAGCCATTCATATGGAAAGGCAGCATGGATGGAGCCATAAGTTGCAAGGGGCAGAGTCTCTGGGGATCTCCAAGGCAGATCAAACAGTGTTGGCTGGGTTGATTAAGGGAGGTTCCTTTCACTATTTTTTTCAAATAGAGTTCCAATTTCTTGCTCTTTTCCTTCTCTTTCTGGCACCCTTCTGTGATGTGACTGTTGGACCTCTTGAAGTTTTCCCAGAGGCTTCTTACATTATCCTCATTGGGGGGATTCTTTTTTCTTCTCATTGTTCTTATTGGTTATTTTTGTTCCATTATGTTCCAAATCAATGTCTGAGATATGGCACCAGTTTGACGGCTCTGTAGGGGGAGGATTTAGAAAAAGGACAATGGCCTCTGCTCACCTTGATGTCAAACACTTTAGTTCCTCCATTTATGTCACTGGTGCCTTCAAAGCTTCTACCCCGGTGCTGGAGCTCAGAGGAAGTGAGTCTGAGTAGGTGAGTCCATGTGTGGGTTCTTTAAGAGGAACTACTTGGGCCTTCAGAAGTTTCCTCCACTGACTCAGTCCCTGCTGGTTTTTTCAACTAGAAGTTATGGGGACTTCTCTTCCTGGCACTGGAACCCTGGGCCAGGGGGCCTGGAGTGGGGCTGGGACCCCTCACTCACAAGCTAACCTCCCAAAGTTCTATCTGCCACACACAGGTGTGAGACCAGCCCGTTCTGCATCTGCACCCCTCCTACCAGTCTGGATGGATGTGGTTTCTTCAATTCCGCAGTTGTCAGACTTTTGTTCAACTCAAATTCTGATAGTTCTGAGAGACGGCTGTTATATTTAGTTGTAATTGTGATGTGGTTATGTGAAGAGGTGAGCCTGTCTGCCTGTGCTGCCACTGACCAGAAGTGAGACCGATTTGTAGAAGAATTCCAAATATACGATGTTCACACACTGCCCTCAAGGAGGGAAAGCATACTCTCTGCATTTCAGTGGCTTGGCACAGAGACTTCTTTCCAAAAAGAGGGGTGAGTAACTTCACATTTAAAGCCAGACAAACACCATCTTAGGTAAGTGATCAAGGTCAGCATCAATAGTGAGAAATCACGTTGACAGTATACATCCTTGGTGGGATGCTATGAAAATGGTACTTTCCTTTTGTGGCCCCCCAAAACCATAATTCCAGCCTAATCATGAGGGGAAAGAAGAAGAAAGGAACCTCCACTTGGGTTGAGAAAAAATTTGGGGAAGGGCAAGACCAGCAAGGGGAGGAGGCAGAGGACACATTCCAGCAAAAGGCCAAGGACGAGACAGTGTCTGTTCACAACAGGCTAGTTCACTGTGAAGGGGCCACTGAGGCTGATGGGTGGAGACGGGATGGGCAGCAGGAGGGACTGGACTGCAGGGCCCAGGGGTGGGAGGGAGGGTGGCGTTCTTGAAGGACCTGCACCAGGCACAGTGATGTGAACAGAGGATGAGAGAGGGAAAGGTCGGGGTGATAGGCCATTGAAGGGAGGTGGGCTGGTCTCCCAGCTGCACTGTGAGAGCCTGGGCTCTAACAGAGCTTTAGTCCGAGAAGTCAGGACTGCTGACGGCGACATCCCCGATGCTCAGTGTGTGTCTCGGGAAGTGAAGCCTTCCACAGCCTCCACATGCGAGGCTGCTTTTCCCTACCATCACACCCTGTGCACTTCTTTTATATATATATATATTTTTTTATTGATTTATTTTTTAGAGAGAGGGGAGGGGAGGGAGAGAAACATCAATGTGTGGTTACCTCTTGTGGGCCCCATACTGGGGACCTGACCCAAAATCCAGGCATGTGCCTTTACTGGGAACCAAACCGGTGACCCTTTGGTTGACAGGCCGGTGCTCCATCCACTGAGCCACACCAGCCAGGACGCACCCTGTACGCTTCTGACATACACTTCCTCACACTGCAGATTCCTGTCTTCGTGACCCTCGGCCTCCTGGTCCAAACTCTGCATGAGCTGTGGAGAAGCCTGCTCAAGCGTGTCACCCCAGTCCTGTGCCCAATGCCTGGCCCAGGGCAGGCACTCGGTCAGAAGGGCCTACAGTCTCTTTGCCCTTGGCCTTCTCAGTCCTGAGGACTGCCCAGCCTACCAGGGAGCCACAGCCCAGCAATGACAGAGCTGTGGGGCCCCGCAGATGGGAGCTGTTAGTTATCCAATAGGTGGTTCCGGGCCCCTGGACAGCAGAGAGGCACGGGTGCCTGAGAGCACAACTGCCAACTTTGCGATGGTGTCTAAACCACTGTCCCTGCCTCCTGCTCCAAACCCCTGCATCACAGCTTCAGGGAGCGGCTCTCCTGGTCCTGCCAGGTGTCTTTAAGCACCAGTCAAGCTTCTCCCTCCACCTCGAGTGTCCCGGCAGCTGCACTTTCTTGTAGCAGACATGGCCCTTGCTGAATCTGGGACTAAGGACCAAAATGGTCGCAAGGAACCTCAAAGATCAGTCCTTCCAAACTCCGCCTTGACCATCCAGGAACTGAGAGCCCAGGAGGCCACACTAGCATCGGCCTCACCGGGCTGTGTCCTGCCTTGTCCTCCATGTCCCCACCACCCCAGGGGTCCTACCTGCCAAGTCCTTTGATGCCCGCAGAGCCCCTGGCCAGGCACTGCAGCCGGAGTCTTTCGATGGGGTCGGTGGCCGTGGTGAGCCTTTTCTTGGCCTGCATCACCATCTCTCGGTCATGGCGTGCTGTCCCTGCCATCTGAGAGGAAATCCACAACCCGTTAGGAGGGCGAAGGCCTCGTCACCGGCCTCTGGCTGGCTGGTCAGGTGGCAGCAGCCTCCTGGAGGAGAAGGAAATTCCCAGCACACTCTCTCACTGGCTTCCTGAGGACCATCTCAAACTCCCAGAGTTCCCTGGGTTTAGGTCCACCATCTGTGTGCCATCATCGTTCCCACTTACCTCCCTGGTCCAAGGACGGCGGAGTTCTCCCACCTGGACAACAGTTTCAGAACTACGGCCGGTCCTCAGCAGGCCCAGGCCACAAAGCAGCACCCCGCCTCTAACCTCCTTTTGAGACAACCTTCTAGGCTTCATTCTTTTATTTAGAATTTCCCTTTTTCCTTTGACTGCCTGTTTAACAGTCTCGTTTCTGGACCAAGCACTAATTTTTGTTGCTTCTGTCTTCACTGAGATTCTCAGCATCTGGGCCTTAGTGACCCCTACCAGTAACATGTAGGTTTTCCTTGGCGAACAGGTTAATGCCCATTGAATACTGAACTACACTCTCAGCACAGAAAGAAGGGTAAATACACTCTGTCTCTCCTGACAAATAGATTTAGCTTTTTTCCCTACAATTTGGCTTCTGTGTGTTAAATGTCCAGAAAAAGCTGAGAGGGCGGGGGAGGCCCATGAGCAATGTGCCGGCCACTGCAGGGGGCTTGGGTTCTGAGAACTAGAACAACAGTGGAAACACAGGGCTGGGAGCCTGGAGACCCAGGGTCCAGTCCTGACTCATCAGAACGCTCCCGGTATCGAGTCTCAGGCCCTCCGATGCCTCCTCCTCTGTTAAATAAAGGGATATGATGAGGTGATCTTTTAAGTTCCGCTCCTGCCTGGCAAATCTTCATACAAGCCTGCTCCCCCAGTAAATGGATCATTCCATATATTACTCTCTCGTGTAAGTTGTGAATGAAAAGAGCAAGAGAGCTTGGTGGACATACAAAAAACAGTATTTAATCTGCAGAAAAATGGTGTTAGAATGAATCCAAACTTGACTCGAGTGCGCCCCCTGCCGGCCAAGTGCTGGCACTTCCCCCGAAGGCCACACTAGGATAAGATTCCGACCTGCACCCTCTGTTTGCTCTCCTCCTATACAACCCATAAGAGCGCCCACAAAGTTCTCCTTCTTTAACCTTAGAGAGGAATCTCAGACAGAAAACTGACCAAAATAGATAATTCAGGGATACACATGCTTCACTGCTCATTTCCTACAAGCACCTCCCAAAAACCAAGCACTGGGCTCCCCGGCACTTGCTCCTTTTCACAGATTCCCATCCCCTATCGGGGGTGTCCAGACTTCTGGCGTCTCTGGGCCACACTGGAAGAAGATGAGTTGTCTTGGGCCGCACATCAAATACGTGGCAACACATAATCCATGCGTAATACCTTGCGCCCACTCACGGGAGAGCAGTCGAGTTGGGAGCCCCGCCTCCTGCCCCCTCCGGCAGCCAATCCTGCCCAGCGACGAAGCAAGCAGTTACCTCTGGACTCTACTCTGACACGTTCGGAAACAGTGCACCTTTCTCTCCTGCCAGCCCACCGTGGCACCTAAAACGCCCTCATCGACGTCAAATGTATTGGGGTAACACTGGTTACTAACATCACGTGAATTTCAGGTGCACACCACTGCAATTAGACACCTGTGTGCCTTCGATTACCATGTATTTGACCCCCTTTACCCGTTTTGCCCCACCCCCCACCCCTTTCCCTTCTGCTGCCCACCATTCTGCTGTCTATGAGTGTGTTTTTGTTTACCTTGTTAGTTTGTTGTTTTTTGTTTTACTGTTCCATGGTTTTTGTCCTTTTTAGTCTTTAGTGACCCAGTTCATTAACTAATAGCTATGTATTTTGCCATGTATAATGAGCACTTTTTTGCCCAAATTGTTGAGGGAAAAATAAGGATGCGCATTATACCTGGATAGCACTAATTCCATATTTATAGAAATGTTTTTATCCTTTTATTTATGCTTATGCATTACAAGCATAACTCTAGAAAGCAATAACAATATCCATATGCAAAATAATACCCTGAATATGGTCATCATTTTGTTTCTAAATATAAATAAATAAAACATTGAATTAACAAATTTAAAAGAAAGATTTTTTCCTGAAAGTTAGGGCCAAAAACATGAGTGCACATTTTACATGGGAGCACATTATACACGGCAAATTACAGTAATATTTATTGCATGCTGTTTTCAGGCACCAGTGCTGGAATGGGGAGATCGCTCTGAGAAGCATGCCCTTGAAAAGCTTAGAATCTTAAACTTGAGTACAGAGGTCCGGGTTGGGTAAGGAGCACCGCATACCTAAAATTTACTTCTGAAGAAGTCGGGATGGCTCAGGTGGAGTCTCAGTGAAAAAGGGCGATACTCAGAGCTTCTGAAGTTTGCTCCATGGCACCAGGTACTAGGGCGGGAGTCTGTCCCACACGTGTGCTACCAAGATGACAGCACTGCACAGACCGTGCCCGACTCCAGAAGACAGCCGTCTGAACGCCCAGCCCAGCAGGTGCACGGCCGGGAGTGGGCTGCCCTCCCAAAGCACGTGGCTGCAGCGCCACCTCGTGTTGGCGTCCTGCCTACGCAGTTCCCCCGGCCAGGGGCGCTATGAGTCCTTCAAAAAATGTCGACAAAAGACGAGCGCCTGGGCCCTGTGCTAGGGAAGGTAAAAGGCAGCGAAACAGACAAGGCAAACAACCTGTAGGAGGGGGAGGTGCGACCCCAATACTGCAACGGATCGAAATAGGGAGGCTACCCCAGCCTAGAAGTGGGGCTTTTTGGGGACTTCGCAGAGGAGGTGGTGATGGCTAAGCTTTAATCCTCCAGGAAGGTGGTGGTTACTCAGACTTGGGTCGTGGGGATGGAAGAAGGGAGGGTAAGGTATAGTTTCCAAGCACTAGGGGCAAAGTGAAAGAGAAAATAGTATTATGGGGAAATACAAGTACTTTCAGTATGACTGGGAAATTCGGGCTGTGTGTGCTGGGTGGAGATGGGGCAGGAACGTGGAAAGGGGGCATTTGCAGACCACAAAGAGCCTGGGACACGGTGGTGCAGGGTTCTGTACTGAGAGCAACAGGAGCTGGCAGGGCGTTTAGCTCTGGGGGCAACAGTCTGCTTTGCAAAAGGCTGACAAGCTGCACTTCATTGGGTTGTCTTTGGTGCCTCCTAGTAACGATGGACTGAACCACACATTCTCAACTCTCCCTCCTCCCCCCTCCCCCCAGTGCTGGGTGGAGTCTACAGCCCACAACCTGCTACAGAGAGGGGGGTCTGAGAGTCAAGGGGCACCCCTCTCCCACCAGGCATCCATAAAAGAGAAAGCCCCGCGAGCTTCCACATCCCCTTGGAAACAAAGTGCAAAGGAAACCTCTCAGTCCGCCCTCTGAAGGGCCCTCCCACTGTGGGTCCTCTGCCACTGCTCTCCAGTGTCTCTTTCGTGAAAAAGAGGGTCGCATGGAGGAGCCGAAGCTGAGTTGGCCTGTGTAAGAGGAGGGCGGGCAGAATGAGGTGTCAGGAAGGTACTGTGAGTAGGTGGGTGCCCAGGGAAGACAGGCAGTCTTGTCCCACCCGACCTGCGCCCCCCCCCCCCTGAGGAGGGCAAGCAGCCCGGGCGGGGATGCCCTGAGTGGTCCTTGGCACCCACTGCGAGGAGACTGCTGTCCCTTTGAGCAGATGGCATGTCCTGGCCATGAGAACGGCCCGCAGAGCAGTCCGGCCCCTCCAAAGGCCTCTCCTGCCCCAGAAGCCAGCAGCCCACTCTCCCCACAGCCAGCCAGGCCAGGTCCTGACTTTGACCTTAACATTGGTAGGCACCTCTGTAATGTAGATACCTGTGCTGTCACATCAGCCATTTCGATCTGCCTGGAGTTGCTACAACAGCTCCTTGTGGTTTTAGAAAACATTCTGTGTTTTAGAGAGAAGAAATGAGAAAGCCAATGTAGCACATAGTCACTGATAAAACTTGTGGGGCTTCACCCTGATTTCCAGGGGGTGGGACCCGTATTTGCCTTCTATCAAGTTCACATCCAAGTCAAAACTATTTCCATCTCTGCTAGCTCGCTTCTTGACCCTGAGCACAGGGACCAGTCCCCATGGAAGTGACAGACATGAGGTGTTTTTACTCTTTCTCTCTCTATTTGGGAACTGGGCATGAGTCTGAAATTTTAATTCAACTCAGCGGGCCTTTCTGTACTTGAAAGGCCACACCACGGACCACGTTTGAAGGCGCAGGTTGCCCTCCCTCTGACCCAGTTCACTCACTAAACGAGTTACTACTGCACGATGGATAACAACAACCTGGGCTCTTTCAGAAGTTGGCCCTTGGAAAGTGCCCCTCTGGGATAAGCATTAGATCCCAGGGTGACCCGCAGGCGACCAGGATGCCCCTCCCCTGAGTTGGAAAGGAAAGACACGGACACTTTGAAGGGAGACATGGTTTCTGCTGGGAACACCGGCAAGCCCCCCTGAGAGAGAGAGTGACAGGCCTGTGTCGTGATACGAGTTCTCTCATTGAACCCATCTGAGCTCAGTCCATCTAAACACACCCTGGGCACCTCGGCCACACGAGAGACTGTGCTAATTTGCCAGGTGATAGTGTAGAGCTGTGGCCCCAAATAGGTATAATTTTTGCCCTCCCCCTGCCCCACCTGAGGACATTTGACAATGTTTGGAGGCATTTTTGGTTGTCAGAACAATAGGGAGGGGTGCTACTGCATTTAGTGTGTGCGGGCCAGAGATGCTGCTAAACATGCTCTGAGAGCCCTTGGCAATGACCGCAAAGAATCTCCAGGCCCAAATGGCAGTGGCACTGAGGTTGAGAAGCTGGGCTCCAGAGAAAGACCTGGGCCTCCGGGGGTGGTTGGGATTAGAGCTAGGTATGGTAGGTGCCTAAGGCACAATGTTTAAGGAGGCCCTCAATCTCAGGATCAGACAAATGTCAACTTTGCACATGCACAAGCCTGAGAGTGAGCACTTTCTTAATTAGTTCGCCCCAGGTATTAGTACCTTGCCTCATCCTAGGTGGGCACTAAATTCAACAGGTTTATTAAATACTTATTATGTGACACAACATACCAGTGAATGAGGCATTTACCTTCCTCGAGGTAGCTTTAATTTTGTTGAATTTGACTGACAGATGATTTTCCAGACACTGCTGATCCAAAGGTCATTCCAATGTGCCTTCTATATACATTCCAGTTTCAGTCAAGGCCATGTGAAACAAGTGCTGGCCAGAAAGATTCAACTGCAAGTTCTGAGGGCTCTGAGAGAGCACTCTCATCTCTTTGCCTCCTTCTGCTTTGAACACAAATGCAATATCTGGACGTATGGCAGCCTTTATGCAATCATGAGGGAAGGGCTAAGGGAATCAGAGATACCCAAGTAGAGCCCTAACATCACTGAGCTACTGAGTCAGTTGTAACCAACTGCCTAACTTCACACTCCTGTCATGTGAGAAACATAAGCTTCGATTTGTTTAATTCATTGTTGGTCGGGGCCACTGTTACTTGCAGCCAAAAGGATTCCTAACTGTTACAACAGGCAAAAGTTGATTCCTGCAGTGTTTGGGTTGGCCCTAGATATTGACCTGTACCTGGGTAAAATAACTACCAATCCAGTGAGGAGAGGCTTAGCTCGCCCAGAAAGCTGGGAGGAGAGGTAGAGTAACTCCGTTATAACCTCTTCACTCGGTAACAGCCTCTCAGCATAGGACCCAAGTAACTAACACAATGCACTACAAACCCAGGTTTAATAAAACACAGAGGCCCCAGGGTTCCAGGGCCCTTGTTGTGATGACCTTCCCCTGGGAATCAGCAGCCACAGGCGCTGTCTCGGGAGCGCTCTCCTCACTGTTTCCATCTCACTCTTCCCTTCTGCTCTGCCTTAAATCTCTGGGGTTTTTACCGAGAAATTTCTTGCAACCTAGTCTGAGGCAGGCAGCCTGCCAGATGCAAGGTGTTAAAGAAGCCGGGTAAGAAAATATCTAACCTACCCAAAGCTTTGGCTGGAGTTGTTTTCCAAAAAAGAAAATAAATAAAAAATGAAACGTGTCTTCCAGACTCCCTGGTTTCAGTGACTCTGCTCTTAGAACCAACCTACCAGGTATTTTTCCTTAATTATCCATTTTTTCAGGTTTGACAAGGCCTTGGCCTCAGTGATTTCCAACCTGCTGGAGGGACAAACCCCAGCTGCGCCTGTCCCCCTGCTCTGGGACGAGGGCAGAGGCCACAGCCCTGCCTGCCCTCTGCCCTTTTGCGACTCACCAAAATCACTTACTTAGTAACAATTTGACGGTCACTTTCCAGGCTTATTTTGGAATCATCTGTCTATTGAATGTTTGCTTTATAGCCATGTAGAAAGCCAGCAATTACTTGCATCCTTCATGCTCTAAACCACGATTTTTTGCCAGTGTGCTGCAGCACGCTGCTGTGCCACGAGAAGTTTTAAAACACGCAACACCTGACCGTGCAGCCAGGGGCGCTGCCCCGCTTTCCTCAGATTGTCAAGTGAAAAAGTGACAACAGCCAACAGAGCAACAGGTGCAAATGGATCAAAGTTATACCTATTTTTTAATAGCAAAAACTATATTTTTTTGATGTGGGGAAGAATTTTAGTAATTAGTTTATATGACATCAGATGAAAACAGGGTGAAAATCAGTGCTTTAACCAGATACTTGCAGAAAATCACCAAGTGGCCATGGACAGACATTCAGTACTGAGTGTCGGCCTTGGCGTGGGCTGGCCTATCAGGCAGGAATTCCATCCAGCTACTCCCAACAGAGACAGGCTGCCTTCGGAAAGGATAGAGGTTTATTTTCCGCTTTTGTAAAAGCAAGTCTAAAGGCAACTCGGGTAGTCATCAAGCTCCAGAGAAACTACTATCCTTCTAACCATGGTTTTTTCCCCTCAAAGTTGCCCAAAGTTACAAAAGAGCCCTGGCAACTCCGGCCATTATATCCACATTACAGGCAACAGAAAAAAGAAAGGGGTGGGAGCAAGGTCACACTTCCCAGATGAGTCGGCTCCTTGTAAATGGTTCCCGGCAGATGCCACTCAACCCCTTCCACTTACATCTCATTGGCCACTCCTGCAAAGAAGGCTGGAGCTGTGGTCTGCATCTTTGTGTCGGCCCAGAATTCAAACACTGGTTGAAGTCCTAACTCACAAAGACAGTAGTATTAGGAGGTAGGGCCTTTGGAAGGTGCTGTCTGTGTGCCGGAAGACAGCCCTTCCCCATCATGCCGGTGCCTCGGCCTGAGGCTGTCCAGCCTACAGAACTGGGAGAAATAAATTTCTGCTGTTCAAAAGCCACCCAGTCTGAGTGTCCTGTTGCAGCAGCCTGAACAGACCGAGACAACTGGCAACTCTGATTTCGGGCTGGGCACTTTGCCACCCCCCAGGTTCTGTTTACAAAGAAGAGAAGACCAGCTAGTAAGTAGGCAACTGGCAGATTCTTCCACTTTTGGCAGAAGAACTAGTGTCTTTCCAGAAAGTAAGGGTGTAAGCACTTCCAGATCAGCTCTCAGGACCCTGGGGCTTTTGGAGACATAGGGAGCAGCCAGCTCGCCCCCTCATGGAGTGTCCTAAGTGACCTTACTAAGGTGAGCCCAGGGAGCAGACGTGTGCACATGGGTGATTCTTCCTTTCTCAGTCTCTGATCCCTCAGAGCAAATAACACCCACCTTTCCACGGGCAGAGACCAAGGCACTCCGAGTTCAGGGCAACATGACCTAAGATAAACTGGATGTGGGGACATCCAGCCACTGCCCACTGGCCCAATGTGCCTGTCTACCTAGTTTGGTAAATAAAGACTTTTTGGAAAACAGCCACACGTTCGTTTATGTGCTTCAATGGCTGTGAAAGGGACGGCCTGTGTTTTACGAGTTGTCCCCAGTCCGTTTGTTTAGGGCAGAAAATGCATCTGGTATAAAGTAGATTTTGATAACTGTTACAGTCTGCAAAGTGCTCCCACGTGTATAAGAGGGCATGTGGCTCTTCCCACGTTACCAGATGAGGGCACAGCAGAACCAGGAGGAGCAGGGCTGCTCTGGCGCGGGCAGCACAGCAGAATGAGATTCTGAGCAGGGTCTTTGGCACCTACTGCTTCTCCAGGGGTGTTCTGTATGTTACACACAACACGTCAGAAAATAGTCTTTTTTCCAACAAGTTGCCACCAACCATTCGCACATAAAAACTAGGACAAGCTGGTTAACAAGACCGAGCCCAAAAGCACACTTGGCAAGAACCGGCAGCACACGGTGAGTCACTCACTGGCGAGCTTCCACCAGGCTCCCTCCCCCGCAGGAGGCTGCTGCGGGCAGAGGCCTCGAGGTGTCGCCGCACCCAAACCAGGGCTTCCACAGTGAGAGCGTGTCCAGTGTCCCCCCTCAACCACGGGCTACCCTGCTCTCTCCAGACCACTTTTCAGTTTGCAGTATAAGGAAAACTTTCGTTCACTTCAGGTTATAAGATGTATTTTTAAAAATTATTCTAAGACCAGAGGCAATGGAATTGTGGCAAGAAATGTGCCAGGGACTTTGCTGCAAAGAACACCATGCCTGCTGCACACTCGCACAGTGTCAGGGGTGTGAGAGAAGCAGCCAGTGGCCCTTCTCCAACGCAGTAACCAACTGGCAATGCGTCTTCTCCCAAAGCCAGCGTGTTTGTGTCTGAGATACGGAACCCTGCTCTCAGCAACCTCGGTGCTTTCCTTTATACGAAATTGTCTGAGATTAGAATGGAGAGCAAAATTTTACAAGGAAAATTCAGGAAGGTAAAGCCTTCATTCATAAATTAACACCATTAAAGCAGCGCTTGAACCCGGGAGTGTATTCCCCAAGCTGAACACCCCACTCCTTACTCCCGGGCACCCCATCCCCAGCACAGGTTACTGACAAGGCGTGGCCCCCCTGAGACCAAGGGCACCTGCCGAGAAGAGGCACCCAGACGTTTCTCAATCCCTGTCCCATTATAAATCTCCAAAGTCCCATTGGCCTCTCAACAACAGACGATCTTCACAGTCGGCTCCTCCCCATCCCTTCTCCGTCCACAGCTGGGCTCCAGGAAGCTGACGCCTGCCAACTGCCTTTACCACGTGTCCTCGCTCCCTGGCTTCCTGCTACATCCGACCAATGGGGGGCACCAGCAGGCAATCAGAGGGCAGGAGGAGCCAGACGCTGGCTGGAGTGTTTCTGTTCCCAGCTGCCCTTCTGCCCAGCGACAGTGGTCACTGACCGCGATCCTTCACCAAAGGCGGCCTTCCCTGTAGACCTGCTCCCCTCCAGGACCCTTCAGGCCTAAGGACAATTCCCCTCCTCACTGTGGCAACCCTGCCGTGTCTCCTCATTCCCTATCGAGATCCCTTAGCCTCCCCCCCATCTTTGTAAATTGTCTTTCATTTAACTCTTCTCCGTTACCAATTCTGGATATGCCATCCATTTCCTGCCATGGGACTGCTCGGTCCAATGTCTTCATCCTAGCTGGTACCTGAATTTGGGTGAGAAACTCTGCTTCTGCAGTCTTCCCAGGTAAAGGTACTTCCTACCCCCAATTCTAGGTATAAGGAAGCTTGCAGTCTCTGAAACGCCGCCACACATGGTGACCCATTCTCTGTCCCTTCCTAAATCCCCGACACTCTGAATCCTGCCTCAGAGATGTCCTCTCCATGCCAAGTGTCCCCACCAACCTGGGCCACCTCAGAGGTCGTCGGCAATCCATCCATGTAGCCGTGAGGTTCTGGAGCGCTGTGAGTTCTACCACGTCCTTCTGCTCTTGCTTTTCGTTCCGCATGCCTTCCCAGACCATCTCTCACATTGTCACCTTCCAGTTTCATTCTGCCAGCCACAGATGCCTGCGACCTCACGAAGCCTCTAGACTCCTGACCCTGCATTTCCATCGGAGCCATTACCTGCCTCGTTCTCGTGGATATTTCCTTCCCTCTCCATTCTAGACACCACAGCACATCATCCGGACCACTCCTTCCCAGCACCTTCTTCCTCAGCCCTCCCTTGTCAACCTCCCTCCTCCCCGATTCAACCTGCTCGAAGCTGAGTTTCATCAGTGGTCATGCCAGCCAGGTAGAGCAGGTCACCCAAACACTTCACACTCCAGTATCTACCACACAGTGACTGCTCAGTGAAGTTCTCGCCCTTCCCCTTTCCTGAGTGGGGCTTATCACTGTGCATTTGTATCTCTGCTCCTCTTCCCAGGGGGCAAAGCCTTCCCTGGGGCTAAGCTAACCCCCACCCCAACCCCCCAGACTGACAGCCAAGAATCTCATCAACCTTTAGTTTCCTACTAAAAAGGAACATCTCTCTTCAATCTCTCTCTCTCTCTCTGTCTCTCTTTGTTGGCTAAACATAAGAAAGTGATTAAATCAACATAGAAATTTTTTTTTTAATTGATTTACCTTAAACGCTAACCTGTTGCCACCAGCTGCTTGGAACTGAAACTATGGACGCTGTCTCTTGTGTCCGGGAAGAGGTCCCCTCCCCTCCCCTGTGCCTTCTCCCTCTTGCCTATCCTCGCACCCTCCTGTCTGCCCTCCGCCTGCCAATTGGATGGCTTGGAATCACTGCTGCAGGCTCACAACCTGATTGGCTCAGGTCGCTGTCCGTCCCCATCCTGGCCTTACCCTTTCTCAAGTTTACAAGTCTGTTGCCTAGAAAACGCAGGGACTATGAAAGCCTGAGCTGGGAAGGCTTTATTTTGCCTTGAGAGGGAAGCCAGCGAGAAATTTTGCTGGCAACACTTTGGTTTCTAGAAAGGTATCAGAACTTGCCTCACCTGCAAACTGTCTTAATTCTTTTAGGCCATGCCTTCCTGCCCTTCTGTTGTCCCCATGGCTCCCTGCAGGTGACACTTAGAAGCACAACACAGGGGAGATGCAGGTGCGATTACCAGTGGGGGAGAGCCCTTCCTCCTGCTCCACACGGCACCCTGGTAGGATGCCATTTGCACCTGTGCCTACTGTAATCTGATAGGTGTTTTTCTAACATTCAGCACATTTCATCTGAGGACTTACAAAAATAAAGTGATTAATGGCCAGCCAGGCACTTGGAAAGGAGCTTCCCTGGGTGTCAGGGACAGCAATGCCCCTAAGACAAAGTATCCCGAGATATCTTCTTAGCTGGTCATCAAACCTCCCTCCGCATGCGTGGTCATGGGTGGGAGGACTGCGCCAGCCAGCACCACCACGGGGTAGGGCAGGGCATTTGCTCACTGCCGAGGGCTGCCCACGGAGGGGCCTGTGTGGGGCTGAAACCAGGCGGCCGTCACTCACCGAGCCCTGTGCCCTGGCTGGGGGCAGCAGGCTTTGCGGCTCTTGCCTTGATTGGCACAGTGGCTCTCCTGTCCCTCTGGGGTTGTCTCTGGCGGGGGTCCTTCCCTTCTAAATGACACTGCTATCCCACTCAACGACTCTAAGGAGATGAAAGAACCTGGAAGACACAACCCACCTCACAATGGCAAAGGATCACTGCCCATGTTCAGCACGTTCACCCCTCCAACAGGTCTGCTTTCCACCCACCACTGTGTGCCGTGGGTTGAAGACTGTCCTTGAAGTCACCAAGTCACAGGATCACAGGTGGAACCGAATGTCTAATCCAGCCCCTCCCTGCCTGCCTTCCGCAGATGACCAAGGCTCTAGTTTCTACCTGTGACCCATAGGTCATTCCTTTTCCTCCCAATGCCCCTCCCCCAAGCTAGTGGGAGTAGTGATGTCCCCAGCTGGGCAGTCAGGGCCGGGAGATGTTTCTTAGACATTCCGTGCAGCCTGGAGTGCCCGGGCGACTCAGGTCTGACTAATGGGGTTTACCTGGAAGACTCTGGGTAGAAGAAACATGTGGGAAATCCCTTTAAAAAGAGCAGACTCAGCTCCAGGGGCTGGTTTAACTCTGTCTCCAGGTTTCCCTTTCCTTGCCTCAAATTCCGAAGTGCTGACAGGATCCAAAACGACCACCTTGAAAGTTTAGGGTGAGCTTATATGTATCATTTTCTGTACATGAGAAACAAGAAAGAAACCCTGAGCTGCTCCAGCCTCTGTTTCTCTGGTTTCTGCTCCTGGTGAATGCAGCTTCCAACAGCACACTGCTCACAGACACACTGTCAAAGGTGCAAAAGCACCATTAGTTTAGAAAGAAGGGCGCTTCTTTTTCATGACTTTATTTTTTTTAATGGAAGAATTCAGAAGACAGTGCACAGTGATGGAAAGTGGACCAGGGCCTGTCCTGGCCATGACCGCCCCACAGTCTCCCAGCTGGTCCTCAGAGACTCGAGAGAGCTCTGCATGCGGGGGGCACCAAGACAGGAGCCAGACATGGACCCTGCAAAGCTGTGCATCAGGACCCGAGGGCACAGGCACAGGCTTCTTGAGCTTTGACAGTTTGCAAGAGAAGTAAATAGAAAACAAAAGACTGAGCCAAGTGCCTGTCTTGGGTGTTATTCTGTGGCAAGTGGAGGCAGGAAGGAAGGAGAGACTCGGAGAAGACACTGGACCTGGACAATGAAACGGAGCAGTATCGGTGCCTCAGGCAGGGGCGTGATGAAGAGAATGGGCTTCAGGGGTCACGGGTCCAAACTTCCCAGCAACAGACTCAAAGACCGAGCCCTGCCGACTGCCAAGCAAAGAAGGCAACAGTGCTGAGTAAGGAACTTCCAGCCTAGGAAGAAGCCAGTGAGCAGGAATTTGTAGCAAAATTAGCAAATGAACGTGATGTGGAGAACAGGGGCCGCCAGAACTGGTGGGAGGCTCCTGAGAAATGGTGACCCCCACACCAACACCCCCTCCAAGTCGGCACCATGCATCAGGCCGTCTTCCGCTTCCTGGCCCCACACAGCCACCCGGCCACCAGGCCCAGCAGCTTCCAACAGAGCCACATGGTGCCCAGGGTGAGCACCAGCAGGAACAAGAAGACGTCCAGCAGGTACTGCTCATACCACGGCTGCTGGAAGGCGTGGGGTTTGAGGTGCGCCGCTCCCCCCGTCTGGAGGACGTGGTCGATCCAGCCCACCAGCCGCTGGGCGGGGGTCTGGGGGTGGGAGCGCCTGATGATGCTGGCAGCCACCGCTGCCGCCTTGTACCTGTTGGCAGAGACACACACACACATGAAATATGCATGTATGTTTGTGTATACATATCTTTTGTGTATATATAATATGTACATATATATATACACACACTCTGTACATATCCATGTATGTACACACTCTGCATGTACACATGCACACACAGAGTAGGGCCAAAGCAGGCTCACAGTTAGTTGTTCATATGAAAAATAGCACAATAGTTCATAGATACCAATACAAGAACGAACCCTGTGTTTTGCCTACTCACTATTATAACCCTGCTTTGGCCCTACCCTTATGTGAATACCATCCTCAGTTCGGAGGAATGTCAAAAGCCACAGGTTAAATATTCAGCCAATTCTGAGGCCAAAGCTGATTCTGACCATCATGAAATGAACGGCTGAAGGATTCCCAAGCTGGACTTTTCTTGCAAGTTTCATGACCTAAGTGAAGTTAAATCATTAAGAAATAAATTCTGAATTAGCAAGTTCTTTGGGTTATAATTCCTAGAACAACAACAAATTTTATAAATTTGAATAATGACAAAATAAAATCTCTCTTATTCTTCCTTGTGTTTGTTATTCACATTTTTACAAATGTTAAATGAAAGGCACCTATATATGGGGCCTGACAACCAAGAAACATGGAGTCCCAATTTACGGAAGTGGGAGGATCTGGCCAGCAGGCTGAGAGTGTTGAGAGCAGCCCAAAGTTGGTCTACGGTCATGGCAACCAGATGATGAAGAAAAGATGCCCATCAGGAAGGCAAAAGATTACTGTAATTAGCAGAGAGGTTTGGGCTGTAGACATCAGTTTGGAAATTAACAGTCTATAGAGGGTATTTCAAACCATGAGACTGGTGAGAACCCAAGAGTTAAGTGTGGATTAGAAATGAGATGAGACCCAAGGACCAGGCCCTGCTGTGGAGCCCTGCAGAGTCTGGGGATTGTGGGGTTGGAGAGGAATCGACCAAGGAGGCTGCGGAGGAGCAGCCAGTGAAGAGGGGAAACAGCTACAGCATCTGGGTCCACTGAGGTCCCTGTCCAGGGACGAGGCAGTGACAAGTTGGGAGGAAGGACACTGGTGGGATGAGCGAGATGAGGACTGACAGTGGTCATTGGCTTTGGCAGCATGGACACCACTGGCAGCCTGGCTGAGAACCATTTGGTGCAGTGAGGGAGCCTTACTGAAGCAGGCTGATGATAGACGGGACAAGAGGATGGTGGCAGAGCTGGGTGACTCCTTGAAAGAGTTTGCAGCAAAGGGGAGCCTAGATTTGGAATGCAGCTACAGTGTGAGGAAGGATCGAGAAAGCTAGTTTTAAGTCCAGATCCCTTCGATGTCAGATTCCTGCACTCGGATGACTGTATCGTGGTCATGCAGGAAAATGCTTCCTTCGCAGGGGACTCATGCTGAAGTCTTTAGAGGGACAGCAGGATGACATCTGCAACAAATTCTCAAAGAATTCTGCCGTTCATATACATATATAACATTCTGAAAAAATAGAGGAAGAGGGAGAGAACACAGTAAAGCAAAACGTAAATAAGTGATAAATATAGTGAAGCATAGACAAGTGCTTATTGTATTATTCTCGTTACTTTTGCAAGTTTGAAATGTCTCAAAGTAAAAAGTTGAAGAAAAGCGTGAGAGTTTTTACAGCAAGTTTTTTTAACTGATAAAAGTGTTCCAGAGGAAAGGGGAAAGCGCACGATGCAGAAGAGAGTGGGACAGTGAAGAAGCACGGGCTTTGAGGGGCAACAGGCCACGATCCTCCATCCCAGGGCGGGGCCTGGTCTCCACGGGGACACAAGCTCAGGGAGAGAAGAGAAGGCAGGAAATGGGCAGGCTGGTAAATTTGGTGGTGGGCACGTGCAGAACTTCTCTGCTGATGGCTCCTCTGTCTTTTCTTTCAGTAAAATGAAACAAAGAAGAGCATACATTGAGAATGAATGAGAAAAACATGCTGGAGTTTTGAGAAGATCAAAGTGAAACAGTAGTAGGAGGGGGGTTGGGGGGATGGGTGGAAAAGGGGAAAGGGATTAAGAAGTACAACTCGGTTGCTACAGAGCAGTCTCAGGATGCAGAGTTCAGCACAGAGAGTGCAGTCAGTTACGTTCTGCGAATGACCTTCGGGGCCAGGCGGGGGTGCAGGATCTGTCGAGATGAGCACTCAGTGAGTTGATGTCTAGCCACTGGGGTATACACCTGTCACTACTATAATAGTGTGTGTTAACTGTAACTGAAAATAAAAATAAAATAAGGCAATAATAGGAAAGGGGGTAAGAAAGATGACTAGCAAAATACAGTAAGATGGTCAGGCCTGCTGGGGCCCACATCAGGCAGGCCTGTGGCCATGACCTGAAGTTGCATCCATGCAGGGTGGATGTCCCTTCCTGGTGCGGAGGTGGCCTCCCACAGTGAAGGGGGCCGAAGGCAAGAGCGGGCATCGTGTCTGAGAACCTCTTGGGCAGAGGAAGGGAGCCCAGGGAGTCATTCAGACCAGAGCCCCACCCCGAAGTCTTGGTTCTAAGTAGCCTCTGCCACTTAATTTACTCATTTGCAAGCATCTGATGACAGCCAGGAAGGGGGCTGGGAGCCAAAAGGGTCACTGGGGTCTCGCCCTTTCCCAGGCATCATGCTGAACGACCTCCAGAGACCACTCCAGGGATGGAATGACCCCTCCAGAAGCAGCGGTTCCCGGCCTTTCTGGACCTTAGTAGACTGTGTTGAGAATCTGATGAACGTGATAAAAGCACCCTCTAGAAAATGTGTATGTGCAAACACATGTTTCTTTTTTACCAGTTCACAATCCAGGGCCTCACAGACCTTGGGCACTGAAGTGAGTTTCTTGGGCCCTGATTCAGAGGATTTGTACCGACTTATTCTTCCTTCATCCGCCAGTTACTTCCTGGTGCCTGCTCTGTGCAGGCAGTGAGGTGGGCCGTGGGAAGTAAGAAAAATACGGGCCCCTCCGCTCACAGAGCTTCCGTTCTCATTGGAGGGAAGGTCAAGAAATAAGTAAGTGAACAGACAGCAGAACTATAAAGTACGAACCGTGTTATGAGGGAAGTTACACAGGGGGCCTGGGGTGGATCAGGGAAGGCCTCTCTGAGGAGGTGCCATTGCAGGAGAATGGAAAGAATGTCCAGGAACAGCTAAGGACAAAGGCCTCTAGGGGAAAGAAATCTGTATTTGAAGAAGTAAAATGAACCCCCCTGCCCTGTACCTGGTTCGAACTGCACATTAAGCATGTCAAGAGAACAAAAACTCTGACAGAAGAACTTGTGTCCAGTTTCTTTTAAAGACAGAAAACTCTCCCTAACGTCTGTCCCAAATTCCTCTTACTGAAACATAAGGGTCACTTCTTTACCTTGGCCTTGGGTGAAAATAGGTCAGTAGGCATCGTAGGGCTGAGTGTTAGCTTATTTCGGGGGAGGAGGACCTCCAGCCAGATCCACTACACACCTCTTGTCTTCGATGACTTGCTTCATTTTAAGAACCAGGGTCTCTGCCGTGAGCTGTTCCATCGGGATGGAGACACCCAGATTTTTGGCTTCCACTCGAACTATATTTCCAGGCTGGTCCCAGTGCAAAGGAATCCCCACCATGGGCACACCATGCTGGATAGATTCCATCACGCTATTCAGCCCTCCATGTGTGACAAACAGGCGGATGCTTGGGTGAGCTAGAATAAAGAAGAAAGAGAGGGAGGAGGATGCTTAAGAAAGCATTGGCAGAACTTGGGCAAGCAGCATCGTCAGGGAAACATGATAGCGGAAGAATCCAGAGGCACTGGGAACCTATGTAAAGAGCCGATTACCTGGGAGGCACCCTGTGAGCATCCTCAAAACACGGGTGTGAGGCCTGAACCAGAGACAGAACTGCATGCACTGCCCCCCAGCATCCACCTACCGATCCGCCCACTGTCCCTCCACACCTTTGTTAAGCAGGGGTTTTGCCTCAGGCCTCAGTACTGCCAGTCCCTGTCGTACTGCCTCTCCCTCATTTGGAGCAAAATGAAGTGTTGAGAAAGCATTTGTCTAGCCCAGGCTCAGAAATCCCTCATGTGCTTTTGTAAAGTGCAATTCTGGGGCTCTACCACAGGCCACTGAGATACATTTGCAGGGGTAAAACCAAAAATTTGTATTTCCAGTTTACCCCGTAACTGATCCAAACTGCAGCCATGCACATGATGTGTCCCCAGAATGCAGCACAGGCCAGAGAGGGAACCCCTCGGAGATGCCGTCATGACATCCCAGACAGGACAAGGAGGAATCGTGTCACATCGGGAAGACACCGTGGCACCCGAGTCCCTCCGCCTCTGGTGAGGGAGCAGGTGCTCAGTGTCCCCGTGCGGTTCTACATGTGACGCACAGGTGGCTCCAGGCTGCTGTGCCACAGAGAGTCCCCTCCTGGCATGTACAGGGACACCCTCATGCATTTATAGGTGCTTCCTGGATGCTTTGGCTGATCCTGATCACCTGTCCATTGCAGAAGGCCACAGTCACCTCACCCCAATAACACTAGTGGCTGAGGGTCACGGGTCTCGCTTACGAGGGGCTGGAAGTGACCCCGAAGGGCCGACCTGTTCTGATGCTTGGCCTTTCATTACCAGGCGCTTTCCTTTCCCACAGCGGTGCAGTGCCCAGACAGGGGTGAGAGCTGCAAACATGCCCTAAAGCAAAAGGAGCAGGGGAGAGAAAGGCAGCCCTGGCTGCTGCCTGCAGAGAGAGGGCGCCCTACCCAGGAGGTCATTCTGAGGAAGCCAGTCCACGATTTTCACATTTGCTGCCAGTTTGACGTCTCTGGGCCAGTGAGAAGGGCTGCACTTCCATATCACCCCTTGAGGCAGCTGTCCAAATGCACTGTTCATCTCCTTGAGCACCCGGGACGGAAACTTGCTCACCAAGGAGCCCAGGGCTACAAGGACAAAACCCGCATCTCCGAAGCTGGCAATGAACTTCTCAAATTCCTGGGGACAGGAAAGACAATAAAGTTGCTACCTGGCTGTCAATAAGAGTTACACTTTACAGAGCACAGTGTAACTCCCCTGTTCGCAGTAAATCAAAGACTCCCCTTCCTACAGATTACCATCTGCTGAAGCCGGCTGGCCTGAAAGAGATTTTCTGAGCCTTGATTTGTCAGGATCAGGACAATAGTATACCCCTCTCTCCAGGCTTCATAATTCGATGTGTTAAATTTCAAATTCTTCTCTTATGGGTCAGAGGGGAAGACCAGGGCAGTTTTTATAGCATCCTCCTGAGGGCTGTATCACCACCGGCCCTCCCCCTGCAGGAAGGCTTGCCCCAGAGGAACCTGGGAGACAAGCCGGACCCCCACGTGCTCAGCAGCTGGGTCTCATCTACCCCACTAGGGAGTCAGTGGAACTATGCAGTGCTGGAGGGCAGTTAGAGAGAAAGACACGTGGTTCCTGTGTCGCAATGTACACAATGTCATCTCAAGTTCTTCCCAATCTTCTAACAGTTTCCAGCTTGCCCATGGCAAACGCCTATGTGGCCTTTGCCAGAGGCTAGCTGTGAAGTTCAAGGGCATTTGTGCTCCTCTCAACCTCCACTCGACTCAATGTTCTCAGAGTGTGCTTCTGCAAGGGTCTTTCTTCACCGCACCCTACACTTCTCTGCTCCACAAGCTGCTCCTCACGGTCTGAAACCACCTCTGCCCGCTGCGGTGGCTGCTGTGGGGAAAGGCGAGAGCCCTAGTGAAAAAGACGGGGGAGCTCTCAGGAATGCATCGGAAGCTGCAACCCAGCTCACAGCCTCCAGCATCACAGCTGCAGGAGCAGCAGGACCTTTGGCTCCCCGTAAAAGCCAAGCAGCCGGTGTCTGGTTTTTCTGCTCCTGTTCACCGGCCGAGGAGAAGATGGAAGAACAGTAATGCTGACCAGTACCAGTTAGCCACACCCAACACGTGCCAGGCACTTTAGTGGAATCCTTAAAAACGTCTCACCCAGGCATCCCAACATTCCCGAGGCTGCAGTTACTCCTCTTACACCCCCAGGCGCTGAGGCTTGGAGAAGATGAGTCACTGGATTGAGGGAATACAGCAAACAAATGGCAGAACCAGAATGCAGTCCAAGCTGTGTCTGGTCCTGAAGTCCAAATTCTTCCCACTACCCAACAGCAAAACGGAGCAACATTCAGGGAGAATAAAGATTCTCCTCTACTGTAGTTCTCTTAGAATTAGTCGTGGGCGGAATTCATAGTGAAAATAACTTTTAGTTTTTTCATTTATTTCAGGATGCAGCACAGACTATGGAGAAAAGAGTAACAAATAATGGCAGCCTCTCAGTCAGTCTTACATTCTCAAAGATCGAGTCTGCACACAGGCAGTTTGGGTGTTGCTAAAAATGTCAGTCGCCGGCCCTGACCGCTGTGGCCCAGCTAGTTGGCTGAGCATCGTCCAGACCCAGTGCCCGGTTGGGGTGGTGCAAGAGGCAACCAAGATGTTTCTCTCCCTCTCTTTCTCCCTCCCTTTCCCTCTCTTAAAAAAATAAATAAAAAGCTTTTAAATATATATATAAATTACCAGGATCCATATCTAAAGATTCTGATTTAGTAGGTCTAGCGGGGGAAGCCTGGAATCTATATTTTTAACAACAGTCCCAGGAGAAGCTGACAAAGATGAGCTAAGGACCACACCTGGAGGAAAGCTAACAGCATGACTGCATGGCTCTGAAGCACCAGTGGGGAGGGTCCAGCTGGCTGGAGTCAGCTGTATTCCGGGCTTGGTCTGGGAGAGGCCGACGGTGCAGCAGGAGACGGAATTGACAAGGTGCCCATAGCAACCGCCAGGTCCCACAGATTGCCTGGTTTCTGAGAAGCAGGAGCTGTTTGGTTGTTAGAAATATTTCTCCTCACCATAGCTCTGGCCCCAGTATCAGGCACAGCCCTCTCAAACTTTCCCCAGTATTTCTCTAAGTCAATGATTCTCAACCTCAACTAAAAACTGGAATCATCTGGAGACCTTTAAAAAATTTCCAATGCACCCGGGCTGGTTGGCTCAGACGGTTGGAGCATCACCCCACACACCAGAAGAGCCGGGCACACACCAGGTTGCGGGTTTGATCCCCCATCAAGGCAAGTACAGGAGACAACAGATCCGTCTTTCTTTCCTGCATCAATGTTTCTGTCTCTTTCTCTCTCAAATCAGAGAGCATATCCTCAGGTGAAGCTTAAAAAATAAAACTTCCCAATGCCCAGGCTGCACTTCAGAGCCATTAAGTCTTCATTTCTGGGAGGGGGCCCTCAGCATCAGTAGTTTTGTAAAACTCCCCAAGTGATTCCAATATGCAGCCGAGTTTGAGAACCCCTCAGTGAGCCCCAGCAGGCAGCCGTTGTAAGACGTCTGTTGGCTGACTATGAACAAAAGGTTGTACTGTGGGTTGGGTGTGGCTTTCTGGGAACTGAGGGTCAGATGCTGGAACGAGCTCTGTATTTAGTAAAGCTATAGGGCTGGGGAAGAAGCAGTAGTTAGAAGACAAAATGAGAGTTGGGTTTCTCACCAGCCCCACCCATTCATAAAAGAAGCGACCCTTTAGTGAGCAAGTATTAAGGACCCAAGCACGTGGGACTGTGTCTTAGAGAAATCAAAAAGACAGAAGAACAACTGACCATTGAAAAAACATCACAGACCTCTACATTCATTCATGCACAAACATCAATTCAAGATGGATCATATGCCTAAACGTAAAATCTGGAACTGTGAAGCCTGTAGAAAAAGAAAGCACAGGAGAATATCCTCATCACCTGGAGACAGACAGAGATTTCTCAGATCACAACAAGAAAAACATGGAAAAACCAGGCCTCATGAACTATAATTGGGCTGGCCAAAAAGTCTGTTTAGTTTGTTTTCATAAAATAAAAAAAATGCAGTTTTCATTTTCACCAATACCTTTATTGATTTGAGTATTTTGAGTATGTTGGCTATCTCCCAATATTGGCTTCTAGTGGGTAGAGGCCAGGGGTGCTGCTGAACATCTAATGCATAAGACAGCCCCACAGCAAAGAATTATTTGGCCAAAATGTCAATATAGTACCAAGAAACTTCACAAACCACTTTTGACACACTCAGTTACAGCACCTTCTCCACACACTACACAAATCTTTGTGTGTGTGTGTATTTCAGTTACATTTTACCTTTCTTGAAATAATAAAACATAATACGCTGCAAATGTTGTGTATTTTCTTCCATCTTCAATATTAAAATGGCTGCACAAAAATATACTAGTTTTAATAAGTTTTCTTTTTAAATGCAGGCTGATATGCCAGCTGTCACAATACAGTCTAACAAAATTGTTTTGATTGGAGTTAAAGACAACTAAGTGCTATTAGAGTCATCGTAGAAAAAACACCAAATGAACTAAATGGCCAACCCAACAAAAGCTTCTGCTCATTGAAGCACAATAGTAAGAAACTGAACAGACAATCTGCAGATTGAGAAAAGCATTCACAGTGTGAAAAGATCTTTATCCAGAACATATAAAGAACTTTCACAAACCTACAATCAACACACAACCTAACTAAAAAATGGGCTAAAGATCAAGAAACCATTCAAAAAGGAAAATTTAAAAACGACTATCAACAGATCGAGAACCATTCAACATATCAGACAGCACACGAAATGAACATGGGGACTGGAGGGGCCGTTGCGCCCGCACCAGAAGAATCAACATAAAAAGACACTGTTGGACGTGGAGTAACCAAAACTCTGGGGCGCTGCTTGGTGCCGCCCCAAAATTGTGCACTCATCTTGTTTAACCAGTTAGCAATGCCTTTCGAAGAGAAACCTACATGGCCATTATGTCTGAGTACCAGGGTTTTACTTACTGGGGGTATTGGTTCAACAGGTCTGTCCGTTAAACCTCCAATATAAACCGTGTTAGGAAGCAGGGGCCGGGCAAACTCAAAGGCAAAGTCAGAATTAACAAACCACAGTTCTGCTTTTTGTCGGAGATGAAATAACTCTGGCCTAGAGTCTTCCGGAAAATGTTCTCTTATCACGTCATCGAACTGGGCGCTGATAGTCCATTCCACCCAGGCAGAAACGAGGAACATCAGACAGTTCCTCACTCGGCCCCAGAAATCCATGCGGTCCGTCAGGAGGGAGGAGAACACCGGGACGTAAGACACAGGCTCGGGCAGCCCAAAACTCACGCTCCCGAACGTGACAGGAAGCATGGCCACCCAAGGGCTTCCAAGTTTCTCGGCAACCAGGAAAGCACCGTTGTCGGAGCCGTCAACCACCACCAGGTCGAAACTCGCGTTTTTCAAGGGGCCCATGATATCTGTTCTTCTCAACAAATGACTGCACTGCGTCGCATGCAGCTTCATGAACTTCAGCAAGTTTGTGAGCAAGTTTCTGAAAAACGGAAGTGAGAGAGATTCAATATTCATGGAAGGTGTTCATCTGAAAACCCACAAAAGACTCTAGGAGCAGGAGGACAACCCCCCCACCCCCCCGCAGCCACCTGCCCGCTGTGCTGCCCTCGCCGGAAAACTCTGCTCCAGACACTGGTGTCCTTCTGACCTCCAAATCTAGTGGCTCTCCCTTGTTTTTGTCCTTGCTACAGCTCTTTCGGATGCTTAGAATGATCCAGCTCTCTTCCCTCTTCCTTTCTTCTCCTCACCCCACCTGTATTTTGATGCCATTCTTGCTCCGGGAGACCTTACCAGCAACGGCCACTGTCTCTGATCTCTAAGGGCTGGAGGCCAAAGCGCACTGAGGATGCTCTTCTCTGTGTGAGCCTGGAGGATCAGCTGACTTGGTTTGCTCTCAAGTGTACCCGTGTGCGGGACCTGTTTTCCTGGGGACGTGAGCGACCTGATGACAGAGTCCCATGAACTGAAGGGGAGGAACAGTGCTTCCCATGGGGAGAGCATTTTCCTCTAGAAGCTCTGTGCCAGGGACATCTGCCAGGCTCCCACTCTGAGCCCTTAGGTTAACAGATGTCTTCACACTCCACTGGCAGAAAACCCTCCCAAACAGTCTCTATTGCCAGGGGCCCCTGTTAAAAAGACCAGTCAATAAGGACTTGGTACTTCGCTCCATCCCCAAGGGCCCCTTCTCTGATACAGATTCCTAAAACCTCACTGAGGATTAATGCTCTGGCAGCCTTTACTTGACGCTTTCTTTTGTTTGAGGAACGATTTATTTAATTTTCTCACAATAATGTTTAAATGTGTGCTACAATTATAGAGAGTATCTGCTGAGAAGTGCTATTCCCATTTCCCACGCCCAGGAATCAGGCAGTCAATTCATGAACTGAGTCAGCAGTCAGCCTTTTGCCAAAGTGAAGGCCCAACACTTAGAACTCTTCCCTCTGTCCTCGGAGGTGACATGAGGGAGGGGGGCAGAGACATGGCAGGTCTCTGCCCTGACTGCTTCATTTCTGCGGAGCTTCACGAATACGTCTGTGCCTTTAGTGCACCAAAAATAATTTACACAAGACATTCTGAAGGTGGAACACAGACCTAAGTGCTCCTTCCAAGCTCCTTGGGTGACTGCAGTGTGCAGGCAGCACCGACACCTCCTATCCTGGAGGGAGAGCGAGAGCAGACGTGCGTCTGTCCTCACGTAAGAGCAGCGGGTGCACCATCATCCATGTACTTTTTAGTGGTTCGACTGTATTTAACGCTGGTTCAGAGGAAAGACTAAGACAAAGTGAAACAGCGTTGGGACAAAAGTTGTTACAACTTTGGTGTCAATAAAAACAAATCTCTTCTGTACGGATAATGGCCGATGACGGTTGGGGCAGCGAGAGAAGCTTTTTTGGCTTCTCAGCAGCGTGATGGGCAGGCCGGCATCTTCCTAAAGGACATGACATTATGAGGGGAAAGCAAAGGTGAGCGAATGCATAGTCAGCTTAGGCGAGAGTGAGTTTGATGAAGGTGCTCTGATGGGGTCATTCAAAAAAACAACAAAAATTTCAAAAAAAAAAAACCCCAGCTAGCTAAAGCCATAAACAAAGTAGCCTAAGGGGCTTCTCGAATTTGAGGCTCGAGTCAGGATGATTTTCCTAATTATATATGGGACAAATCAAAGGTTTCAGTAACTGTCAAAAGCTAGTCAAGAAAGATGTGACATATTTTGGTCTAGTATTTTCATAATTCTTGACCAGCAGATTGGATCTGCAGTGCCACAAATGTGTCCTTGTGGCTACCATGTGCCACGCCCCATGACAGGAAAAAGCGGCCTTTGTCCTCACGGAGCTTACAGTGTAACAGGGAAAGCACCCGCTGAGCAAAGCGCTCCAAAGGACAAGTTAAATATTAATAAGTGTTCTCAGTACTTCAGAAGAAAGAACTAGGTGTTGTGAAAGTGTAGAAACCATCTACTTAGTCTCGCAGCCAATACGGGGAGATTTTTTTTTTTAATTAAACTTCAAAACCAGACATTTGAAGTAACACATGGGATAGTTTGGAGCAACTGAGGGCATGCAGGATCAATTCTGGGACACTAGCTCATGAAAATACAAACATGAACTTCACATGGGCAGAGAAAAGACTCGCAGAAATGCAGTGCTACGCTGTGTGGGGCACACTCTGAAGGGTTGGAGGAGAGAAGAGAAGGAAGCATTGGGGTCAGTTGTTTGTTGTTGTTTGTTTGTTTCAATTTTTTTCATTTTCTGCTCTGTCTCTAATACCTACATTACCTGGCACATATTAAGTCTCCAGCAAATATTTTTAATGAAAAAGACGAAGCACACAATTAAGTGGTAAGACAGTGGTATAGAGAAGTTTAGAGAAATGGAGTAAATAAAATGGAGGAGGCAGAATGTAAAATGCCTCCACTGAGGAGTAGCATCTTTGAGCAGAAATGAAGGAGGAGCAAGAACATTCCAATTAACACAGACAGGCATGGTTTTCCTTGCGATGATTTCATATTTAAGATGAGTACTTTCTTCTTATTTTGACCTTCAGATGAGCGGCATTTTTAGCGGTGAGCCTCATGACTCACCCTGTGTAAGGTTGAGTGTGAGTCCCAAAGTTCAGCATTGAATGAATTGTAAATGGCCAGGTTCAAGTTCTGCAAAAATCAGTCTCTGCAAGTGAGCTTATCATCAAAAAAATGAGGAGAAGAGAAAGGAACAGAAGGAAGTGAAAGAGAGTAACCATGACTTTATCCAACAATGAAGCGATGAGTTCCCCATCATTAGCCCTGAGCTGGAGAGATTAAAAGCAAAGGGAGGACTTTGTTGTTTTTTTAACTGATGTTTAGAGTGACATTCCCCTCACCCCCAGTTCCTAAGGATAAATTTCACTCACTGAGGCCTGAAAGCCGAACGTGCTGGGAATGTTAACCAGAGTGCCACATCCCCCAGACTGTCTGAAACGACAGGTTCAGGGGTGACTGAGGTATTCCCATCCACCCATTCGTTCATTCATCCAGTCATAATTCTCAAATATGATTGCTTCACATTTACTTAAAATAAAAAAACATTACCTTCCCTGCAAACCTTCATTTAAAAAGAAATCAACATCTTTCTTGTATTCCTGAGTATAGTCTTCAGGAGGAAACCAATGGACAACTTGGTATTTTTTCTCCACTTTAAAACCTAAGAAGAGACAGAAGGAGAAAAATCGATTAAATGTCACACACCTACACATATTAAAAGGAATGTCAAAACTCAGTTTAGTCCTTTCCCTTGTTTCTCAGAAAATTTCCTCTCTACAACATCTTTATTGCAATATAACTCATACATCCTAAGTTCACCCTTGAAAAGTGTACAATTTAGTGGATTTGAGTGAGTCTGCAGGCTGTGCAACCATCACCACAGTCAATTTTAGAACATTTCTCATCCTCAAGAGAAACTTCACGGCCTGGCTGACTAGCTGAGCCAGTTAGAGCACCATCCCAGACACACCAAGGTTTCCATTTGATCCCTGGCCAGGGCTCAAACAAGAACCAGCCAGTGAATGCATAAATAAGTGGGACAACAAAGAGATGTTTCTCTCTCACACACGCGCTGTCTCTTTTTCTCTGAAATCAATAATAATAAAAAAGAAAACCTCAGACTTATTAGAAATTGCTCTCATTGTTCTCATACTTTCATTTAGTTCTTTAGTTGCAACTTTCTGTGGTTCCTTAAGTAGTTTTATAATCACTGATTTAAAGTCTTTGTCTAGTAAATACATGGCCTGGGCTTCCTAGTGAACAGTTTCTGTTCCCTGCTTTCTGTCGACATATTTTTCTTGTTTCTTTGTGTTGTACATCTCGTTTTTTGTTGTTGTTGAAAAGTGGACATTTTGAACAGTACATTGCGGCAACTCTGCAAACCCGAACCCCCCCCCCATCCCTAGGGTATTGTTGCTGTGCTTCCTTACTGTGGTAGCTATTGCCGTTCAGTGACTTTCCTGAACTAATTCTGTAAAATCTGTTTTTCTTGTCCTGTTAGGCCCTGCGAGTCTCTGACCAATTCATTAGTGATCATCTCACACTTCCGCTGAGATTTCCCCAAATGCCTTGCAACTAAGCAACGCCTTCCCTTTTCATTTGTGTAGTTTTGTTTGTTTCATTCCATTTCTGGGCCTATTGGTCCATCTCCCAACTCCCCCCCAATATTCTCTTAATGCAATTTTCAATAAGGTCAACTTATTGAATAATTTTTTTCCCCCAGAGATGCTCCTCCCACGTCCTTTCATTGATCCAACCTTGACCAGCTGTTGCCCAGCCAACAGCATAGCTGGTATTTTACAGCAAATCTGCTGAACTTTCATTGCATCGAGTCTGTTCTCTGCCACTTTGTCTTCTCCTTCCTCGCTTAGCCCATCGTTCTGGTCGGACTTAACCCCGTAGTTACTTCTACTTCTTGAGAAGTTTTCAGTTATATGGTAAGCAAAAACTTTGAGACTATTTTATTGTAAAATCTTTCTGACTTTGTGTGCCATGCCAGTGCTAAGAAGCTTGATGTCGTTTTTAGTCTTACTCATCACTGGAATATATGAAAAGTTTTAGGATGCTTTTTATTAGTCATTGGTACTCTGAAATTGCATCATGATTTGCCTTGCCGTGGGTCGTTTTTTTTATTCTTTGCGTTAAGTGCTAAGTGGGACTTCCCAGTATGGAGACTCATGTATATTAGTTCTGCAAATGTTTCCCGTGTCAGTTTTTTGATCAGTTTCTCCTGTGATCTCACTGCATTCTTTTTCTGGAATTCTTATCAGTCTGAAAACCACCTTGATCCAGTCCTCGTAAGCTAGAGGCAAGGTTTCAAGCCACATAAACAAAGTGGCATTTTCATTATGGGACTGTTCATGGAGCGTTTGCCCGAAAAGGAGAAAGATGCAGGTGTGGGATGTGAGGAAGAGGCACCCTGAAGCGGAGGGGCAAAGCCAAAGAGCACTTCGAACTCTCTCTTGCTGAAGCCAGGGTTGAAGACAGGCCTCTCAGTAACCATGCACCAACAAACATATCCTTTTTGAGTATAACAGTTCACAGGACTAAAATGAAGTTTGGCAGAAAATGTAACATAGGCAAAGCACTTATATCTTTTCATCTACGGAAGGAGAGTCCAAACATGACAATCCAGTATGGCAACCGTATGTCACTTGTAGCCACTGAGCACTTGCAATGTGGCCAGTATGGACTGTAAAGTACACATCAGATTCCAAAGACTTAATGCAAACAAATGTGAAAGAGCTCAGTAATGATGTTTACATTGTTCATATGTTGAAATGGTATTTTGGATATACTGGGTTAAATAAAACATATTATTAAAATTAGTTTGACCTGTTTTTAATTTTTTTTTTAAATCTGGCTTCTGGAATTCTAACAGTTATATTATGGGGCCTGTATCTGTGGCTCTTGTTATATTTCAATTATACAGTACTGGTCCAAAGTGATGATATCTGGTTCTGGCTAGTGTGGCTCAGTGAATTGAGCGCCAGCCCGAGAAGCAAAGGGTCACTGGTTTGGTTCTTCATCAGAGCACCTGCTTGGGTTGCAGGCCAGGTCCCTAGTGGGGGGCATGTGAGAAGCAACCACACATTGCTCTCCCTCTCTTTCTCCCTCCTTTCCACACTCTCTAAAAATAAATAAATAGAAGGGGGGAAATAGAAGCTACGATACCTGATACGAAAGCCAGTCCACTAGGTTGAAGGAAGGTCACATCATGCCCATGATCTTGAAGAGTCTGAGAGACACGGTCCATCAGGAAATAATGGCTCCCCCCTAGGAGCAAGGCATCAGTGTTGTGAGGGGCGTGGAGAGAACGGCCAGGATGGGGGATCGGGGATGGAGCAGCTTCCGAGTAAGACCTGTGGGGTGGTGAGCAAAGCTTCCTTCTGCTCCTCCCTTCCTGTTTGGACCCTCAGAGCCCTTGCTGATTGACTCCTGGCTCTCTGAGCCTCGCCTCCAGCAACTCTCTACACAGTTTTCCTGTCCTGTGACCCAGGGGCTCCGTGTCACTGCGACAAGCTTTGGTGGGCATAGAGATTAAGGCATTCCCCTCCCAGGAAACAGACGACATGTAACAAGGGTCGTGTCCCTAATGGTGCACCACACGGGATAGTAGGCAGGTGGCCTCTCACACAGGCAGCAAGTCAGGGCTACTGTTGAGATCCTCCTCCAGGGACCTCTTTGCCACAGGGAAAACCAGAAAATGGCCATAAAGTGAAACAAGGAAGCCAAGGTGCAGAGACCCAGGTGGAACTAGCAAGTTCCCTGTAGTGTGAATACTTTCGGCAGGAGGCACTAGTTCGGGGCCTGAGCATGGCTCCACTTGGAAGTCAGACATCCTGGGATACCTGGAGCCCACCGTCCAGACCCCCTTAAGAAGTCTGAGGGCCTGGGTTGCACGAAGGAATAAGGAGAGATCTACGGGAACTTGGTCCTAGGACTGCGGCTCAGGCAGGCTGCCCGTTCTCCCTGGCCTGTTCTCAGCTTCAGGGAAGCCCTGGTGCTTTCCCTCGGGTCAGCTTTCTTGCAGCCGGGACCGGACAAGTCCAAGAGAGCAGGGTCCCTCTCTGTCCAGCAGCCCTGGAGCGAGCTCCGTGACGCCTCTGAACTCACCGAACAAGGACAGCGTCAGGATTTTGGCGCCTTCCAGGAACGGCAGCCAGGACAGCAGGCAGAGCAGAAGCCGTGAGCGCTGCCCAGCCATACCGACTTCCCTCTAGCACCCAGCCAGAGCCTGCGCACCCTGCGCGCCCGCGTCCCCGCACAGCGATCACCGCACACGCCCGACGGAGGAGTGCAGGGATCAGAGCGAGGGTGTCTGTCCAGGCTTCCTTAACACCGGCTCCTTCTCTTCTCGCCCCAGGTTCCTGCTCTGAGGGCTTGTCACTTGGATCCTGCCAAGAAATCCCGGGCCGGGCGGCATCTGTGAAAACCAAGTCGGAGAAACGCCCCTCCTGGACGCGGGCAGGTGACAGCCGGGCGGCGCCGGTTCTTTTGCATGCCCACGCCCGCGGGTTTCCCACGTCTTTCTCATTCTCTTAGTGTCGCCCCGAATCTCCAACCCCGCCCCCGCCCCCCGGGGAGCTCCCTAGAGGGGATGACGCTTAGGAGGCACAACCGTTGCTACGGATAACCAGTGGCTGCGCAGCTCGCTGCGGGCCGAGCACCGACCGCAGATGCCTGCCTGTGTCTACTGGGTCAGCACAGGTTCAGTGAGCACCTGTCGCGGGCCAGGCACCGGCGTTCTGTCTGCTTATGGCGCAGAGAGATGAGTATTATCAACATGTATTAAAAAATTAGCCAGGTGAAGACCCAAAACATTGCCCTTACTAGCCTCTGAGTGATACCACTGATGGAAAAAGTACTGTAAACCACTTCACGTGCCTTTTGTAGTTTGACCAATTATGAATGCATCTCTAAACAATAACATTTAGTCCGGGGCTGTTTCTGTTCTTTTGCGGTTTTGAATAGATTGGATTTGTAAAAGATCTTTCCATCCTTCCTCTATTTGAAGCTATATCCTCTCGCTGGTATTTTAATGATTACCAAATGACAGTGTCAAAGTCCAGCCATATCTCTCCTGCTTCTGGGTATCACCATGACCTTAAAACCCTGCAATGAGTTTCCTCCACTGAACTCATGCTCAGTTATGTAATTTAATTCTCCGTGTATTTTAACTTCAATATGAAATGACATGGACATATAACAAAGTACACACAAAAGCACGTTCGGCTCAGCAATTCATTACAAAGTGAACCCCGCTCAACCACTGCCCAAGACAGAGAATGCAGGCAGTGAACCAGCAGCTTCTCTGGTGCTCCATCCCGGTCACTACGCCCTTCCTCCTCCTCCAAAGGTAAGCAGTAGCTTAGTATGTGCAGAAGTATCTTCCATGATTTTTTTTGTTGTTTTACTCCAGTGCATTCATTTTTTTTTTAGCTCTATAATTCAGTTTAGCCTGGTTTTGAACTTTATCTAAGTAGAATCACACAAAATTATTTTTTATGCCTGGCTTTTCTTGATCCACATTTTGTGTGAGTTTCAGCTATGCTGTTGCATAGCTGTAATTAATTCATTTTCGTGTTGGTGTTTATGTGTTTATCATGTGGAATAAATAAATATATTCTGCTGACTGGATTTATTTATATCCGTTCATGGTTGAAGCTATTATGACTAATGGTTCCATGTACATTCTTGTACATGCTCCGTGGTTCACATAAACATACATTTTTGTGTGATGTACATACTCATTGCTAAGTCCAAGGCCACTTTGATTTCTCCTACGTTACCTTCTCTAAGTTTTCTAGTTTTGTGTTAAAGTGTTAGGTTTGTGGTCCTTTTTTAAAACCCCCAGCCATGCTTCTTGATTTTAGAGAGGGAGGAAGGGAGGCAGAGAAACATTAATTGGCTGCCTCCTGCATTCACTTGGACCAGGGAGCAAACCCACAACCTAGGTATGTTCCCTGACAAGGCACTGAACCCGCAAACTTTTGGTGTGTGGGACAATGCTCCAGCCAACTGAATCCCCGGGCTAGGGCTGTTTAGGGTCCATTTAGAGTCAATTTTTGTGAACATTTTAAAGTCAGTATCTAGACTCACTTTTGTACGTGGTTGTTTGTTGTTCCAGAATGACGTCAAAAAGGCTCTTATTCCTGTCAAATTGCCTTTATTCCTTTGTCGAAGATCAACCGACTATGTCTACATGGGTATATTTCCGGGCCGTCTGTTCGGTTCCATTGAACATTTGTCTATTTTTCCCACCAATCCCACACTGTCCTTATTACTGTAGCTTTATATTGAGTCTTGAAGTTGGGTGGTATCAGCCCCCTGATTTTGTTCTTTGCCTTTAATATCGAGTTGGCTTTTCTGGGTTTTGGGCCTCCTGAGGTAAACTTTAGAATCAGTTTGTCAGTATCCACTAAGTAACTTTTGGGATTACATTGAGTCTAGAGATCAAGTTTGGAAGAGCTTGACATCTATGAGGTCTGTACGGAATAGTCCAGCCATTGTTAATATAATGAGAACAGTTTGCATGACATCGATGTAACCTGGCAGCCAAGGAGAGTGGACTGGAATGTGCCTGTGTGAACAATGACGACTTCGCTGTACTAGTCAGTGGGGGCAGTGGACGGAATCGAATGAGCATGTGCACTGTGTGGCTACTGCATTCAAAATGACTGAGTAATGAATCAGCATCAAATTTTGGGTCAAGCTTGAACATTCCTCGGCAGAAACTATTTGGATGATTCAGAAGGCCACAGCTATGGGCAACTGGTGACTGGTAGCTTCATCACGAGCTCACTCATGCATCACATCTTGTGCAGTTTTTTGGTGAAACATCAAATCACCGAGGTGACTCAGCCCTCCTACAGCCCAGATTTGATACCCTGTGACTTCTGGCTTTTCCCCAAACTAAAATCACCTTTGAAAGGGAAGAGATTTCAGCCTGTCGATGAGATTCAGGAAAATATGCTGGGGCAGCTGATGGCAATTGGGAGAACTGTGTGAGGTCCCAAGGTGCCTACTTTGAAGGGGACTGAGGTGTCATTGTCCTATATACAATGTTTCTTGTATCTTCGATGATAAATGTCTCTATTTTTCATAGTACATGCCTGGGTACTTCCTGAACAGACCTTGTATTTTTTCCATGCAAAACAAATAAAATTTAATGATCTTAAGTGCAAAAGTAGAATTAAAAACACACCAAAAAAAGCAGAAGAAAATTAACAGAACCCAAAATGTCAAGGCAGTTATGAAGAGAACTTTGAAGGTGGGTCTTGGAAACTAAAGGTCAAAGGTTTTTGTTGTTAACTGGCAAGAAATAAGTACTTTTCTGCTGACTGTCCATAGAAACACAAAGTTTCAAGACAAAATCCAAAATGGAATAAACATAGCCCTTACAATAAGGGGTATGAGAAACACAATGCTCGAATGTTTTTTATTAAAAAATAGTGCAGTCGTATTCATTTGAACTACGTTAAATGCTCTTGGAAACTGGAGAAACCATTGTGAACGACGGTATCCAATGTGCAGGCCACACGCGTGCTGTCGATGGACAGGAATTTGGGGTGTCAGGCAGCAACACGCTCAGGCAGGACTGACGCTCAGGTCTGACTGGGAAATGTCCGGAGTTTCCCTGAAGCCTGGTGGTCAGTTTCCAGCAGTGCCTGGTCTTGGGGTTCATGTTCACTTCCCCACTGGAGGGCTGGGCCTGCCTCCAGAAGGCTGCACCCGGCATGAGGCCCCCTTTCCTGGGGATGGACCCCATCGGACAGGCCTCTGGACACGTCCAGCACCCCTGGGTGGAGCCCGGGGCTGAGTGAGGAGGTGGCAGTGAGGCCTGCTGTGGGAAGCGACTTCATGTCAGCAGCCGGAGCAGAAATCAGTGTTGAAGCGATTGTGAAGCTGTGCACTGGGCATCCAAGAACTGACGACTTGATGACGCTGAGTCTCCCTACCCACGAACGTGGAACTTCTCTCCATGTATGTGGCTCTGCCATTTCTTTTAGCAGTTGTGTTCTTTTCTTCACATATAGCTGACATATTTCTTTTTGTTAAATGTATACTCAAGTTTATCATTTTGGGGGGTGCTAATGTAAATGGTCTTGTTTTTAATTTCAAATTCCATGTGTCCATTGCCAGTATATTTGGTAAGGGACTGATTTTTGCATATTAACCTTGAATCCTACAAACTTGCTATAATCACTTATTGGTTCTAGTAATTTTTTTGTCATTTCTTTTGGATTTTCTACAGACAGTCATGTCATCTGCAAGCAGACAGTCCTTTTCTTGTCTTACTGCAGTAGCTAACGTTAATGGTGCTGTTTTTTATTTCAAATTTCAGTTGTTCTTTTTGATATATAGAAAAACAGCTCTGTTTTCTTGCTCGCCTGACTGGGGTTCCATCAATTTTATATTTTCAAACAACTACCTTTTGGTTTTGTTGATTTTTCTTGTTTTCAATTTCAGTGATTTCTGCTCTAGTTTTTATTACAATTCCTTATTTTAGTAACAAACACAGGATAAAGTAATATGGAATCTAAAGTACATCTTGAAACATTTATTTTGATAACACCTGTTAATAAATTTGTAAGGAACAAAAAATGCTTTAGTCTATTTAATAGAATTTGATCTTAAAGATAGTATGATGCAAAACACATAAATTATGAGAAAAATTATTAGTAATTTGTAGAAATGTACTTTATTTCATGCAAAGCTACATAATTTTCTATATTTTAACAGCAAATCAAACATTTCAAAAAATGTATTACATCACAATAAGTTAAAATACTACAGAGCAACTGCAAGTCCATGAGTTTGTCAAAACCAAACTGAGAGAACTTTATGCACAGATAAGGCCAAAGATGCTAATTTACTTATAGATAGCACTTTGCAGCTCTTTCCAAATACATATTTGAAAATGTAGTGAAAATCTGCAGAGAAAAATAGTTAAATCCACAACCACTGATTAGATATACATATCAGGTAGCAATGTCTGACTAACGATAAATTTGGCATCATGCACCACAAAAAACATAATGAACATTTTGGAAAATTATGATCAGACACACATTTGAAAAAGACATCTTTTATTTCAACTAATCCACTGAATTGGATAAGTTGCACATACTTTATTAATGCAACACAGAAATTAGGCATTTGTTATACTTTGCCTGGGTACTGATATATATAAAAAGATACTGAACAGATACAGGAGTATTTCAAATTCACACTGGACTACTGAACTTTAGAATACTGCCCTAAGGAAATAGGTTCTGGGCAGAATTTATTTGAGAAAGGCTTTTTTACACTACTTAAACCCAATACTACAATTAGTTACTTACAAAACATTTTATAAAAATTAAATACTAGGAAGTAATGACACCAATATCAGAACTCTTTTTCAACGCTATAATTTATAAATACATATTAGGTTGTAGTGACTTAGAAGACAGGGGCACATGTTCTCTACCTTCTAAAATGAGAAAAAATTTTCAAGCTTCTTTTCAAAATATGGACAAAAACAAATCCATTGGATTACTTTTAAAAAATAAATACACAGTCTCTCCCCCACAACTCTGCATACTAAGCAGGGAAGATAACAGCCAACTTCTTTTGAGGAATACGGCACGAAGCAGCTGGGGTGATAAGACCGACATGAACAGTATCAAATCGAAATAGTGTTGTGTAGTCAGAGGAACACATTTCGACTTTACCTATATGTCTGCCACAGTAAGCCACTCTTTCTATTTTTTTGCACTAAGTACAGTAAAATTTCTTTTTGCAAAAATAATCTGAGATCAAAATAACCACATAAGAAGAGATTTTCAGAGGAAAAAAGCTAATTTTCCCCCAGGAGTATATTAAAAACAAATGTGTTTTAGGATATCAATGAGGAGTGCATCATTATTCTTGCATTATTAACAAGCTTAAAATTACAATAAGGCTTCCATCAACCTTAATGGACAGATCTTTCGAAAATGAGAATCAAATTTTAGGAAAATCAAGCTGAGCGTGAAAGACATTTACCGGTGACAGCAAGTCCCCACTGCAGTGGGTGGGGTCAGGGACAGAGCACAGCTGGTGCCGGTCCCCCTGTGAAGCAGAAGAAGTCAGACTTGGACGGAAGGACCCGCTACGGAGGAACTCCTATTGTAGAAGGACTCCTCTGCCCCTCTCACACTGTTTCAACCTCTCCTAAGAAAAATTTTAACAATGATGTTATATTTATGAACCCCTTCCTTGAAAAAATCTCAAGGGCTTTTTAAAAAAAATCCTCACCTGAGGACATTTTTTAAAATTCCTTTTAGAGAGGAAAGGAGAGAGAGAAATGTTGACAGGAGATAGAAAGATCAATTTGTTGCCTCCCATAAGCACCTGGACCAGGGATTGAACCTGCAGCCTAAGTGTGTACCCTGACCAGGAAGCAAACCTGCAACCTTTTGGTTATAGGATAATGCTCCAACCAGCTGAGCCACTCAAGCCAGGTCGGTCTCAATATTTTTAACATTTTTTGTTGTTTTGTTTTTTAACAATCACTGCTTTTGGAAATCCATTTTTAGGCTAGGCCATTACACTGAGGATAATTCATTTCACTGAAGTGCCCTCCTTAGCAATCGACAAGACAACACACCGGTGCACAGGCCACCTTGACTGACCAAACCTGTTCCACAGCTCTAGGTGAGGAACTGCCATTCTAGCAGTGGGATCTGGAGTCAAAACTAGTTGCTCTGAGTGTACTGAAGATCGTCAAAAACAACTGTCACACAAAACAACAGAATAATTGGGAAAATACAATAAAGATTAAATAGAAAGTAAACAACAGAAGGAAAATCTGCCAAGACTTGAAAAGTCGTACTCTAAAGAGAGGCCTCCTAAAGGAAGGGAGTTGTAAGCAGAATAAGAAAGGGAAGAAAAGGTACACCTCTAAGCCTATTTTCTTCTTACATTTATAATTTAATCCAGTCCAATCCAATACACTTTGGAGATTCAAGTATGTTAAGATTTTTCAAGAACAAGGTTTGTCTCTTAGTGTCAATATATTTTTCCTTGTGATTTTCAGGCATAGTCCATTCAAATCACAAATTTAAAACACAACTGAACAGTGTGTACTAATTACAGAGAGTATATTTTTTCCTTTAAAATGGTAACCAACATACCATCAAGAACATTCCCTAAACCGACTTCCGCCAAGATGGAGGCGTAGGTGGAAACACATTGCATCCTCACGCAACCAATCTAAAAACAACAAAGTTTTAACAACAATAAACGCAATTAGACCACACAGAAAATCGACAATACGGAGTCCGAAAAAAAAGAAATGCTCAGCTAAACCGGTGAGAGGGGCAAAGCCAGCGGCAGAGCGGGTCGGGCAAAAAAGATCCCCCGACCTGGGAGGTGCAGAGGCAGCCGAGGGCATGCATCCCAGGTGCGGGCTAGCTACGGGCGGACACATGCATGGCTGGCTGTCTGTGGTCGGTGGGGCATGTACGTGCAGATAAACCAGTGAAGAGGCGAGCATTGAGACCACACGGTGCAGGGTGGCGGGCTCGCACATTTGCGCTCAGATAAACAGGCGGGGGCGAGCCGTGAGACGGACTGGGCCAGCGGAGAGGACCGCCATTGCTCCCTCTCTGACCCGCCCCCACATACAGCAACACAAACCTCCAACCTGGGTGGCCCTGCCCTGGTAAACACCTAAGGCGCCTCTCCTCTTACGTAACAGGCACAAACAGATAAAAACATGGCTCAAGAACAACTCAGAGCCCCAGAGCCAATAAATCTAAGCAATGAAGAAATAGGCAAACTTTCAGATGCACAGTTCAAAACACTGGTGATCAGGATGCTCACAGAACTGGTTGATTTTAGTCACAAATTAGAGGAACATATGAAGGCTAAACTAATTGAAATGAATGGTAACCACAGGAAACCAATAGTAATGGAAAGGAAACTGGGGCTCAAATCAAGGGAGTAGACCAGAAGGAAGGAAAAAATGACTAAACAGAAAAGGATGAAGAAACAAGAATTCAAAAAATGAGGAGAGGCTTAGGAACCTTCAGGACATCTTTAAACATTCCAACATCCAAATTATAGGTACCAGAAGGAGAAGAGGAACCGTCACGAGTGGAAACCTTATTTAAACAAATAATAAAAGAGAACTTCCCCAAGCTGACAAAGGAAATAGACTTCCAGGAAATCCAGGAAGCTCAGAGAGTCCCAAAGAAGTTGGACCCAAGAAGGAACACACCAAGGCACATCATAATTATATTAGCCAAGATTAAAATCCTACAAGCAGCAAGAGATAAGGGGACAGTCACCTACAAAGGAGTTCCCATCAGACTGTCAGTGGATTTCTCAAAAGACACCTTACAGGCAAGAAGTATTCCAAGTCATGAAAACCAAAGACCTACAACCAAGATTGATCTATCCAGCAAAGTTTTCATTTAGAATGGAAGGGCAGATAAAGTGCTTCTCAGATAAGATCAAATTCAAGGAGTTTATCATCACCAAGCCCTTATCATATGAAATGTTAAAGGGACTTATCTAAGAAAAAGAAGATAAAAAAGATGAACAGTGAAAGGACAGCAAACTCACAGTTATCAACAACCACACCTAAAACAAAAGCAAATTAAGAGGACAGCTAGATCAGGAGTGAACCATAGAAATGAAGATCACGTGGAGGGTTAGCAACAGGGGAGTGGGAGGAGGAGAAGAGGGGAGAAGGTACAGAAAATAAGTAGCATAGACAGTAGACAGAAAATAGATGGGGGGAGGGCAAGAATAGTAGGGGAAATATAGAATCTAAAGAACTTGAGACATGTGTTCATGGACTAAGGGGGGGAATGGTAGGGGATGGGTGTGCAGGGTGGAGGGGAACAGAGGGGGGAAATAGAACAAATGTAATGGCATAATCAATAAAATTAAATATATATATTTATATATATATAAATATATATATATAAATTTATATATATATAAATAAACATATGTAAATTTATATATATATATAAAGAACATTCCCTAAATCTATTTAGTTATTTTAAAAATGAGGTTTGCTATTGTACATAAAAAAAATTCCTCCATTAATATGCTAAAATACACTTAAGAAAACACACATTGCCTTTCCCATTCACATTGAATTTCATTTGGGTACATAAATGGTACATAGAACTGATCATCTAACCAAATTTGATTTGAGCCCCCAAAAAAATCAACTGGCAGCATTTCTTGTTGAAGGTTTGGACTGTGAAGTTCTCTGATCTGTTTTTTATAAATCCAGAACCACTGGATGTTTCACTTTAGCTCTTGTGAAATGAGAGCCTCTTGTGTGATGAAATTATTCTGAAGCCCTTATATTCATTGGTAAGAGAATAAATTCTAATAATTAGGCTTATACTTTATTTCTCATTTTAATAATGATTTGTACAAAACTGCTCTATTGATAATAATAATTTTTTTAAAGATTTTATTTAGTTTTAGAGAAGGGAAGGGAGGGACAGAGGGAGAGAAACATCAGTGTGTGGTTGCCTCTCATATGCCCCCTACTGGGGACCTGGTCCACAACCCAGGCACGTGCCCTGTCTAGGAACTGAACCAACAACCCTTTGGTTTGCAGGCTGGCACTCAATTCACTGAGCTACACAGGCCAGGGCAATAAAGGCTTATTGATGGAGTAACAAAAACAATTTGCAACTTACAAGCAATTCATGAAATAGATTATGAATTACTACTTTCAGCAATGATTATTTTGAATTATTGGCTTACTGAATATCTTTACATAACAATTATAGAAAAATAATGTACAAAATTTAATCAGATAACTATTATTATGTAAGAAAGATATCAAAAGACAATTGCCAGAAGTAACACTTCAAGGGATGTACTTTGCATGTAAAGTGTGTTATTTTAGTAGTAATGTTTCCCAGTAGATGTTATTACATTTTAATAAGCTTTTCAGGAAAGAAATCCTTTGTACTTACTGTTTTTTATACAGGTGGTTTAATAAGTATTAACTTAGTTCCCTAGCAATAAACTCTTGGTCTTCAGTGATTAAATCACTACCTTCTGAACTCAAATTTATCTAGCCAGGTCACTTTCCAAAAATGATCGTATATAAGATCCAGCAAGATAAATTCTGCTTAAACAGTTAACTACTCTGGGTCATTTAACCAAAATCATTTGGGAAGTAACTCAGAAGTAGTAAAGTGATCTACTGTTCATGAAGTATAATACTTCAATTATTATAATCATAAAAATTTAATAGGAAAAGTAGTACATTTCCTAATTCTTTCCTATCAGTTTGTCTTAGGGCATTGTGAGTTATAAAAGTCACTGAATCATTTCTTCTCTTTTTCTACTTCAGCTTCTACAATAGCATCTGAGTTTTATGAGAAAACCTGATGAGAAACATTTTACCTAAGGGAAATATTCCGAAGTCTAAACAATAAAACAATACTACAGGACTTTTGGTGAATTTTCCGAAAAGAGGTTTTGCTTTGGGGACTCGTAAGGGTCTCTCCAGTAACGAGAATCTGGACCCCCCGGTGGGGTGGTCGTCTCCGCAGCCCGCACCTTCGAGCCCAGCAGGCGAGCAGGACAGTGATGCCTGCGTTTGTTTCTGTTTCCAGCTCCACCACATCAACCTCAGCTCAGTGCCCTCACTACAGGTCTGTGAGGTAGGTCAGGAGGTAAATAGCGAGTTCCATCTTCATTTTGCAAATGAAGAAACTGAGGCACTGAAGGGTTACGTGATTTGCCCAGGGTATTCAGTGGTCAATCGCGAAATTACACAGCACTGAATTATCTCTGCTCCCGGCCTGCTGCCCTCTAACCACGCTTCATGACATAAGGGGTGTGTGTGTGTGTGTGCGTGTGTGTGTGTGAGACCTCAAATGGACATTCTATGTGACCTCTGATTGACAGTAAAACCTATCCACTGATAATTATTTTAAAAGGGAGCTAATGTAAACAAAATTGAAGAACATTAGATAACTAGAATACACCACTCCTTTTAGCATCTGTCTGTGAAGATCTGTGTCTTTAAACGTTTACATGATAACGCTAAAGATGAAAATAAAAATTAAAAAGTATGACCCAGGGAAAGATTACTTTTAAGAAACAGGTAATCATACCGTGAGAGTGACTATGGAATTCCTTTCAGACTGGAACACCCAGGAGTGCAGGGGAGCACTATCAAGATCACAAGGGCGGCGGGTGTGTAGCAGGGCCGTCCCAGTGAGCCTGAGTACAGCCACCTTGGGCGAGTCCGCAGCGCGGGTCCTGAGACCTGACAACATCTCAGGGACATAAAAACTCTGCAAGCATGTTGTGCCTGACTATTAAAATATAATTCCTAACAACTCTGACTGATACACAGAGGTTAAAAAAATCAATTCAAAATAATAAGCACGTTTAACCACCAAGTTATTACACACTGACGTTCCAATACAGAGGCACGCACACCTCACTTTATCGTGCTTCGCTCTATCTGTCCCCACAGATATTACTGTTTTTATAAATCGAAGGCAACACCCTCCACCAACAAAGAGATGACAGCTCACTTTACCGTTAAGACTCACTTCACTGCTGTGGTTTGGGACCGAATCCACAATATCTCTAAGGTCTGCCTGTAGTTTTCTGTTTTCTACATAAACCAAATTAAAGTGTTAGTATTAACGGAAAATGGATTCGCTTTTTACTTTTGAATAACTAGATGTTCTTTTTCAAAAAGCCTAAACAGGCACCTTAAAAATTAGAGAATTCTGGGAGAATCTTTGGTTATTAAAATAATCCTACTATTTACAATGAATATGTAGGGTTCTCCCTAAATGGAATAATCAAAACAAATCAATGATAAAGATGAAATGAAAATCTTTACAAAGCAATACCAAAGGCATACAGCAATTTCCAGTTACTACCAAAAAAATGAAAGAACTATCTGTTGCCCAATCAGAGCACATATGCTAAAGATACTAACACCACCGGCTGAAGTATAATCTTAAATGTACGTGTAAAACCTTACTGATAGACATACAAAGTCGAAAAAGAGCTTTTTACATTCAGTTATGTTTGTAAGTAAGCCTTGTTTTAAGACATGGGTTTTTGTAAATATGGTTATTATTGGAGGTCTTCAATTCTGTGGGAAATAGAAGATTAACATATTCTTTAAAAACAGCAAAAATGTAAATCAAGAGTTGTATAATGTTATTAAGTTTGACTAAGGGCTTCCTTGGAGCTTTGAATCAACTCTTCTGGAAAAGAAAATCTGAGACAAACGGGATTAGCTGATCTCAATGTACAGTGATCTCTGTCGTGAATTCAATCCCTCCAACTGTAACTGTACTTCAAAGGCAGACCCTGCAGAAATGGCATGTGATAAGTTCTATTAGAAAAGATGCTACTCTAGTCAATGCGAAATGAACTATTATCACTAAGATGCAATTGATTTTCAGTGTCTTTCTTATCCTGACATTTCACTGAGAATGCAGCGTGAATTCTGGGGTATACAGATGTTCATAAAGACTGAACCGATGTGTTGATTTAGGTTAGTTATTCCACAGATTCTTTCAGACTTTAAACATCATCAAATATTCTGCTACGAGACATCGAGAGGTATCGTCCACCAGGCTGATACCTGAAAGATGGATAAAGAAATGATCTGAGGCATCAAAAATAATAATGGAAAAGAGATAAATAAGGATGCATTAAAAGGAAGTGGCTACGTAATTCATCAGCACTGTAACATCTCTCCAGCAGCTGGAAGTAGCACTCTCTTTTCCAAGGTCATTATCCCAAAGAGATTTACATGGTCATAAGTCAGCCAACCACTAACCATTTAGAGCCTGGAGCACATATATGACCAGGTGAAAGCTGTGAGAGAAAATGGGTGGGGAATTGTAACACACAGAACAGAACTTACGAGATTCAATGACCACTCTTGACTGTTGAATATAAATACAATATTTTTTTGCTATTTATAGGCAATAGTATAGCAAATATCTTCATGTACATCATATTTGCTTTTGTTTAATTTCCACATAGCATCACTGCTAAAAGCACAGGCTCTAGCCAGAGTCCTGGGGTTTGAATACCTGACTTTGCTGTTTACAAACTGTGTGTCTCTGGATAAGTTACTGAGCCTCTCTGGATTCAAATCCAACTGGAGTTACAACCATAAAATACAGTATCATTGTAAAAGCACTTAGAATAGTGTCTGACGCCCAGTCATAGCTAGGTGGCCATTGCTAAACATGATAAATTCTATAAATGAATTGTCAGAAATAGCCGTTGTGAATTTAAGACTCTTACTTCACAGTCAGTGCTTGCTTATTTATAATGCCACTAGTAGTTTTCAACTAAGATTTCAATTACCGCCCCGGATGCTACAATTTAAAAAACGGAAACACATTAAAAAGTATAAAAAGGTACCAAAGGCTGCTCAATATGCTTTTTATGAGTAGTGAAGACGGACATTTTCCTTCTATTTATTTATCTTGTCAAGGCAGCATTATTCCAATGTCAGAGGAATGTGGGGTACAATGACAGAGCTGGGACTTACCTTCCTGACTCAGGTTCAAGAGGATCATCGGTAAATGCTTCTGCATTAAAATCCAAGGGTTCTGCATCTTGTAGGAGTTCTATTCTGTCCCTTTCAGTCCTATTATTAGCCCTGGTATATTTGGATGCTGCTGCAAAAAAAAAAAGAAAAAAAATGTTTACTTTTCTATTGTCTTTATGGGTCACAGTCTATGAACCCAAAGGAAAGTCAAGATTTAAAGGATCTGAATTTTGATTGTGACAATACTGAGAAAAGATCACTAGAGGGTTCCTTACAATCAGATTAAAGTGATAAATAGTTTGCTACGGGGCTTTTAGAAAACGTAGGGCAAAGCCATCTATTATACCTTGAACTCTCCCATGGTCTTGTCTCTCATTCCCTCCACCAGCGCTGGCCGTCTGCCGCGTGCCAGGCGCCCCTAGCTCTCTGTCTGAGGCTTTGGGTTTTCTCTTACCCACTCTCCTGCTCTCAGATCCTCCTGCTCTGTGAACTCCTAGTCCATGGTAAGCAAGCTTCCAGATCTTTCTGTGAAACCCCTCCACCCTTGTTTCCTAGCTTTATCCAAATGTTAGCTCCCCCCTCTTTCTTCTGCCCTCAGTGTCATTCAAGTCCACCCTTTCCTCTTCATCTCTAGGGTCACTGCTCATTCCAGGCCCTCTTCATTTCTCGGCAGTGTTACCAAAACAGCCAGCAAACTGGTTTCTGGGTCTCACTTCCCTAAAAATCATGCTTTACACTGCTGTCGATACCTTTCTGGATCAAAATTCTGAGTATGCTTCAGCCTTCCAGGTTGAAATCTTATCTTTGGGACAAATTACGAACGTCTGAGCACAGTAGTGTTTGTGTCCAAACTATCTCTGCAGCCCCCCTCTCTTCACGCTCCTCCCAGGGTCCAACCTTCTGCTGTCTCTGGGCTGCACTGGAAGAAGAGCTGTCTTGGGCCACATATTAAATACACAAACACTAATGAATACTGATAAGCAAAAAAAAAAATGAAGGTTTTAAGTGAGCTTACAATTCTGTGTTGGGCCGCATTCACAGCCATCCTGGGCCGAATGCGGCCCACAGGCCATGAGCTAGACACTCCTGCTTTAGGCTCTAATCAGAGAAAAACTTGCATTTCCCCAAAAGTTCTCTCCTGTCACTCACTATTGCTTCTGCCTGAAACACCTTCACCTGGAGAATTACATCCTTCATCACAAAAATCCCTTCCCAGTAGAGAACTTGGTCCAGCCCTGTGCGGAGCTCCCTCAGCATCGGGTGCACATCACTGCGTCTCCTCCAAAGACAGACGAGCTCTGCCCCCAACTCAGTGCCACTTCTGCACAGACACAGGCTTCCTGCTGCCTTTCCAGGGCAGAGGACAGGGTTAAGGACGTGGGGAGGTTTCTCACCCCAATGGCAAATGTCTCCTGCCTCGTATCAGTTCCTCACTGATTATGAGCACCTCAAGGGTGGAAATTCACGTTCTCTATATCTCTGTGTCGCTGGGAAAGTCCCCGACACATGGGTCAGTCAGTAAACTGTTATAAAAATGAATTTTAGGCTTAAATCCACTAATTCACAAGTAAAGAAAAACATCTGCGTAAATAACAGAAATAATCAGAACCTGCCTAGAATATGCCTGGGATAAGTGCTATTATTTAGGGTAGCACAGTTACAACTATTCACTACATCCCTGATGCTCCTTCTGCTGCCAGAATATATATTTGAGTTTCCCTCCCCCGATACACTGAGACGAAAAGGGAAAGTCACTGCAGAACCCCATCTCTGAATGGGCATCTGAACCCTCAGTCTCTATGCAAGCACGTGTAAGGAAAAGTGCTCAGACGGTGAACTACTTACATCGGTTCGTACTGATATCTGAAAAATTTGACTCTTTTGAATCAACATGAACATTTCTGTTTCTAGTGGAATCTTCTCTATTATGCCCATAACGTTCTTTCCATTCCTAGGAAAGAAATACAGATGAGTATATAACTAAATAACTCACAGACAGAAAACAATTCATCAGTATCATAGAATATATACAGAGAGAGTAATATAATTTAATTATTTTTCATCAGAAATTCATTAGATAATCAGTGTAACTAGCACAGCGCCTTTAAAAATCATAGGTCGCCCTGACTGGTGTGGCTCAGTGGATTGAGCGCCAGCCTGTGAACTTAAAGGTCACCAGTTCAATTCCCAGTCAGGGCACATGCCTGCAGGCCAGGGCCCCAGCTGGGGATGTTCCAGAGGCAATCGATGTTTCTCTCCTTCCCTTTCTCCCTTCCTTCCCCACTCTCTAAAAATAAATAAAAATAACATCTAAAAAAAAAATCAGAGATTCTGATATTATAGAAAAATCATAGGTCAATAATTTTATCTTTACATGGTTATAGAGTTTCCAAACTTAACTTTGACAAATGAAGACATTTATAGACATACATGCTAGCTATGATTTTGTCATTCAATTTTATCTAAAATGTCAAAATAATATCAGAATTACAATAAACCTATCTTGACGATGTAGAAGTTATGAGAACACATAATTAATGAGATGTTGACAAAATTTCCTTCTACCCAAGTGAACTACAAATTTAGAGACCTCTAAAGCCATTTTTGAGAGCAAAATTAAAGCTGTCTACACGGATGGTTAGGTAACGACTCACTCGGCACTGAGTGCAGCCTTCACTTCACTAAACCCGTACTAACTGGGATCCTACTCATTAAATTCCGAGAGTTGATCACCGGAAGGAACATGATGAGCGGTCATCTAATTCAACCGCCCACGCAGCGCAGGGCTGCATTCTGAAGCAGCCACATCGGACGTGTCCTGGCCCTCTTGCTAGATGACACGGAAGCTCCCAGGCACAATCGCCCCTGCAGTCGTGGCAAACCAAGGGCGTTTTCACAGAGGTGGACTCCATCTCCAGGACCTCCCGCCCTCTGGTTCTAGTTATGGCTCTGAATCGAAGGACAAGCCTCCTTTTACGAGACCCCTGGACAACACGGGAAGACGGGTCTCATGTCTCCTCAGCCTCCACTGCTCCAGCACGGATCTGCCTCAGCGATGCAAGTGTGTGGTTAGCTGTGATTAGTTTTTCGCATTTTTTGCCTTTTCACTCTCTAAGAGGAGGTTAGTTTTATCTCGGCAAATAGAAGAGTGAAAAACACTAGCAACAGTAATGTCATATCATTAAAAAGTATAATTTTAAAGCAATCAAAATTACTTCAACATAAGTAAGACTGATGAATTTAGTCATTCACTTAGTACTTACTACTGAGCACCCACCTCCCTCCAGACACTGCTGGACGCTTGCTGGAAGGGCATTTATTACCAATGACTTTCTAAACGTGTCTGACGAGACACCCAGCATCTACGTACGAAACTAGTCAAGTTACCTGTCTTCACAAATAGATCATGTCCTTCCCAACCATTCTCTGGTCTTTAGCCAATTATTCTGAATAAGTGAAATTCTTACAATATTTCACATTAACCTTTAGGTTACAGCAATTTAATAAGTACTATACTTACTCTTCTTCGATTTTCACCTTCTTCTTGCCTTTGCCTTTTTCTCTTCTCTAGAGACAGAAAAGTGGTCTCAGATTCGGGGTAATATGGTTTAGTTAGATGTAGAGTAACTGCAGTAAAGCACCAGGCTCTGACCAATCTCCTTTAAATTACTACGGAGTCCAAGGTGATCGGTTATTGTGGGACAGGACCTTAGACCCCACCTAACTGCTCAGTGAATACTCCTGCACTCTTGCTGGCGATGGCCCTTAGGTTCTGTCCAGTTCTGGTGAGGAAATGGTTCTTCTTCAGGGTGACATGCAATTTGTTTCTCTGTAGCTTCTCTTTTATGTTCTATCTTCTAAGTCAAGTTCATGCTTCTTTCTGCGTAAGTGTCTTTCCCCTACTCTCTTCGGGGTGGATACTCAGTGGTTTTTTCCCCACAGGATGTGCTTTACAGACTCATAATTCTGGCCTCTAAATAGCTTCTGACCTACCATTCTCATTCTTGAAAACCTTACCAAGGACTGGATGATACTCCAGATGAGCTCTAATTAATGCAGAAAGCAGCAGAATTGTTATATTAACTAGACACCACCATCCTATGATAGCATGTGAAGGCTATACCAACTTATTTTAGAGCAGCAACAAATTCTGGCTTCCATTTGACTAGTGATGGTACAAAAGCCCCAGACTCAAGTAGGGAGAGCATCTAAGAATCAATGACCCCAAACTCAAGTTTTGTTTTTCTCTTTCCCTGTCCTACCATCACTTGAACACTGAATTTGATACACTCAGTTTTGAAATTAGATTCTAGTAGAGTGCCATGTATTCTAACAGGTTGTTAACGATCATTCATCACATTCTAAAAACCAGCCTTGGCTTGAATTGATTTCCTGTGCAGTATTAAACCAATCTTTTCTAAATTAATGAGTTTTATAGCTGTATGGAACCTGGCGTATCTGCCTCAGAGTAAACATAAAAATGACTCCAACACAATACAAGGGCATTATTTAGCTGCAGACATACTAGAAAATTTCTGCTGCAGAATTTCTTAGATGAAACAATCATTTATGTTTTCAAATTATTATTGCTATAAAGGCTTTATGAAGGCTTTTAGCTAAATATTAATTTCTTAAGCTAAATTAAATATTACAAATTATACAAATATTAATTTTGTATTTTGAGTCTTTGTACTTTCCCTTCATTTATTTTAAAAGACAAATCTTACCTCGCCTGATTAATTCTTTTCCCTCATCGACTAAGTCCGAGGTCATATCATTATCTCCCATGAACTGCTGGAAACCAAGGAGATTCAAACAACGAGTCCCCAGACTAGTAGATTTCCAAAAGAAAAAACAGCATTATTTCACATGGTAAACATGCAGACAAACCGTTTTTAGTGCCGTCACCCTCAAAGAAGCCTGTTTTCTTTCTAGCTATCAGAGCAAGTTAACAGAGTTTCATTTGTCTCTAAGAAGTACCTACTTCCATTTCTAAGAAGCTTACATGCCCAGGACTGCAGGGACTAGGGTATGGGGCACATGCAGATTTCTTAAGGAAACAAACTAAGTTAGGCCATTTCCATACCTTTGGAAAATTATTATACCAGGCTGCTAAACCACAGCTATAATACGAAAGCAATTTATTCTCTACTCACATCCACACAGCAATGTTAATACTGCTGGTTCTGTGATTTTAAGCATTCCCTTGCCATCTTCATATCCTGCGGCAATACTACACCCCTTAGGGCAGCGGTGCCAACCTCATTTTCACCGGGGGCCACATCAGCCTCACGGTTGCCTTCGAAGAGCCGGAATAATTTTAGGACTGTATCAGTGCAACTACTCCTTAACAGTTAAGGAGCGGAAATTACATTCGGCCCTTTGAAGGCAACCACGAGGCTGATGTGGGCCCTGGTGAGAGTGAGTTGGACACCCCTGGCTCAGGGTGAGAAGCCCAAACTACACAACAGTCTGTGGAAAGGTCTGAGCGTTGTGTAAAGTGTCAGTGAGCAGCCTTACACACTCCAGACAGTTAAATCTGAAAATTAGCCCCGGGCATGGCTGTGTTGCTAGTAATAGGGGTATTATTTACACCAATTAAAGCAGCATTTCAAAAGAAAAAATGGACCTACATAGTCAAGTTACACAACTAACTAAATGAATAAGTGAAGTCAAGTTATCAATGAAATGCCAGCAGGACATTGCTTCATATAGCCCTGTAACAGAGTACCTGCTTTGAGAGGTAATTTGAAAATGGAGAAATATAACCTTTTTTTCCTTAAAGACAAATTGACCCTCCGGTTTATTGTAATGAAATCTAAAATAACATTTTTAAGGAGTTATTTTCTAGTTTAACAATTTTCCTTTTAGACTAATTATTCTTTATATTTAAGATATTATAGTTGACAAGGCACTGTCCCACCCATTCTTTGATCCATGCAATGATCTAATAAGGAGATGCTAATCTAACCCAAATAACTACTAACATGACATAATTTATACATCACAAGCTCTTAATGTTCCATTAGTGGCTTAATAAACTTTTCAAGGGAATAAGCATATAATCAAAAGTTAGCTTCAGACACCAGAAAGATGACTGTTCTCTTCCTTTAACTCATGATGTTCACAGTATAAAGCTAAGTCTTTTCTACCTTACAGAAAATCTCAAAACAACAGGTTTGTTATTAGTTCATAGTAACAGTTTTATTTTAAATTATAATTCTTTAGCTCCTTTACTTATGAGAAGGCAAAATATAGGTGCTTTAAAAAATTCAATAGAGAATTTATTTCAAACAATACATGTGTATTTACTCAATAGCCTAAAGTGAGTGCACACACATTATTTGTAATAACCATATAATGGTATTATAAGATTTAAATAAAAAGTGGTTGGATAAAACTTAAATTTTTGTTAGGAAAGCAAACTAGCATCAAAAAAGCGTTTCTTAGGAAGCGGCACCTTTGGTCCATCCAGCAGCCTTCACGTGGCGAAGGGGGTGGCAGGGTGCGGGGTGAGGGCACCTGACACGTGCGAGCAGGGAGGACGGTGCCGGACGCCAAGCACCTCTGTCCTTTCCTCCTTTTGAGTCCTGCCTCCAAGACACCACGTTTCCCAATCCTACACAAAGGCGCGGCCCGCATACTTCCCAGCCTTCCAGGCACTGCCCAACCTTTTGTGCTGGCTACAACCTGAAGTATCAAGAAGCCTGGCACTGAATGTGGGAACAGCCCGAAGACTAACTTATGTCACTGGGTAGAAGCTGGGCATGAGCTGTTTTATAAGCGACACTGGCTGTCAGTGTTGACGGCCAGGACTTGAGTTAAGCATTCTGTAATTCAGCCCATCATTTTGTAGCCTAAGTGTTTAAAACAAATAACTCGACCTCTCTTTTCCTGAAAATATCTTCAGAGAAAGAGCCCTACCTTATCATTCAAGCAATCCTTTTAAACTATTCCCAGTATCCCTGAAGCCACAATAAAACAAACGATAACCAGAACCCGACCATTAAATATTTAAAAGAGCTTTAAGAAGAAAAGATACCCAGATCAGGCTAAGAGTGTGTGGAAAACTAAATGGTGTTAGGTTGCTTACCTAAAATAAGTAGCAATGCAGAGAATAACTACCAGCATAGGGTAATATATGTAGAATCCATCTGCAATAAAGGATAAAACTTTCATGGAACCCATAATCTGAGGAGCAAGAAAAAAGTTAAATCAGTACAGTTCTGTATCTTTTATTTTTTTCTATCATTAGAAAATTCACACAAAGCCACTTATATTAATTTGGACTTTTAAAAAAGTATAAATAAAGCACTGATATTCAAGTTCTCCTCATAAGAAAAAAAATTGTTATGAAGTGATGAATGCTGACTAAATTTATTGTGGTAATCATTTCACAATATATGTATATATCAAATCATTATGTTGTACAACTTAACCTAATACAATGTTATATGCTGATTATATCTTAATTTGCTTATTTATTAAGGTTTTCTCTGAAAGAAAATTAATATTTTACAAACATCACTGAATACTTTCCTCTACGTTAAACTGTAACTATAAAAGTTAACATTATTATAGGTCAGGTCTATTGATCCTACTCAGCTGGATGAGTTACATGAACCAAAAAACCATTCTTTGTGACAGGAAAGGAAGGGACTAGTTAAGAATGTGCATGAATGACCCGTGGACACGGACAGCAGTGTGGGGACTGATGGACTGGGCGATGGACTCGGCGGAGGGGGCAAAGGGGGAAACACTGGGACGACTGTAACAGAATAACAGTGAAAAAAGTCTTAAGAAATAAAAATTAAAATAAATAAAATGTAAAAAGCAAAACCACTTTTATCCAGTCATTGTAATTATATACACAACCTTTAAAGAAAGTTTCAGTTATTTAAAAAAGATCCACGTCGTGCTACAGAACTTTTCTGCATCAAACCCCCCAGAGCGATAACACCCCATTTGGACAGCGAACCCAGAGAACGCCACTTCCCGCCTACGTACAGACGTGTAAGCTGTTGGCTGCGTGTTCCGGTGAGAGATGGAGGAGTCCATGTGCGTCAGACCCAAGAAATTAAGACATAAGGGAGGAGTCAAGCGGCAAAATAACCTGCAATAAGCATTTATGAACAGAACATATAAAAAATAAGCAACAAAATTATTTCATATTACATTCAACTGTAGTAAGAACATTTCAGATCATTGTAACTGTTATTTTCATCTATCTGTATTATATATACTTTGAATTATTCATGTGACTCTCCCATACTTACTTAAGAGACATTTGGGCCGAGGGTTGGACACCCCTCTCAAATGTTCCCTTTTTTTTTTTTTTTTTACTAACTCATTTACTGAATCTCTAATTGGTATATCCAGGTTCACGATGTCTTTCTTTTCAATCCTAATCTTGCACACCTATTTTAACTTCGAACTTCATGCTATTTAGCTAGCAATCAACAAACAACTCATTAATATTTAAACCTAATCAGTTAGTTCAGAGAAATACAGGGGTTAGTGGAAGACCCCAGAACAGGAAGAAATAAAAGAGACCCATAAGGGCACATGCAGTGGAGGTCCTCCCCATTTCCAAAGGCAGTCTACTCACATGCCGCTGAACAGGAGGCTGTACGCATCGGTCTGGTGGTGTGAAGCCAAGTAGTAGTAGTTAAACACACGGATCCTGAACACAGTAGAATACACACAGATACTTAGGAAGAAGATGGAAAGGAAGCAAGCAATCTGAAAAAACAAAAACAAACAGACAGAAAAGCCCAGATTGAGGCTCATGGGCTTTAGTACTTTACAAACTGTTGCAGCATTAGCCTTTATTTCAGCTAACAAGTGTTGGCATTCTAAAATTAAGATATATCAGTAATGGAGTTTTTAACCACTTAAGAAAACAAAATGATGAAAAAAAATCTACAACTCTACCACTTCACATCCTACCCCTCAGTTTTGAATCTTCCTCCTGAAGGGAGCCTGTTCTCCCAGCCCCTGGGAAACTCCTCACATGAAGACTGTAAGTTAGGTCACTTCACTGGCGTAAGGAGAATCCACACATCCTCAAGAGTATTTTGCACAATTCTGTATCTTTTCATTTCTCCTCAAATATGGCCCTTGTTTTTTTTTTTAAATATTTTATTTATTTTTAGAGAGAGGAGAAGGGAGGGAGAAAGAGAGGAGGAGAAACACTGTGTGCGAGGGACACATCCGCCAGCTGCCTCTTGCACCCCCCCAACTGGGGACCTGGCCCACAACCCAAGCATGTGCCCTGACTGAGAACTGAACTGGCGACAACCTTGTGGCTCGCAGGTAGGCGGGCTCTCAATCTACTGAGCCACACCAGCCAGGGTGGTCCTTGGTTTTTATAGTCTGGGTAAATTGAAGAAGATCATTTTTGGAAGTCTTAATAACAACACAATGGGAAACTTCACTGCTTTCATTATTGCTAGAAGAAATATATGGAGACAAGCTACTGCTGTTAAGGATTGCACTATGAACTGACATTTACTGATAACAGGTTAAAAAAACTGACCTCAATATAAATATAATTATACGTTTTTTCAGCCAACTGAATGAAGACTGCAAAGAGGGACAAGACAGGGGTAGTGCTGAAGAATGTGCACTCTGACCACACGACAATCACAGAGAAGATGGACAAGACCACAGCAAGTATTCTGTAAAACCATGGTCGCAAGAGACATTCCCAGTACCATTCTGGAAAACAAAAGAAAAAAAATGATTAAGAAAACCATAAAGGAGTAACAGGGTATTGACGCTGTTTCAAAATATCTCCAAGCTGCATAATTACAAAGGGGAAAACAGCAGTCTTCCAGTGGAGGCAGCAGGCAGACACCACCCCAACCCAATGACCACCGGCCACAGGGCAAATGGCTCACGTGCCCTCTGCTGTGACGTACAATGACCACACAGCATCACTGCTGGGGTATTCCTGCCCGAAATACAGAACCTGCGCTAATCACGAGAAAATGTCAAACTCAAAGTCAGGGATGCTAAAAAAAAACAAAAACTGGTCTGTAGTCCCCAAAAATATCAATGTCGTAAGACACCACAGACTTGGCAGTTGGTCCACATCAAAGGGGACTACGGAGACGTGACAACTGAATGCAGTGTATGACTGGGGAAGTTTCAGACACACTGTTGAGACAGCTAGCAAAATCTGAATAATGTCTGTAGGTAATAGTATTGTTTTGACGTTATTTTTTTGACCACTGTATCCAACACTTGGTTATGTAAGAAAATGCCTTTATTTTTTAAAAATGTACACTGAAACATTTAGGGGTTAAAAGGCATTATGTCTGGATTCAACTTTGAAAAGATTAAGGGAAAACAGATACACAGAGAAGAAAATGAGTATGGTAACACGTTAACATTAGGAGAGTCTGGGTGAAGGATATATGAAAATTCTTTGTTATTATTTTGACAACTTTTTGTTAAATATGATTTTAGGTAAAAAAAATAAAAGGTAAAAAAGAAGAAAGCTCACAAAATTGAAAAGGCTGTATATTTCACTTCGTTCAGCATATTTCACTTCATTCAGTGAAAAGTTGGCTGGCAGGCAGGCGGGCACTCAACCCACTGAGCTACACCAGCTAGGGCGGTCCTAAGTTTTTACAGTCTAAGCCTCCAGCCCACTCCACAACCCCACTCTCGGCACCATTCCTGGTGATTCGAGTGTCCATACAGGCAATACTCCTTCCAAAATCCGGGTCGTTCACTCCTTTGGCTCCTCTGCCCCACTGACTCTGTCCTCCACTCCATCTCAACTACTCATCGCCCAACTGCAGCCCTTCCTTGTAACCTCACTGCAGTTTCCTGGGTCCAAACAGCACCTTCGTCTATATTAACACCACCGACTGCCTCAGTCTGGAGCAACTATCCATTTATTCCACCTTTCCATTGCCACTTAACACCCTCCTGTCCTTTACTGCTTTCTTCACTCAGCTCAGATTCCACCATCTTTGAGGGTAACCACTCCCCAATATCCCAATTCTTTTGCTTCCTCTTCCTTCCCTATACTGGCTAACCTGAGCCATACCCTGCCTGCCAACTCCTTGGCTACCCTGAGCGTGCACTCACGGAGCTGCACATTGCAGGAATAAGACACAACTTTGTTGAATCGCCTCACTTTTCATTCTTAATCACTGGCTTCAAGTGGACCCTTAGCAGTGCCTGGCTAGCCTGCTATAATTCAACAATTTTCTCCCATGCACCATCTCCTAAGCAACTATTTTGCACCTTTTCTTCTTTCCTCAATTCTCCAAAACGTCCTTCCTTATAGATACTCCCAGCACTTCAATGAGCAATGAAAGCTGGCAGAAGAAAACCTCCCCAAGTCTCCACTACTACATCTTCTCACCTGCTCAGGTACATCTGTGCTTCATCTCCTAACCCGAGGCGTTTCTCTTCATTGTTCACTAGTTCCCATTTCAGCTCCCCTGTACTCGAGCACCGTCCCAGCCATTCTCCATCGCATCTACTTTCCTCTGAGACACCTTCTCGAATGACGTGCTGCGATTTCTCTTGACCCTGCCACCCTCCTTCAGCTGCTACCTTGTGTTTCTAGTCCCTTTTATAAGGAACATGCTGAGAGTTTTCTGTTCCTGCTGTTTCCACCTCCTCCCCTCATTTCTTTTAAACTCCAATCAGGCTTTTTTTTTACTCTTACCCCACCTAACCTCTCTGAAATCCAGGGCAAGTCTTACGATAATTAACTGACTTGTAACACTTGAAAAGGCACTTTATACACCCTTTTCCTCAGCAGACTTCCCTGTCCCAGTCATCCTATCTCGTTGGCCACTCCTTTTCCCATCTGCTCTGCTGGCTTCTCCTCATCAGCCCGATGTCTGAATTCTGGGGTGCCTCGTGTGTGGCTCTCAGATTATTCCTGCTCCACCCCAACCACCTCTTTGCTGGTTTTGTCCAGACCCATGGCTCACCTACCCTTTAACGACACCTAGTTTACACTTGCAGACTGGATTTCTCTGAGCTCCCATTTCTACAGCCAACTACCAACTGAGCATCTCGTTTATACATTTACATGCATTTTACATTGCTTGTTTTTCTCCTTGCACAAGGGCAGAAATGTTTGTCTTTTCTATTCACTGATATATTCCAAGCACCCAACAATACACAGCATGTAAGAGCACAGATATCTGTTGAATGAATAAAAGCAAGTGTCCCATCATTCCCTTGTTTAATTAGGAAGGCTCTCCACCAAGGATTTCTGAGACATTTACAGTGACCACCATCCTGTCTTCACACTGAAGACCAAACATGCAGAAGAGAGTCAAGTGCACCTAAGCCTGTTTGACTGTCTGAAGTACACACAAGTTCTCATACTATGACATTGGTATTTTCATTAAATCCTTCATACTAAATTTGATAACAGTGAAGAAAGTGTCATATATAATCATAAAGGAGAAGGCAATAATTATGACTCTTGAATGTACATTTTATAAATAGACTAATAAATGTAAATAATCAAGAAGTACTACTTAGGGGAACATTTTAGTAGTATGTCAAGAATGAAGGATCACTACTATCAACAACTGAACCTAAAAAACAAAAAAAACTAAACAAACAACTAGAACAGAAATAGAATCACAGAAATGGAGATCACATGGAGGGTTATCAGTGGGGAGAGAGAGGGGAGAAATGGGGGAAAAGGTACAGGGAATAAGAAGCATAATAGGTAAGCACAAGATAGACAGGGGGAGGTTAAGAATGGTATAGGAAATGGAGAGGCCAAAGAACTTATATATAGGACCCGTGGGGGGATGCTGGAGGGTGGGGAGTGCAGGGAGGAGGGGGATAAAGGGGATAAAAGGGATAACAAAATTGGGACAACTAAAAAAAACATAATAAATTTTTTTAAAAAATTTTCAAAAAAGAAGGGAAGAGAAATCCAAGCTTGTGATGTAAAAAATTGCTTAGAATTCTAATTATTTAAGTATGTATTATATATACAAAATATGCTTGATATATTGCATATATTTCTGTGTAGAACTTTGGTTATCTGTGAAGTAACAGTGCAAAATGATAGATTATATGTTATATGACAAGTAACATAGTTTTTTTTTTTGGAGGGGGGTAGTTTATCAGATACATAGTATTACCACACAGTATAAGTCAAATAATATAAATACAATTCAACTCCACACTGGTGAAAATATATACATTTTTCTCAAGAAAAATTATCATCATTAAACTTTGAAATTTATATCAAATTACATACCAACTGTAGGAGTATAAAAATATTGGATAAATCTATTTTCTGGCTCTGGTGATTGAAAGGTGTGAACAAACTGATGAGTAGCACTAGTTTCATTTTTTGCTACATCTTCTAGATAAAATGCTTGTTCCAGAAGAATCTGCCATTGTACCTGAGTTCGACGGTGCCTCTGAACTGAATAAATAACCTAAAAAAGAGAACAGGGCATACATCTGTCCAGTGTTCTGACCCAACGGCGGTTCAACTCCCACTAAGGAGCCTGTTTTCACTGTCGCAGCACGTGGAAGTATCAGGGGCATTTCCTGGGTGGGGCCAAGGACGCCCCAAGGACGCTATCATTCTGTAACATAAGTGCTATGTGTTCAGTGACTAATCCCCTCCCCCAAAGGCCAGTAGTACCCCTGTCAAGAAACACAAAGTTAAAAACATTACATTCAAAATTCCTTTTTCATGGGCAGTAATTATAAATCTAAAATATCGGTAAGTAACACATGTTCTCAGTAATAAAATTACCTGTTTATGTAGCTTCACCAGACTCTTTTCACTAGGATAAGTATTATGCTTTTCATCAAAATCTTCATAATCATCCATGTTCCTACCCATTTTTTCTTGATACTCTGTGGGACACTAGAAGGAACAAGTAGATTGGTAAAAATCTTCTTTGCAAAAAGATGAAAATTTGATTTTTATTAAAAGTCTTTCATTCTTGGGCATTTCTAATTTTCTCAAAAATACCTTTCTTATTGTCATCTCTAAATAGTTGGAATTTCAGTTGATGACACTTTCTTGAGAACGTTTTAACAGATGCGCTGAGTTTCTCCTTACCTGTATTCATACGGACCTTTGTGCTCAGCTGCACTAGCTGGGCATGGGTAGGGCGGGGCTGCTCACCTACATGGAGCAACCAGTATTTGAGATGATTGGTCTAGGTAAGCACCTAACGAAACTGTCAGCAAGTTTCCTGGCTAAATAGTGAAGAATCACAACAAACTGAAGATGCTGAATTTTTTAAAAGAATAGTACAGAGAAACAAATACATGATTTGACGTTATCTGTCCTGCTACTAGTCATTTATTATCTAATGAACTTGGGCAACTTAGTTAACTTCCTTGACTAGGTCTCAAAGGTAGCAAATATAGGAAATGATTAGAGAACTGACTTTCATGACTATCATCCTAGCCGCAAAGAACACTAGCCAATCACCATACAGTGCATTTAAAATACGGGCAGAGAGAGAGCTCAGTGGGTCCACAGTTGCAGAGAAGATAACTGGGGAAGCTGTGTTGTGAAGAATCATTTTTGGAACTATATGAATACTCCTAATTCAATAACAATACATCAAACCTTAATGGTATGTGTTAAATATCTCAAGTATCTTCCTATTAAATATGTGTTAAATATCTCAAAGTGCCATTCATTTTACAGTATGTGAAATATGCCTATAGTGACCACATTCAATGACACTTTTATAAACTGTAAGGGTCCATCTCCATCGCTGTGTCGTGGAATACTGCCAATAATTAATGTTTAACTTGTAATAACAAAGAGACAAATTCTATGTACACATTACTACTGGTTGATACGGTCGATGTTTTCAAGAAAATGAAAAGGAGCTGGGAAGATTTCAGTTACAGGCTGTTTTCATACTTACCATACAGAAACTTTATTCCTCAAACAGATGTAAATATGATTTAATTACCTTTTTAAGTATTGTGTCAACACATTTTCTCAATGGGTGGTTATACTTGATGCTTTCATTCACTTTACGAACCTCCTATACGACAGTAAGAAAAATTAAAATATTTCCATTTCTATAGATTGGAACATTTCAAACGAGACTGCTCTAGGTATTGTGTAACTATATATATTCTCACAAATTTAATTTCAACCCAAATTACTTAGCATATACATGAAGTTCCCTTAGCTGAATCAAAGTTCTTAAGAACACAAGAAAAACACATACCTCCTATACAAAGTTGTGCAGGGTGGAGCAAAAGTAGGTTTACAGTTGTTCATGTGGAAAATAACACGCTAATAAATACAATACAAAAACACTTTTGCACACTCACAACTGTAAACCTACTCTGGCCTCACCCTGTACAAACAGCTATCTCTGTACCCTTACCCTTTGTATCACTTTGAAGATTAACTCCCTTATCATTGTTTACTTGGTACACAAAGATGAATAAACATGAAAATGTCACAAAGGATCAAATTTTGCAATCCTGACAGAATAGGACTGTGCCCCTTCACCTTGCTCATCAAACTGCATTATCTCGTTATCTAATGAGATTATATTATCTTCTTTCCGTGAAGAAACCGGAGGAAGCAAAGGTTAGCAACGTCTCAGATTGCCTGCTCCTTCGCAGCGGGAGACAGCTCCACGCTCCCCCAGTAACGACTCATGCCATGTTTATTAAGAACACACTACGGGCCAGCACTGTGCTGTGTGGAAGGTCACCACCACCCCCAGTAGAGGGTGGGGTGGGAAGACATGTTGTCACAGACATTCGACCAAGATTAGAGTCTAGTGATGAAACAATGAAATAAGCAATTTAATGAGTATGAAAGGCATAAACAGGTTAGAGGGAGGGATCTTTAGAACCAATAGTTCTAAAAGAATCGTAATACTCTGTAACAATAATAAAATGTTTAAAAAGTTGAAACCAGCCCTGGCTGGTATGGCTCAGTGGATTGAGCGCAGGCTATGAACCAAAGGGTCGCCAGTTCGATTCCCAGTCAGGGCACAAGCCTGGGTTGCAGTCCAGGTCCCCAGTACGGGGCACATGAGAGGCAGCCACACATAGATGTTTGTCTCCCTCTCTTTCTCCTTCTCTTCCCCTCTCTCTCAAAATAAATAAATAAAGTCTTTAAAAAAAAGAATTTGAAAGCACTGTACTAGATAGAATAAACAGCACATTCAAAGGCTAGGAAACAAAAGAGAACTGACTAGAATATTAAAAAGAACGTTCTGATTGTAGGGTAGAAATTGGCCTTAAGATCCACAAAACTGGAGGCAGGGAAACCATTTGGCATATCAACAAAGTTATGAAAAAAATACTTGTAACTTATGTGGCAAATAGTCACTCTCCTTAACATACGGAGAGCTCTGGCAAATCAACAGAACAATGGAAAGATGCAAAAGAAATACAACTGGACGATAAATGTCTGAAAAGCTCACTAAAAACAATTACAAATTTTAAAGTGAGAACAATTTCCTTACAAAATTCTTTGTACAAAGATATCAGGCAATGAGGTAAGATTGTAGGGAAACAGGTCCTCCTACACCCAGTGAAATGTGGAAGGTAATTTAACTCCAACAATATCCATCAAAACTTTAAATATGCAGACCCCGTGAATAATGTGTGTTAAGAAACATTGCTCCTGTCAAGGTGCTTGGCTTCATGAGTTTGAAAACACCTTCTTCAAAGAGAAACGGTGAGGGAACAGCTCTATAAGTTAGTGTGGAAGACTGGGAGGAACCGATCGTTTAAACTGCAGTGACAAGCACGAGGAGTCAGCCCATCAAAGGCACAAGGACACTCCCGACAGAGGGACGGCACGTAGGAAGGCCTCTCAGCAGAAGGGAGCCGAGGGTCTCAAGGAAGTCAGTCCAGGGTGACAGGGCAGAGGCAGGGCCTGCGAAGCCCCTGGTCAGGCTGAAGGACGGCTTCAGCCTTCACGGCAGGCGTCCTTCTGTGCATCTGAGGTCAACGAGTGCGGCCTGAACACGGGAGCAACGGACAAGCCGTGGGCTTTTCGAAGGTGTGTGAAGCATCAGGATGTAACACTTCTCCATGACTAAGCTGTCCTAAAGTTTCACTGACTTGTCAGCAAAACTATGAACATAAACTACACAGTCTGGTTATATACTTATATGTATATAAGTATGAAATATGTATTCCCTTTACATTCTTTAACCACATTAAAATCAGTACTGAAACAGTTAACTATTTACACTCGCTATATTGATTATAAGATTCCTTCAGAAGTTCATAACTTTTATAAAGTGCGGACAGTATTTAAAACATCAGCCTATCTTCATCCTGCAAAACGACGTAGCCTGAAGGTCTGCCATTGCTCGGCCTAACCAACTGACTCCCAGGCGGGTCAGACGGCACCCATGCAGTCAGGCGAACGGGTGATTTCAGCATAAATACGTAGCTGTTTCCCTCTCTCCAAAATCTTCTACCTTAAAAAATGACAAAGGGTTCTATGTAGACACATCAGTTACGCCCACATTATCCAGGAAGTCATTCTATGCCACAATGTCCTTGTTTCTATTTCATTTGGCAGATCTGTCCATTGTTGACAGTGGGGTGTTAAGATGCCCTACTTTGAGTGTGTTACTGTCCACATCTTTCTTGAAGTCCCCTGAGATTTTCCTTATATATTTGTGTGCTCCTATCCTATGGTTTACCTGTAGGAAATTGGCAGTTATCTAACTAAACTGGGTCTTTGAACAGAAAGGATTGGGAGAGAAGAGAAAAATCCAGGGCACAGGAGAGGTAACGGAACAAAATGAATAAATGATGATTAACATTAGTAGTTATAAAATAAATGCATCTGGGGAACTCCTGATTGAGTTTATAGAAATATTGGCAACATCTATGTATGTCATGATAAAGTAATCAAGACACTATTAATAGGACAGTGACTTGATTAACAGTCAGTTGGTATGCTTTTCTGAAATAATGAACTTGTGTTAAGAATGTGGTCTTTAATGTTGAGACAGAGCACACCTCATAGACATAAGTTTACTGAACCTTTGCCTCACATGTTTCCAACTTCAATACACTAGTTAATTGTATCTGATTAAGTTATTGATGATGTTATAACAACAAAAATGAAGAAAAGTAGAAGTGACATCTTTGGCCATGCGGCAAATGCCCTGTGGATCTGGATCGCTTGATATGACTTGTGAGTTTTATTAATGCTTCAAAGATAAGTAATAGATGATCACACAGATGTCGTATACATTCACTTCACAGAGAAACTGAAAAACATTAAAATGGTTTCTATAAAACTGCATTTGGGAGATTTAGATGGCTAAAAATATAATCACTATTACAAAAAAAGATGGTTGAACTTTGTGGTCTGTTAAGAGGCACTCCAAACCAGGGCGCCGTAGGTTTCCTTCCAAGGGGGTCACTCCTGTTCTGGTTCCGCACTTCCCTCTGCACACCTCCCACGGACGGACGGTTCCACACCAAGCAATTGCGTCTCTTCCCTGCCTGCAAGGTCACAGCGGTTCCCCACTGCCAATCCCTGTCGAAGCACCAGCTAAAGGCAGACTGCCTGGCCCTGTCGCTCACTGGCTTTGTGAATACGGGAAACTTAACCTCAGTGGAACTCCTTCTCTTCACTTATGAAATGGGAATTTTAAAAAACTCTCCTTCACAACATTGTGAGAATTAAAAGTACGAGCATATATAAAGTTCTCAGAAAGTCACTAGTAAATAAGTAAGTCGATATAGTTGCTGGCTATTACCATCACCATTATTAAGTTTGAGGAACCAAATGTGACCAGTGTGAGGAAGACAGAGGCTAAAGATACGGGCAGAGAGCTAAGCGTGGGCCAAAGCGGTCTTCAGCAGGCACAGCGAAACGCTCTGGGGTTCACTCCAGCCTGAGGCTAAGGTGGAGGGTGGCATCATCGGTACAGCCTGCTTCCCAGACGAGCACAATGTGAGGGGACCACAATGGTCCCTTTTAAAATCAATAATCAAATTGTATAACAGCAAAGTTTTATAATTTGTTATATGTTTTTATGTGTATTATTGAAATTTATACTTTCATCAACTTGATGAAGTTAGTTCAAGTCATCTGTGCTTATTTATTATAAAATAAATGCATCTGGGGAACTCCTGATTAAGTTTATAGAAATATTGGGAAAATCTATGTATGTCATGATAAAGTAATAATGAGTAAAGAGAAGTGCCCTAGTAAGAGTACTTAGAGTAATTAAGAGGAAACGAGTTATTGACACAAATTCCCATGCAAACTGTTCTCTAAAAAGGTTTCCAGAAGCGGTGGGGTCACTTTGGGTTAAACTTTCGGTAAGAGGTGTCTTGTGATTCCTAATTTTTACTCCCACTGTGTCAGGGTAACCATATAACACCCTCTGACCTGAGAAACTTTCAACAGTAAAAGAGGGCACTCTAGAATTTACCCAAAGACAACAAGCATGGCCCTGCACTGGTTTTCCCTGAATCTTTATCAGTTAGAAGATGCAGATGACCTCTATGAAGCTGAACTGCCAATAAGAAGCCATCCTAATGGGTGAGAGCTTCCTAAGAATTGCAACACGCCGAGAAATGAAGTCTGAAGTCCTTCAAGGTGAAGCCAGGGCAATGCACCCCCCATGTACCCACAAGCAGATACACACAACTTGCTGTTGACTCTAAGGGGTAAGCTTGCCTACCTCCATGACATCTTCTAAAGTCTCCTCCGCATCTGCCTTCTCTGTCATCAGTTTGGCCGCCTTGAAGTAAGTTTTCATAAGGAGGTAACCTCTCTTTGCTCCGTTCCAGTACGAGCGAGGAATTTCCACCAGGCCGTACCCCAGCAACAGCACAAGCAGAAACAGGCCCCAGGTGTTTGCAGCAGCAATCCCAATTGTCTGCAGCTGGTTCCTAGGAGAGCACAAGTAGACAGCCGTGACGGAAAAATCTCTCCCACAAAAAGGTAAAATCAAACCAACGAGTGTTAAATGGTTTTTCAGAAAACCACCACCCTAATGGATGGCTAACATTTTATATGAAAAAATTAGGCTTTCACATCCCCAGCTACCCTCTTAGTGACAGCAGATGTTCCCCACTTTCCATCTGAGTAATATGGATTACTCAGCTATTTTTCTATTTTCCATATCAGGAAAACGAATTACTCAGATATATTTTTGAGGCATCTATAAAACACATAACTTGTTATGTTTCTTGATGAAATGTGTGTTTACCTACATATGTGAGATAAAAAATAATTTTATAAAATGGAAATATACAAAGAAGCAATGTTAAGAAAATGATTTTTCTTACCATTCTAAGTGCAAATGTGGGTTTACGGCTACATAAATTAAAAATGCTCCAAAAATCAGCAAATAGGTACCATAGTAGATGGCATTCTCTATCAGTGCAGTTTTGATCTTTCCGGTGATGGAAAAGCCTCCTGATCTTGCATAGGACTGCATAAAAGGCAACAGGATCCTAGATAGGTGGGGAAAACATGATTAAAAACACTTCATATGTCTTTTTAATCTCAAAATACCAGAAATATGTGAATCTCAACTATAATGTATAGCTCTTTTCACAAAGGATTTTGAGTACTTATTAGTACCAAAAAAACTGAAATAGGGGATTGAATATTTTTGTAATATTAAATTTGGGGTAGAGCAAAGCATATTCATGAGAGCAAAGGAGATCACAATGACCAGCTGAGAATACAACAGTGAGTGATTTACTATGAGTCTTTAAAAAAAGGTTTTAAAACCTTTATGAAGAGTTCAGACTATATCCAAAGAATAAAGAAGAACCATTTTCTTTAACAGATAGGAGACATGATCAAATTTAAGTTTTCTAAAGACTGATAGAGCTTCAGCATGAAGAATGGCCTCAAAGGGAACAAAGCTGGAACTATCTGTGTGGTAAAGGGCAGGAGGAGAGACGAGTGGTGGTCACTACGCTGATTCTGAAGTCCCTGGGACACGGCCCAAAGAACCTGCTCAGGAAGTCGCTGGCTACCCAGGGTCAGGGCTCGGAAGGCAGACACACACACAGACTCAGAGTCCTCACCACATCAATGGTACTGAAACAACATCAGTATGAAATCTGGAAGGGCGAGTGTGTAGAATGAGAAGCAAAGAACCGTGGCTGACCCTGAAAAATACCTCCTTTTAAAGGAGAGCAGAAAAACAGGAGGAAGAGAGGTCAGCAAAGGAGACTCTGACAGAACAGGTGGGAGGCCTGGAAGAGAACTCAGCAGGATGCATGGAGTAGAACCCAGGAGAAGCATGTGTTTTAAAGTGGAGACAGAGAACAATTAGAATCCAGTGCTGCCAAGAGGCCAAGTATAAAATTAAGAACCTGGGAGTGTGCGTGGAAAAGTGGGGGTAGGAAAGAGTTCAGTGAGTTGAGGAAATGAGTACACTAAACGCAGACAATTTATTTAACAACTTTGGCTGGGTAGCATAAGCTATGATATATCAAAAAGATGGAATTATTTTACAGAAAAGAAAGAATACTAATACATATAACAATACAAAAGAGTCTTCCAAGTATATAAGCAAAAACGAGAGACAAAAGTACATACTGTATAATTCTGTTTCTTAAGGTCAAAAACAGGCAAACTCATCTACGTGATGAAGTTGAGAATCACGGTTACCTCTGGGGGGAGTAATGACTGGGAGCATTGGTGGGGGCTTTGAGGGAAGCTGCTGGGTAATGGGGCACTCAAGAGTCAGAAAACTTTAGTTTTAGGAGCGTTAATAAGCCTAGTTGTTAATGCATGTGAAAAGCTATTGTCTCGGGAACTGCACGTACGGACCCTCTGACTCCAGGAGACCACAGCAATTGGACTCTGTGCTCCAGGCGAGACCCGAAGCAATCAGGGTGGTATGCGAGCCGTTGTGCTGAGGGAGAGACATGAAACAGGACACAGATGAAGAAAACCACCAGTCAGTGAATGAAAGGACGTTAGGGAAAATGCTGGACTGCAGCTTTTATCGGATTCACCTCCTTCCCTCACCTACGTTTTTGCCCTGTTACAAAAAGGCTGGCTGGAGAGGAAATGTAAGACGGTCTGTTAGAGTACAAACCCACCATCTTCTCAGATCGAGGGCCATCTGAATAAAGTGCCCATACAGATTCAGTCCTTGGCTTTGCTTACTGGGTCTCACAGGTGACAGGCAGCACAAATGCCAGCTTTGCCAGTTTCACGCGGACATTGTTAATGTTCTTTATCATCATTTGAGTGCTGGTTACATAGCTGGATTCACTTTGAAAAATGTCAACCTAAACACAATCTGTGCATTTTTCTATACTAGTTTATACTTCAGTTAGTCTCTAAAACAATTTAACTGTGATAAAGAGCAGATCATTGAGGTGGAAGATAGAAAGCTGGAAAGGGCTGGGATTTGAGAGACTTGTTTCTTTTGTTTTAAGAATGAAAGGATTGTGCACGCTTTGCACAAATACAGGTGGAGTACAGGTAAAAAGGGCTGAAGAGAATGGTCCATATTTCAGGAAGAGGGATTAATTTCAATAGTGACGCTTCCATGTTTAGCAGGGAAGGAAAGATGGGTAGGTAGGAAGGCAGATTTGTTGGTGAGGAGCTAACACACGGGCCATCTGATGACTTCTGTTTTTACTGTGAGGTGGAAAGTGAAGATGTTCGAGCCGAGAGGGCAGTGTTTCTAGGGCATGAGTCACGAAGGGAACCCCTGAGGTCTGAAGCACGTGGAAAGGCTTGCTGTGCAGAACAAAGAGCACACAGACCAGAGAAACAAAGGAGCGGGGTCTGGCAGCGTCGAGGGCCCAGGTGAGTTCAACAAACATCAGCTCACAGGGGCACTACTCTACTCTGCTGCATGACTTCTCTTGCAAAGTTGAAGACGTCTAGTTTTAGAGCTCAGCGGCCTGCAGTGTCTAAAATGCTCAGTAAACAGTCAAGGCTGAGCCTGGAGCAGAGCAGAAACACAAAGCTGTAGTGGGCAGAAAAAACCATTTGGAATGCATCCCAGGTCGATGAGAGCATGGCTATAAGGAAAGCTGCGCAGGGAGAGCCAGGTACCAGGATGACCAAATGTGGGACCCCAGGGGACATTAAGGTTGAGGAAATGGACCACTGAAACGGACCCCAGGAAGGAATGCAGAAGGCTGGGCTAAGGACACCAGCACCTGGGAACAACGATGCCCTTTGCAAGAGCAGTTTCCCACAGTCATGGGACTGGAAGAAGACTGTCAAATTGAAGGTCAAGAAAGAAAGCAGTAACTGGAAGGGAATGGTGACAGGGGAACTATTTATTCTATTTTCTTTTTCTTGTTTGTTTTTTTCTTTTCATTGCTTTTAAGATGGTAGAGACTTGAAGAAGCAGAAAGGCAAAAAATAAAAACTTAAAGAGAAACAATAAGTGACATGAGTAAATTCTAAAATATGAAGGTTCACTGAAAAAAAAAATCAATTCTCTTTTTACTTCAGCCAGAATTTGGAAAGTTTTACTCTTCACTGCCACTTACCATGTTAGAAACTGTGAGGTCCAATACACTACCCTCCAGAAAATCGGCATGATTCCATCAGGAATATAGCTCCATGGCTTGAAACATGGGTGTTGGCTGTCAAATAACAATTTAAAGAAAATTAAACATAAACGATGACTAATTACATTAATGACACAATCATTTGGTATATGGCAGTTTATTTATACCCAGATTTTAAATTATTGACCCCAACTTATAAAATTTCATGTAAAACTTAAAACCCAAAGCTGACTGGCAAACTAAACACACACACACACGCACACACACACACAGACACACACGGGAGAAAAGCAATTTGAGGACTCAATGTTCACCTCATAAGACTAATAACGAAACTGTACCTAAAAACAAACGTGCTGGGAAATTAAACCTCTGACATGATTACCCTTAAAACTGATGACTGCCTTTAAAACACATACTCACCCCATTTGTGGGGTTGGTTATTCAGGGTAAGGGGAGCAGGGAGCAGAAAGACATTAGGTAATTAATTCCTGGAAATCAGAGCGCTAACTAATCAGTCACTATAGCACAGCTCCTCTGGAGATACATGCCACACCTATGTATTTTTTTCTGTTTGAACTTTCTGAGGATACGTGTGCCTGACCATCAGCACTCAGTCTTCCTAGGCTGTGGGGCAGCCTTCTGTCCTGGGGCTTCCGATAATAAACGTACACTACTTCTCTCCTACCTCCCACACTGTTTTCTCATAAGACCCACTTATAAAACCATGTTTAACACTTTTTTGAAATAAAAAGTTCATTTTTAAATTAAAGGGAACACACACACACACAAAAAAAAACATTAGGATTTTTTTTCACTTGGAAGTTTGATATGAATTCAATACAACGTTTTGATCATTTGAATTTTACTCATTCTCTTTGTAAAACTGTAACAACTTCAAAGGATATGCAATATACAAGGAATATTCCCAGATACAGAATAACCTCCTTGTGCTTTAATACACAGCCTTGTATATTAGGCAAAAGAGAAAATAGTATTGCCCTGTATTATAGCTCAGAGAGTGACTGAGAGGAAAGACAGTTTTTGGAAGTCACATTCTTATAAGGAGTAGAACCAGGACTAAAGAATCGGGCCTTCTCCAAGCTTCCCGTTAGCTACTGGAAGGCCTTGTGCACCAATAAATATTTCAAACTGATTTAGTGACTTAAACTGATTTAAGATTTAAATTTAAACAGACTAAATGTAACTAAAAGTCTACTAGCAAAGGATGGAGGGGTGAGTAAAGAATGAACATAAACTTTTATAAATATAAAATCCAGATAGTTAAAAACTGACAATTTTTAAACAATTTGGCTTCTACAATATGGAAGAAGAGGAGGGGGAGGCGAGGGGGAGGGGAGAGAAAGAAGGGTAGAAGGGGGGGAGGAAGGAGGAGAGGGAGGGAGGGAGGAAGAAAAGGAGGGAGGGAGGGAGGGAGGGAGGGAGGGAGAGAAGGAAAGGAAGGGAGGGAGGGAGGGAGGAAGGGAGGGAGGGAGGGAGGGAAAGGAGGGAGGGAGGGAAACAAACGGAGAGAGAAAGGATACCTTGGAGCTGGGGTAGCAGTCCCGTACAGTCCTGAGCCATTGCTACTCTCAGGAGGGCTTGAGTTGGCAGCAGCATGTTTGCACCGGTTGTATATCGTCTAAAGCAATGAATACGTGGTTTAAAAATGAAAATCGAAAGGTTACCAAGTCCTTAAGGGAGACTGGAGGGTATCAACCTATCTAGCGTAAATCACCTTCCTGGTTATGCTTTCTAGTGACCAAATTAACATAGTAAGATTTAAATTCACAATATAAGTATAACTTTACATAATTTAGCTGTCTCAGGACCTAACATATCTCAAACATGCTGATTACAACTGTCTTTTAAATTGTGAAAATCAGCTTCACCTCTTACCGTACTAACATCCAATGGCAGTATGAAGACAATAAGAAAGCAGAGATACCAAGCTAGTAGGGTTCCAACAATTACAAGTCTATGCTGTTTCTTAAAGTCTCCATATCGATGAAGTAGAAATAATGCCAGAAAGAAGACAAAAACAATCTCGAGTCCCAAAGCCGCACCACTCATTATTGGATGTTCGCTCTGACTAACCAAAGTAGTTCACGTACAGGGCTGGATCATATCTGCAGAGTGACACAAATAATGCAGTGTTAATACAGAAAACGGCCACTTGGAAACTTACTAAGTACTGTTTATTAATGTGTGAATAAATTCTTTGGAAAATTGTCAGGCTTTACAATGAACTACAGATAAGATGAAAAAGATTAATTTCTACCCTCAAGTTCTTAATATCTTACTTTTAAACATATCTTAAAATTTTACATAAATTGTATCTCCAGGAAAAAAGGTATTTTAACAAAGATTACATCACTTTTAAAAACAGTACAAAATAAGAATACTAGATATGAACAGTTTCCGTACAGAGTCATTTGGAGCTTGACCCTTAATGTTATACATCCCAACTAAGCATTTTACCCAAACACGCTGCTGACTAGACCCTAGGGAGTTAGAGATTTCATAAAATAGTCTCTAAGTCACCCACAAGCCATTACTTAAAATTCTCTTCTCCAAGAGAGATGGGGGGAGAGATGACAGCGAGAGAGATGGAGAGAGACCACTGTGTGACAGTATTTTTATTCACTGCTAATCTCATCTAACAGCTTTCAGAACTTGAAACTGCCAGTTCATTACTGCTTCACAACATATACTTAGCACTTTCCATTTGTCTATATAAATCTTATTTTCTTTAAAGAAAGTTACCTTACCTATTTTAGACATATAAAAACTTTTCAATGATTATTGAATAAAGTCATACATTGAAAATATTTTTATTATAAATGCTGGTAATACAGACATAAGCAAATGTTTTACTTGCTGTATCTCTACTCATAAAATACTTGGCCTTTGCTAACTGAAGGCAGTATGTAATTTTCACCTTTGTAAAAATCAATGTCGGATATTTTTTAAAAAACTTTATTTACTTATTTACAGAGAGGGGACGGGAGGAGAAAGTGGGAGAGAAGCATCAACGTGGGAGAGAAATATCAACCAGTCAATTTTATTCAGGACTATATCTCAAGTCTCTAATATAGTGTCTGGCATAGAATAGATATTAAAAATATCTGTTGAATAAATGAATAACATTACTGTATACTTGTATACTACTTTTAATTACTGCTGGCTTCAAAGGCAGCATAAAACTTGTTATAATCCCCAAAATTGATTTTATAAATACTACAACTCAAAAGGCTTAAAAATATGTTCCTTACTACTACTCAAAATTTCAAATTTCATAATCTATTAAAAAACTTATACCATCACAAAAAGAATGAATCAGATCTCATTTTGAAAAGCAGATTAAGTGATTAGGAAGTAGCTTGATGTAGGATGCTAAGGAAAACCATAACCATCTTCAGGATCTAGCTCTTAGGAAACTATTATTCAATATGAATTAACAAAATTAATACCTGAAAAGTACTTTAGGAATTTGTCTGAAATTGTCTTCCTGTGCAAGGAAGGTGATGATCATTAAAAAAAGACTATCAGAGAGTGGCCAGGAAATGCTAAATGAAGTATGGCAGAATTGAGTGATAGAATATTACTGAAGTACAAGAAATGGTGCTTTTGTTTTTTGGGTTTTTTAAAAATGTTATTTATTTATCTTTAAAAGGGAAGGGAAGGAGAGAAGGAGAGAAATATCAATGTATGGTTGCTTCTGGTGCATCCCCTGCTGGGAACTGGCCCCTGCTGGGAACTGGCCTGCAACCCAGGTATTTGCCCTGACGGGGAATCGAACCTCGATCTTTTGGTTTGCAGGCCTGCGCTCAATCCACTGAGCTACACCAGACAGGGAGAAATGGTGTTTATTAAGAATATTTAATAACATTACTACATTACCATAACACTAATTGAAAAATAGATCCACACATTTTTACATAACATGCATAAAATGAGTAAGACAACAATCACACATATGTAGATATCAATAGTAGGTGGTACAATTAGGGGCATAAGCAGACAACAAAATCACAGTTATAAATATGCAACTAGCTAATACACGGGTTTTTTTACAATGTTTCATTTTTTTGTTTGTTTCATTGCCAGTACTTTAAAATGTTACAGATGAGTGAACAGAACTAGGGACCCTTTATTCTGGTGATAAAGACATGATTCGTTTCATCTCTTCCCCTACTCACTAGTCTCCTACTGCTGTCATAAGCAGCTACTGTAACATAGTGGCTTAAAGCAATACCCGTTTTTCATAGTTTATGTGAGTCAGATATCCAGGTCCAATATGGCTCAATGAGTTCTCAACACTGAAATTTAGGTGTCAGCAGGCTTGTATTCCTTTCTGGAGACTCTGGGAAAAAAATCTAAATTCATTCAGGCTGCTGGCAAAATTCAGTCTGTTACAGTTACAGGACTGAGATCCTTGTGGGCTGTCAGCTGACCTTTGCCCTTAGCTCTAGAGGCCTTTCTCGTGTGTTTGCAAGTGGCCCTCTATATCTCTGAGCCCGCAACAAATGCTTGCCAAATCCTTCTTGTTCCAGAAGTCGGACTTCCTCTTCCACCCTCAGCTGAGAGGAAGCTCTGCTTTTAAGGGCTCATCTGATCTCCCTGGGCCCACCTAGAGGACTGAATCCTATTTACTGGTTCCAGGGATTTAGGTATGGAGATACCCTTAGGGGTCTATAATTCTGTTTACCAGAGTAAACATTCTGTTTCTGTTCAGGTTGAACTCCTGTTGCCTTGTTATGACACTAGGTTAGGTCTAGGAGTCCCACGAAATTGGAGATGAAAATTGGGGTTTCTCTAACCTGAGATGAGAATAATAATAGTTTCAAAATCCATATCTTGACTTTGCACCTAAATTCAAGTGAGGACTTGTTCTTTTGTTTTTTTTTTTTACCGTCCAGAATAACAACACATTCCAAGGTTCCTTATGAATTTCTAGAGCCTTTTTTGTTATTTCAGCTGAATAACTTTCTGCTCAAAGTAGGGATACCTTATTCTCCATCTGATTTAGTTATTTGTATATTAAATTCATAAAACAATTGTCAAAATCTAATAAAATAAACAAAGATCAACCAACTCATTTGGCTTATAAAAAAAAAAAAAAGAACTCATTGCCAGAGATGGCAGCAATTTGGTGATATGTATGAAGACCTTTAAAAGGGTACATACTGTAACTTTGGTCCTAGCAATTCCTCTTAAAATAACTTAAAGCAGGGGTGTCAAACTTATTTTCACCAGGGGCCACATCAGCTTCGTGGTTGCCTTCAAAGGGCTGAATGTAAATCCAGCTCCTTAGCAGTTCAGGAGTAGTTCCATTCATACAGTCCTAACATGATTTCAGCAGTTTGAAGGCAACCGTGAGGCTGATGTGCCCCTGATCAAAATGAGTCTGACGCCCCTGGTTTAAAGAAAAACCAAAAAGGGAACAAAAATTTATCTACGATGTCACTTTTTTTTACAGCACTGTTATTGAAGCATGAAAACAAAGAAACAGCTTAAATGTCTGCACTAAACAGACCAGGAAGTCTTAAAACTATCCACTAGTCTCATCGTGGTCCGCTGCCTCTTGAATCACTAATCCCGCGGGCCTGGCCAAGGCCCACTGGAGTGGATCTGCGCCCCAGCCAAGACTGCCTCACAGACACACCCCACTGCAGAAAGTGACTGGAGGAGCCCGCTGACCCCACCCTTCTAGGGGAAAGTGAGATCCAGAGAACACTGCAGAGGAGTCAAAGGGATTCGGTGGGCTCTGGGGGAGGATGCAGAAGAAACACACACAAAATGCTAACAATGATTGTCACACAGCAGTAAAGAGTTGACTTCTACTTTATTCTTTGTGCTTTCTTGTGCGTGTTTTTAAACAATGACCATACATTATTTTTTCATTACAAAATTATTTAAAAATCAACATAGTAATATGAAGATAAACTACATAGCAACTAGAAAATGAAAATTTTTGCTATGGTGTTATTAAGTGTCTAAAATTAAAATACAACCCTGGCTGCTGTAACTCACTGGATTGAGCACAGGCTGAAAACCAAAGGGTCGCCAGTTCAATTCCCAGTCAGGACACATGCCTGGGTTGTGGCCCAGGTCCCCAGCAGGGGCCATGTGAGAGTCAACCACACACTGACGTTTCTCTTAACTCTCTTTCTCCCTCCCTTCCCCTTTCTCTAAAAATAAATAAATAAAATCTTAAATAAAATGAAATACAAATGTTTTATTTTACCATGGTAAACATTGGCTCCAAATCCCAACTCTCTAATTAATAATTGTGTGACTTTATGCAATTGAAACTGTTAAATGAGGATAATTATCCCGCACAGGTTGCTATGAAGGTCAATTGAGACATAAAAGTAAAACACCAAGTGAGTGCTCCGGACACAAAGCAGGTCTTCAGCAAACCCTTGTTGCTAATCTCCATCTCCATCACATGTTGTGCTTCTAGAAAATAACTAGTTGCCTCAGTGGTCTCGAAGCATAGCTTTACCCTATGTTCTTTCCCCCCTCTCCTCCATAAAAACTATGCTTTTTGCTTCATATTTTCTGTGGTTCCGACATCCTGGGTCCGCCCTCATGCATATAAAACAAAAACTGATCTTCACTCACAGAAATTGCTCCCCTTGTCTCACTTGACAAACTGGGATTACGTCCCAAGGTCTGCAAGGCAGCCCAAACAGCCTCCCCTTCCCCAGACCCTTGTGAAGAGACACAACACCTCTCAGAGCCACGTCAAGGAGGTGCACTCGACATACAGAAAGACATTGCCCTTCTCCTAGAATATGCACAAAACAGAGGTGGACCGAAATGGATCTCCTCCTGAACTGGGCACATGGTCAGCTGCGCAAAAATCTATTCAAAGGCAAAAGACGAAACAGGCCTCTGACAACAACAATAGTTCTTGTAATAATATTCTTCAAATATAAACATGCTTAGGCTAAATGACAAAATTTGGAGGCAAATCGACACTGTCCTATGTGATCATTAACATCACGGCAGTAAAAGTAGACTTTACTCAAAATCAAAATGCTAATTCATTCATTCAATGAGATTCAAGTGCCTGTTATGCAGGAATAGTCTACCTTTCAAAATACTGATTCCGAAAGTCTTAAACATTTAAAATGCAACTCATCTTTTACCAATCAAGATACTGTACAATATTACTTTCAAATGTCTTTCATAATTACATGTTAAGGTTACTGACTTGGAGTACTGTTTCCTAAGTTCTTTATGGTTGACAATGATTTTCCAGGCTAAACACACTTTAAGTGGAAAATTTAGAGGTTAAGGCAATTTTAAAATTTGAAGTATTCCAAGTATGTTCAAAGAGAGGAAGAGATAAGGAAAAGAAGGAAGGAAGAAAATAAAAGAGGGAAGGAGGAAGGGAGGGACTGAGGGAGAGAGAGGTGGTAGCAGCTGAACACAAAAGTTTTTGTGTTCTGTTACTGAAGATACTGAAATTGAATAAAGTTTCGAAATAGAACCCAATGATTCATCAGAATCAGACTGTGTTACCTTAAATATGTATCTCTACTCAGCTGTGTGAAATAATAAGTAGGAGCCATCTCAAGATCCTAATAATGAAAAAGAACCAAAACTAAATGTAGTAATAAAAGTCAACAATTCTCTACACCCCCAATCAAAATGTACATTTCCAAAGATAATCACTATTCTCACATTTAAAGATTTCAGATACAGGAAGAATTCACCTTAGAATACAGATAAGACTACTTACTGCAAGAGAATGTCATCTCCACTTCAAAATGCTACAATCCTAACAGCTGGCAAACCAACCAGGTGAACTGAATTCTAAGGTGTGACAAGCCATTCTGAAGAAAGATGGACACATAAAACCGGTTTCATCTTTGGCAAGGCAGATGAGGGACAGGTAGCAAGCAACCATGTAACCAGGTAGGAAGAAAACAAGTGGAATTGTAATGGATTCCTAAAGACTTTAGGTAAAGAGATTGTAAGACTTATTTTGATAATTAGAGAATGATCTTTAGAATCCTTCCTAATAACAAAATATTTTTTAAACAAAGGAGGAGCTAACAGTTAGTGTGTGTTTACTAGATTACAAGCATGCTTTACTGAATCAAACTTCATAACCCAGCAAGAAAGGACGCTAGTATCCTCGTTTAATAAAGGGGAAAACCACAGAGGCTCAGAGCTGAGATTCAAACCCAGACAACCCTGACTCCTGAGCCTGGCTCACAGTTAAGATCCTGCACAGTCTCCCGTCCAGACATATCTTCTTAATGGAATTCAAACTGTTTAAGTAATTTCTTTTGTTCAGTTTTCAGAGTGAACAAATGACAAACATTCTGCTGTTAATTATTCCCTCAGGTAGAATGCTATGAAAGTCATGTTTAATATAGAATTTAACTAAGCCTCTTTACCTTGCAGGTAACACTGCCATTACTTGGAAAATATATGACTCTAGCCTACATGGGAAAAGTAGAAAAGAAAACAGAGAAAATTAGAATTGGGAAAGAACCCTTCTTAGTCTTTTGTTCCCTTAAGCTAAATGGCATTTTAAAAACTACAGGAATCTTAAGATTTACCTCATGCTGTGATGGAGCTAAGGAAAAACACACACCCCTTCTATTTCAATAGAATCTTTTTCATATTTAATATTCAAGCACATTAATATACTACTGAATATAGATATAGCTTATAGTCAAATGTAACTTCCAGTGATTTTTGGTCCCTCTTGTGCACTGATCTTGTAACTATGTTCTTCCCCCTTGTATGATAAACACGTCCCAATTTACAAAGTCATTTTGTATTCTATCTGAAGCTTCCAAAGAGTACCAGAAATTACTCTAATGTCATTTGTAGATATAAAAAATATATATATAGTTCATCTGTCCTAGATAATGAGCTACTAATTCTACTTGTGGAAATATGGTATACCCCTCTCACTGAAATGGGACATGGAGTGTGCTGAGTAAGATTAAATGAATAAAATTAATCAGCCCTGGCTGGTAGGTGTGGCTCAGTGAGTGGACTGAGCACCAGCCTGCAAACCAAAGGGTTGCCAGTTTGATTCCCAGTCAGGGCACAGGCCTGGGTTTAGAGCCAGGTCCGCCATAGGGAGCGCTTGAGAGGCAACCACACACTGATGTATCTCTCTCTCCCCCTCCCTTTCCCTCTGTCTAAAATTAAATAAAAAATTTTAAATAATAAATAATAAAATAAAATTAATCAGGAAAATAAAATAATGCACATGAATCACAATACAGTTCTTAAAAACATGACACATTTATCTGCACGAAGCTAGTAATTTCAAGTCTTCAGTGGATAGAATTCCCTGTATCAAACGGAATCACATGTAGTAATTTAAACTTTTGTTTACTATATATATAGAGAGAAAAGCCATGATTAGAAGGAATGCAGAAAAAACATATTCCCATTTTAGCAAGCGAAAGTATTCTGCTACCAGGGTAAACTATTAGTGAACTATCTACTCCAGAATTTGAAGACTGATTTTCCAAGCCACGGGCTGTCTCTGAAGTCCTTGTCAGGACCTCACGTTCACCAATCCGTGAGTTCTCTGAGAACTGGAAATGTCCCCTAGCTCTCAGGCACTGCGGCTAAACTCTACCACAACAACATTTCTCATCTTTTAATTTAGACCTTCCTGCCTTTAAGACCTGTATCTAAATGGCCTCTCCTAATTACTTTATAGGTCAAAACGTTATTCTTCTCATCACAGCATTTTAAAGTTTTTCAGGTGCACACTTTCGCCTCCATGAGCTAGTGAGTTCCATCTTGCTCCCTTTCCTCAAGGAGACTGTAACTATCTTCTGTTAAAAATATTTTCTCTTATGACTTGCAATTTTAAGGGAGAGGATGTAATTTCAAACTAAGGCAACTACTTTCCTCTTAATCAAAGTAACATAAAGGTAAATTTATGCAGGAAAACCACAATATTCCACCTAAAAATATTTTCCATAGAACATCAGTTTAATGAATTGAGCATTCCACCTACTTATCCTCAGCCTCGTTTCAATCCAAACCAACTTGTGAACCGATCCCTTCTTTACACCAATTTCACCTACTTTCAAGAACTACAGGTGCGTGAATACATTTCTCTATCAAGAAGCGGCATTTACTTTTCAAGCTAAGCACCAGGCATGAAAAATATCTCTTACTTGGGCAAGGGAGTTTTAATTCCTGTATAAAGTGAACCATTAAAATAAGGTGTGTCATAGTGTACTGATGTAATTTTTGTGATGACGCTGGTCTGCTTACTTGTTAATAAATCCTCTCCATTTTTATCAGGGTTGCAATTTATTCCCCCTCTCTTCCACGGTTTTGCCAGGTCACGGTTATAGTGTAGTTCGCGCAGTGGATTTCGCGTGGTCATCCTACCTGGAATACGGCACACTCGCACTCTAACCGCCTCCAAACTCTTCTCCGGGGAGACAGGCTAAAAGCCGCCCCCTTACAGGAGGCGAGGCAACCAGACGCAGCGGGTAGAACGAAAGCAACAGAATGGCTGCGCTGGTGGCCCTGGCGTTGCAAGCTGTAAGCCCTTTGCAAGCACAGTCACCTCATCCGTTCCGGCGCTGGCCTTTACGAGCCTTGTCAAGGCTGCCAGGGGATGCGCCGCTTTCCCACTACACCCAGCAGGAACCACTGCGGTTTCCTGCTCCCCTAATTAAACCACCGCCTCCCGTTCAAACTGCGCTTTAATTTACAAAACGTTGTCACACGCGTCATTTGATTCGACCCTCCCTCCAAGCCTGTGAGAAGAGCGTAGTGCCTCTTTCACAGACGACGAAAGAATCTAGTCCACAGACTCGGTTCTACAAGGGCCGCAGCTTCCGGGCGCGGGGAAGAGCAGGTGCGACGCCCGCGGCTCGCAGCCTTTCACCTGGCGGGCGAGGCGGATCACCGCCTCCACTCGGGGGTTGGGGACGTGGGGCTTGCCGCGGGGGCGGCCGCCGCTGGAGGTTCTCGGGGTCCTCTTTCTTGCCACCGGCGTTGGGCCCCAGACCCCAGACCCCAAAGTGTTTCACGCGCCTCCCCACAAGTTCTCACCTTCCAATCTCGCCAGACACCGTCTGGATGGATCGGGAAACTCCGCCTCCACCGCAGTGGTCCAGGGTCTGGGACCCACGCTCTGAGGTGACGATGGTGCCGGTCACCAGAAGGCCTTCGGGCTCCTGGGAAAGGAAAGCCCTATCCCAGTCCAGCCGCTGACATGACCAAGTCAGCCGAAGCACCGCCCGCTTCCGCTTCCCCGCCTACCCGGTGGGCGGGCCAGGCCCGCACCCGCGGGGGGTTGTGGGTATCTGGAAGGCGAGCTGAGCTGCCAGGAAAGGAAGTAGTAGAGAGCCACGCGAACTACGAGGCAGGGCGGAAACTACATTTCCCAGCAAGTAGCGGGGCCGCAGGCGGCAGCCGCGGAGATCAAGTAGAAGAGCCCCGCGCGCGCGGTTGGGATGGAACGTTGCTGGAGTTGGCGGGGCTGGTTGCTGGGGGCCTGAGCCTCACACCCTTGGACCGCTGCGCGCCAAAGCGGGAATCTGGCTGGCGGGCAACTCTGCAATTAATGCACGCATTTAAAATCCCAGAATCACTGGACGCCATGCACCGGTAAACCGATTACAAAAAGGGGCAGAAAAGATGAATGGACCGTCTTAATTCATTTAGGCCACAAATATTGCTACTTGCTAAAATTGTTGCTAATGCTGTAATGTGAATGGTTTCTTAGCCCCTTTTTGGGAAAGTGTGGATGGATGGATGCTTTAGTTCGGTAATCAGAATGTGGTTTTATCTTTCTGTAGTGGGCTTTCCTGCTACTGTTGGGAATCGCTGTGTGCTTTCTCTAAGTCTTTCCTTGTCTGTTCCCTCCACCTTAAGAAATCCTTGAGGCCTTCTGCATAATCAGCACCGTAAATCAATAAGCCTTTGGATTTGTTCGGTTATTTTCCCTTTCATTCTTGGGAACTCGCGGCAGGCATGTAAAAAATGCAGTTCTGTTAGCTGCTGTGAAAGTTTTCTACATTGCATAACTTGCAGTTTCCTTTAGGCCTACCAATTATCTATGGGTGTGTTCCTCAAAGGAAAGGGGCTATTGTGCATTTTTGCAGGAAACACCTCCAGGAGATACCGGACCAGACTAGCAACGTTACCACCAGCTTCACTTGGGGATGGGATTCTAGCAAGACTTCTGAACTGCTCTCAGGAATGGGGGTCTCTGCCCTAGAGAAGGAGGAGGTGGACAGTGAAAACATTCCCCAGGAACTGCTCTCAAACCTGGGCCTTCCGCAGAGCAGCCCCCCACGAAAACGGCTGAAGAGCAAAGGGAATGACAAGGACTTTGTGATCATCCGCAGACCCAAGTTAAATCGAGAGAGCTTTCCAGGTAAGGTATGAGGGTAAAACTGTCAGTCACCAAGAGCTGGGTTGAACTATTTTGTTGGCAAACCTTTGTGGATCTTTAGGGGTGGGGCCCCTTAAAAAACGCCAAATCCTGAAGTTATTTTCGAAAGAAATGGAACAACTCATTGTCAGTGAAGTTTATCAGCATCTTGGTAGGTATATATCTCCTAGTGCACAATTGATTTTTAACCCATGTGAAATTTCAACCCATGAGAAGGCATTCCTGCCTTTTTTGCTTAGAAGATGAATCTGCCTGCTCAAAAGTCAGCTCAATGCCACTGATGAATGGGAACACAAGTGATGATCTTATAGGACTCTTTGTTTATATTCTGCTGTTTTACTCCCCTGGTTGAGCTTTTTGCCGGGATCGTAATCACATTAGTCGAAGGACTGCCGAAGTGGATAATCAGCTTTAAGTGGAGGAGAGTTAACCAGGTCCACTCCCAAATGGGATTCTTCCGTTATACTCAGTCTCCATTACTGCTAGGATTATCTGTTCAGTTGCCCAACCCAATAACCTGAAGGTCAGTCATATTCCCACCATTCCCTAACATCCAACCAATGACTGAGTCATTTTTTCCTGTCTCCTAAATATTTTTCAAGCTCTCATCATCTCTTACCAGATGCTGGAATGGACTCATCATTCCAGCCTTATCCTCCCCAGACCTATCCCCCTGAGCTAGAAGGGACTGATTGAAATGTAGAACTCACCATATCATTACCTTTTTAATAGCTTTCCATTCCTATTCTCAAGCAGGTGAATAGATGCCTCCCAGAGTGGGTCAGAACCACAAGAGAACTCGAAGCCATAGGGTAAACGTAGGGCATTGACCTGGGTTCGTCAGTTTTTCTTGCTAGTAAGTCACTTGAGATATTACTTCAGCGAGTATTTGCCAAGCACATACTATGTGCTTGACATTGTTCTAGGTGCTGGGGAAACAGCAATGAGCAAAACAGAAACATTTCTGCTAGAGAGGGGACACAATAAACAAAATAAATAGAGTATGCAGTATGTGAAAATGTGCAAAGTGCTACAGCTAACAACAAACTTTGTGCAAGCCAAGAGGGATTGGAAATCCTGGAGTGGGAAGATGGATGAAAATTTTAAACAGTACTGATGGAAAGCCTCACTTGGACAGTGAGCTTTAAGGAAAGGCATAAAAGAGGGAAAGGAATGCACCATGCAAACATCCTGAAGAAGAGAGCCTTAAGCAGAGGGAGCAACCAGTGCAAAGACCCTGGGGCAGAAGCATGTCAACTTTGTTGAAGGAACAACAAGAAAGCCATGTTATAAGAGTAGAATGGGCAAGGGGAGAGTAGATCAGGCTAGAGGTGCTTACTTGCTTGTTTTCTTTTTTTAAAAATCTGGGGGGTTTTTGGCTTTTGAAACTTTTTTTAGGAAAGAATCTTTAAGTGATGGTCTGGAATCTACATCAGGAGTTGAATTAGAAAGGCAGTATAGGAGTATGGTGAAGTCAGGCAAATATGGGTTCGAATCTCTGTCTTGCTGTTTACTAGTTTTTTGGCTCCCTGTGCCTTCGTTTCTTTGTGAAATGGGCAAATAATATCCACTTCATAGGTTGCTGTGGAGATTAAATGAGCCCTGACAGGCGTGGTTCAGTGGGTTGGGCATGATCCATCAAACTGAAAGGTCGCTGGTTCGATTCCCAGTCAGGGCACATGCCTGGGTTGTGGGCCAGGTCCCCAGTGTGAGAGGCAACTGATTGATGTGTCTCTCTCTCTTGTTCGGCCTTCCTTCCTCTCTGTAAAAATAAATGAATCTTTTTAAAAAGAGATTACATTGAAGAATGCCCGTGAAACTATTAGCGTGCGCCCTGCACATGACACTCAGTAGTGAGTCAACCCAATTAACTTGATCAGTGACATTTCTGATATCCATTCGGGCGGCTGCTTCCCTTCTTCTTTGTCCTTAATACTGTTAGTCTGACCCTGTTAGTGGCGGGGGTTTTTCTCCTTCAGAACTGAACGGCACTGCTCTGTGCAGTGTGTGGAATGCAGCACTGGCCTTTGGTGCCCGACCCCCCAAATCAGTGAAAGAAGCTTCGTGCTACAGAAGCCCCGCCGATGGCATTTAACACAGAGTCACCGCGGCGTGCGCTTCCACATTCACACACAGGCGTAAATTAAAGACATGTTCCAAGCAAGGCCCTCCGGAAACTGAACAAGATTAAGGGACGGTTGCTGGCTTCTAGGCAGTTAAAAGTCAAGCTGAGGAGCAAAGACAAGACACAATGAGAGGAGCTCACAGCAGAAGATGGCAGCGAGCCGCCCGATGTGTAGGAGGCCAGAGAAGGACTGATCGTTAGATCTGACCCCGGGTGTAGGTCTGAAGTGAGAAGGGAGAGGCAGGGAAGGAAGGAAGAGTACGCATTGCCCATCTGCGACCCAGCACACAGGATAGACTGGTTCGTTGGTGCGGGGGCTGGGCGGAGAGGGAAGTCAGAGATGGGGGAGGAGGGCAGCTGGTGTGGAGGATCCACAGTGGGCCTCCGGGGGAGGCCTGGGCCGCCAGGGTACCGGATCTGCATTCCAGGGAGTTTTGTGTGCTGTTGTCAGGACAGGTGGCCAGCAGCTCTGCCAGGGCCAGGGCAGCCCAGGCCACACCTGCTTTACGTAGAGATCTGATGACAGGGGCCCTGGACTGGGAATTTTTCTTGGGTCTTCACTCTGCAGTCTCTCCCTATAGGCCCTATGCCAGGCTCACAGCTGGCAACTGAATCCTCTTTATCTGCCTGCTTTGGAAGATAGAAACTGTGTGACCACCCTGAACCAGGACAGGTGTGATTGGCCCTCGGGGTGAGCGTGTGGAAGGGGCTGGGGAGAAATGGCCAGTTGGGAGGTCGTTAATAGGCAGACAGGGGACGGCTGTGTCGTATTTGTGGGCACCGAGTGCCTGTCCTGGTCCCATCGTCCCCGCTTCCCCTTCTCAATAGAGGATGGCCATGAGAACAAGGTCGAAGTGATTTGTTCATCAGCTCTTTCCTGGCTATTAAACTGCTTGAAATTCCAGACCCTACACTGGTTCCCAGACTGGAGACTCCAAAGTTTAGAGTATACTGATATCCCCAAGGGAATTCGGTCAAAGTGCAAAATTCCTTAGATAGGACTCAAGAAGTCCCGCCTTGAATTTGGGAATCTGCTTTAGTAGCCCCAGGCAAACATAGTTCTTCTTCTTCTTTTTTTTTTTCCCCAATAAGAAATATATTTTACATTGCAATCCTGGGTGTGTCTCTGAAACAGAAATTTCACAGAACCGAATCCTCCTTACTGAGGCATGTCCTATCCTGGTCCATTCCATTCTTTCAGAAACAGCGCTGGTCAATTGGACCGATTTCATAACTCACCAATGAATCTCAGCCTGCAGCTCTCAAAACTCAGCTGTTAGAGCCTTGATGGGACCTTCCCATGTACTTTCCTTGCTCTGTAGCTTCCATTCATTCATTCATTCAGCAAAGACTTACTGAGCATCACTCTGGAGATTAAGAATATAGCAGTGAACAGAGCAGGCCAAAGACCTGGCTCTCACAGAGCTTGTGTTCTGTACCTTATTCTCCAGTCCCAGTCTTCATGGTTTGTTGGTCTTCCTCCACTCCAGAGGTGAACAAGTCCCACAGAAATCTAGGATTGTGGGGCAGAGGGGATCATTGAAGACCCCCAGTTTTGTGTTGCTTTTCTTCAGTGTTGCCTAACTACTCCCCTCCCCACCCCAAAACCCTGAAAACAAAAAACAGAGCAAGCTCAGTCCAGTGTATTCTTTTTGTGATTTGTGGGAGGAGGAAGGAAAGCTCATCGCAGAGGACAGAATCTGTCTGTAGCGCCCCCAAAAGGAA